GGCAGGGGAACAGCAAATGCAAAAGACCTGAGGTGGGCTGTGTTCAGCATGTTCCCATGTATGCAACTGTGGGATCCAGTTATCACTACGGGGTGCTTGTGCATCTGTAGTGTTGCAAAGGGAGGTGAATCATGGTTTGTTGGAGGAAGGGGCTGAGGTGGTGCTTTTGACAAGGCAGTGTAACAGTGTACCTCATCTCTGTGTGTATTAGAAAGAGCTGCAGGAACATCAGCTAAAAGGAAACTGTCTCTGTGTGTGGTGGCAATGATATGATTGTATCGGTGTGTTCCACTGTGTGTACAAGGGAAGGGTGAGGGGGTGAGAAGGTAGGAGAGAGAGTGGATAGGATGCTTTGTGTCAGGATAGTGTAGGTCTGTGAGCATATGGGTGATGGGGATTCTAGAAGTGGAACATATGCAGAGATGCCATGGAGTGTGTGTGTGTGTGTGTGTGTGTGTGTGTGTGTGTGTGTGTAGCAGTGTGGGGGTACCCGACTGTGTGAGTGGTATATTGGGGGATATTATGGAACTGTGTCCTGGTCCCAGAGAGAGAAAGCCCCGGAAATCTCAGTTCCACCCTGTCCCTGGGTCTCCTGGCAACGGCACTACTTTGAAGTTACCAGGAAACAGAGTTGCTAGGGCAACAGGGCTGTGAGTGGCAGCTCTGGGGCAAAGTCTGGGTGAGGAGCCCCAGCTTGCGATCACTTGATCACTCACCTTGTTCCTCCTTTCTCCCAGTTTCTCATCAATCCTACCTTCCTTTTTTTCATTCATTTATTTAACGTGCACACAGGGTGGGGCAAGAGTAGGTTTACAGTTCTTATGGAAAATGATACAATAATTAATAATAATACAAGAATAAACTGTCTCCTGTACTCACAAACGGAAGCCTACTTTTGCCCCATCCTGTATATTGAGAATATACAATAAGCTAGTCACTGTTCTGGACACTGGAGTTATCAAGTGAACAAAGCAAAAACGGTCCCAGTCTCCCAGCCCGTTTTTTTTTCCTCCTGGTCCCTTCTTTGTTCTGTGGTGCTGCCCCCTATCCCCTTACCTCTAGCAGGACCCAAGATCCCAGGCCAAAGGAACTCCTCGCAGACCCCCGGGGACAGCTTCTGAGGTTTTGCACACCAGTGTCCCTAACAGACACTTGTGCCAGTACTCAGACCCAGAAAGAGAAGTACACAGCTTCTCCATCTCTCTGCTTCTCAATCGTCACTGGGTGACAACAGCAAAACCACAGACACATGCTCATAGCAATATTCCTCTGCGATATCATGAGCTCCATTTTACAGGTGAGCAAACTCAGACTAGGAGACTTCAGTGTGTCACTGATTCCAAGGCGTCTGCTCCCTTCACCTCTCAACCTTACATCTGTCTCTTTAGCTGATGGGCTCACAATAATAGTATTCGTACTGCTCTCCTCCGCAGACTCAATCAAGCAAAGGGCTTTCCCCCCATCAAATGCCCGTATTCCTCCCTCAGACTAGGTTAATCATCCCTTCACCTGCTAGGAGCTAGCAAAGGCCGATCTAACTTTGATGGACAGATCCATAGACCAATGGGGAAGCCAAGTGCACTGTAACCAAAGAGACCTCGGGCTGGGCGGGATTAAGAGCAGGAAGAGGCCGCCGATTGGACAGAGAGGCACGCTGTGGATGGCGGAGACGCTGAAGCGGGTGCTAAGCCCCGGGAGGGCGGCCGGGCCCCGGGAGGATACGGCCGCGGAGGTTGGGCCACCTTTGCTGCTGCTCGGCGGCCCAGGGTCCGGAAAGACAGCGCTGCTCTTCGCGGCGGCCCTGGAGGCGGCAGGGGAGGGCCGAGGCCCCGTGCTCTTCCTGACGCGGAGGCCTCCGCAAAGCCTGCCCCGCCGGACGCCGGCGGCGCTCGACCCCCTGCGGCTACAGGTAACCGGGAGGCGGGACTTGAGACGGACCAGCCAGTGGCAGGGCGGATCGGAGATTGAGTGACAACTAGACAGACCAATGAAGGGGACAAAGGAAGGACGAGCCAGAACAGGCATTCTAGGGCGGAGTCACGAATGAGGGGGGGGCGGGACTTGTGAGGTTTGTTAAAATTGAGTGAGAGAAGGACTGTCCAATGAAGGGGCGAGAGGCGGGGCCCAAAGGGTGGGATCAGGGCTGGTTGGGAGCCGGACTAACCCTGGTTGTTAGGACACGAATTGGTTCCAGGGAAGCCGGAGGCAAGGACGGAGTGAGAATGGAGGCTGGGGTGGGTTTTGCGTAGAAAGATTGACCTAAAAAAAAAAAAAAAAAGATTGACCTAGAGATTTGGCAGGAAGACATACCTTGCCTTAGGGGGTACTATCTATCTCTCTTCACTGTAATCTTGCCACTATCGCTTAAAAAATAAATAAATACAGCCCTGACCGGTTTGGCTCAGTGGATGGAGGGTCGGTCTGTGGACTGAAGGGTCCCGGGTTCGATTCCGGTCGGGGGTATGTACTTTGGTTGCGGGCACATCCCCGGTGGGGGGTGTGCAGGAGGCAGCTGATCCATGTTTCTCTCTCATGGATGTTTCTAACTCTATCCCTCTAACTTCCTCTCTGTAAAAAAATCAATTTATATATATATATATATATATATATATATATATATATATATATATATATATATGTTAAAAAAATACACCCTGTTCTGAACTAATACCGAACAGTAACGAGTGCTAAATAATTTTTTAAGGCGGGGGGGGGGGCAATAGAAGAATATATTTGACCACTCTAAGCTGCTTCATTTGGGCATTGAGGAAAGTATGCAGGGAAGCAAGGCTGTGCAAAGCTGAGAGCTGGCTTGCTGTGCTGAATGTGGCCCTTGTTTTCTCTCTCTAGAAGATCCGTTTCCAATACCCGCCCTCAACTCAAGACCTTCTTCAGCTCCTGTGCTCTGCCCATGAGGCCCGGGGACCAGCCCCCTTCCTCCTGCTGCTCGATGGGCTGGAGGAGTACCTCGCCCAAGACGCGGAGCCCCAGGAAGCTGCCCACCTGGCTGCCCTGCTTCTGGACACAGCTGCCCACTTCAGCCACCAGGTTGGGCCTGGCCGAGGCTGTGGGCTCATTGTGGCCCTGCAGACCCAGGAGGAAGGAGACAGTGGTGATGCCCTGCAGCTGTCGCTTCTCCAGAGGTACTTCCCTGCCCAGTGCTGGCTGCAGCCAGTTGCACCAGGCCCAGGGCCGCGCTGCTTCAGAGCCTGCCTGGAGCCAGGCGGGCTGGGGCCCAGGGCAGAGTGGAGTGTGGCTTTCCAGCCTGATGGAGAGATGACCATCGCCCCCTGGCCTCCCCCGGCTGGTGACTCCAGCTCAAACGAGGCTTCAGGCTCTGGAGGCCAGCCTGGAGCTGTGGTGTAGGACCACCTTTCTGCCTGTTTCCCATGGCTGGATACTTAACTCAGGGACGTGCACAGAGTTAAAAACCTAAAGAATGTAAAGTGCTTTTTCTCTTTTCAAAATAGCATTATCATGTATATATTGTACCCTGTCAAATTGTTTATTTTTATAAACAATATTTTATATTATTTAGTTTTGCTGTTTTTAACTTTATAAAAATTTTATTAGGAATATAATCTTTGAGACTTTCTTCTTCTCCCCCTCAACATTATTGCTACGAATTGGCCACATTTTTAGTCCATTTCTTTCTTTCTTTTTTTTGTTAATCTTCACCCATTGATATTTTTTCCATTGATTTTTGGAGTGGTAGGGAGGGAGGGAGAAACATCTGTGTGAGAGAAACACATCGATTGGTTGCCTCCTTCAACCCAGGTACGTGTCGTTGATCAGAATCAAACTCAGACCACTCAGTGGGCAGGCTAACACTAACCACTGAACATACCGGCCAGGGCTTTAGTCAGTTTCTTTTTCCCTACTGTATATAATTCCAATGTATCTATCAGATTGACTTATTCACTGCTATGAGCATTGTTGCACGCATGTCTTCGTATATGTGTGAGGGTTTTTAGACTATATACCTAGAAATTGAATTGCTGCAGCAGAATATGCATATGTTCAGCTTTTGTAAGTTATGCCAAACTTATAAAAAATGGTTAAACTTGCCCTGGCCAGTGAGGCTCAGTTGACTAGAGTGTTGTCCTGTGCACCAAAGAGTCTCAGGTCAGGATAAATATCCAGGTTGTGGGTTTGATCCCTGGTCGGAGTGGGTACAGGAGGCAGCTGATCAATGTTTCTTTCCTACTCCTATCCTCTCTAGAATCAATGAAAAACATATCCTAGTGTGAGGATTAAATAATAATAGTAAGTGTTTAAACTTGAACTCCCATTGAACCCACTTCATAACATTTGTTGTCATCAGAACGCTTCCTTAGAATAGGGCCTGATATAGAATAAAGCCCTGTGAATTAATGTTGTTACTGCTACTGGGAGAGACAAGCTAGAGCCCATTAAATAGCTTTCCTTTCTCTGGGGGCACAGCCCAACTACATTTCCCAGCCATCCTTGCTTCTGGCTGAGGCTGTGTGACCATTTCTGGCCATTGGCGCCCCCTTCTAGGTTAGAGCCTTAAAATGGCCCACAGAATCCTTTCTCTCCCTTTGCTTGCTGGCTGGTTGGATGCAGAGGATTTACCTAAAGACCCCAGGGTGCCTTAGCTGGCTTGGCTCAATGGATAAAGCATCAGCCTGTGGACGGAAGGTCCCAGGTTCGATTCTGGCCAAGGGCACAAGCCCGGGTTTTTCGGGTTCGATCCCCAGTAGGGGGCATGCAGGAGGCATTCAGGAGGTAACCGATCAATGATTCTCTCTCATCCACGATTCTCATCGTTGATGTTTCCATCACTCCTCCCTTCTTTTCTGAAATCAATAAAGAAATATATTTTAAAAAATAATAAAGACCCCACGGTGACGCTGGGTGGGGAAGCTAGAGACCAGAGGAGTCTCAGCTCTGACTCGTCCCAGGGACGGCTGCCCACCTGTCTGAACTGAAACGTGAGAGAGACTAATTGTGGTAAGCCACTTCTGGCAGCTAGTGTCACTTTTAGTGGTTAGTCCATTTTATTATGATGATTATTCGGACTTCCAAGTCCTGACTTTCAAACTGAGCTCACAGTCTTTTATACTGTTCCCCTATATAGCCTGAGCCATAAGAGCAGCAATATACCTATCCGTCTATGTCCATATATCTACACATATATTTATACATATATATAAAACAAAAAAAAATACACCTGTACATTTAGAAATACTGCAAGGTTGTGACTTCCTGAGGGTGGGTTAGGCACAGAGCCAAGATCAGAAATGCCCCTGGTCCCGAGGGAGGCCTCACGGGCCTGCGAGATGGGCCTGGGCCCTAGACCAGCACAGAGGCCATGCTGGGCCGCCAGCATCTGAGGACTAGAGTCCTAGGAGCAGGCCACATAGCTGGGAGGCGAAGGCTCGGGAGCCGGGACAAGGTTATTCTCGTAAGGGTTGGAGTAGGGGCCATTGGATGAGTCCCCCTTGACTCCCTGGAAGCCCCCTGAGCTGTAGTCAGTTGAGATGCCAGAGTCCGACACCACGAGGTACAGGTACTTCAGGTGGGGTGGGGTGGGGGGCAGCTCAGGGGGCAGCGCCCTTGGGCGCAAGAGCTGGGAGCTGGGGTCCAGGATGGTGTACTCAAAGCTGGCCGCTGAGGCCCCCTCTGGTTTCAGGGCCAAAACCGATGAGCAGGAGGATGCTTCTGAGCCTTCATCCGTGGCTGCTATGTCCAGACCGCCACCAGACTGCGGGGGGTCCTCGCTGGGTGGGCTCCTGGGCAGCAACCACCTGTCCAGCACCAGGTAGGTGTCCTGGGCCCGCTCACCGTCCACTGGCTGCAGCAGGGGCCCCTCATCATCTGTCCTTGGCTCCACTAAGGGGGTCACCCCCCAGCAGCGTTCAGAAAGGACTTCCAGTGGGGCAGGTGGGTCCTCTGCGAAGGGGGTACAGGGGCTCCACCACAGACAGCCGTCCTTCTGATACAGCCACAGCTGGGGGAACAGCACAGCCAGCTCAGAAACACACAGCCAGCTTTGGCCACAGGGGCGGGGACACCACAGGCTGGGGGGGAGGGGCGGGGACACACGACCAGACCACCTACCTGGAAGTTACCCTTGTGGGTGGTGAAAAGGCCCTCAAATTCACTCTCGGGGCTTGGGATGCCAGGCCAGATCTTCTGCTTCAGAGTCCTGGTGAGACCAAAAGAAACAAGTCCATGGGCAGGTGTCCTTGAACATACTTCTATCCAGTCACAGGGGCACAGATACTCCGGCCTCTGGTGATTGTGATGAAGGCAGAAGAGCACATAGGGGCTTTGGCTGAAGCATCTGTAGAGACCGACAGGAACGCAACCGAGACAGAGTTTTGAAGGACGTATAGGAGTTCAATATACAGTGCCTCATGCCCCTCGAAACCCGGCCCAGCTTGCCAGGAGGTCCATTCTGTCACTTCTCTCACTCCTCCCCCTGGTTCCCCAAGGCATTCAGAATAAAGCGCAATCTCCTCCCCATAGCCGTGCAGGCAACCCTGCCTATTTTCTTTCTTTTTTAATATATTTTATTGAGTTTTCACAGAGAGGAAGGGAGAGAGAGAGTTAGAAAGATCAATGAGAGAGAAACATCAATCAGCCACCCCCTGCACACCACCCACTGGGGATGTGCCCGCAATCAAAGCACATGCCCTTCACTGGAATTGAACCCGGGACCTTCCAGTCCGCAGGCCGGCGCTCTATCCACCGAGCCAAACCAGCCAGGGCAACCCTGCCTATTTTCACCCCTATTCCTTCATTCCCCTCATCACCCCCCACTCCCTCCTGACACACTCTGTTCTGGCCATAGCGCTCTTCCTGAAGCTGCGTCATTGCTCCAAGCTCGTTCCCACCTCGGGGCCTTTGCACAACTGTTGTTTCTTCTCCCTGCTTTTCATGGCAGCTTCCTCCCAACCTTCAGATTCCTACTCCGAGGTCACCGCCCAGAGGTCTTCCCTGACCATGCTGCCATGTCCCCATAGCCAGTTCTGTGATAATCACTCGTCATAATTTATCATCAAATATCTGCTGGTTCCCTTGTTTGTTGTCTGACTCAACTATGAGATCCACTGGGACATGTTTGGCTTGTTCGCCACTCTCTTCCCTGAGCCTAATACATAGTTGACACTCAATATGTATTTCCAACTGAATAAATGAGCAGAGCCTTTATTCCTTTTTTTTTTTTTTTTTTTTTTTTTAATGAGCAGAGCCTTTAAAGACAACTAGGAAGATTGCTAAGCAGACAGGGCAGGAATCGCATTCCGGGCAGAAGGAACAGCTTGTGTCAAAGCTTGGTGGTATGAAACCATATGGTATGTGCTTAGGATTACAACCCTCAGGAGGAACAGTCAGATCATAAATCGTCTGAAGAGCTTAACAGAAGGGAAGAAACGCAAGGGCTTACCTCTTTCCATTAAGCCCTTCTCGCTGACTTTACAAAAGTAAAGGAATTTGCAAAGGAATCTAAAAGGGGAAAACCAGATGACTGTCCCCCAGCATATTTTAACCAAGAATCTGGGTCTGACCGAAACCAATTTGGTTCAGTGGATAGAGCATCAGCCTGTGGACTGAAGGGTCCCAGGTTCAATTCCGGTCAAGGGCATGTACCTTGGTTGTGGGCACATCCCCAGTGGGGGGGTGTGCAGGAGGCAGCTGGTCGATGTTTCTAGCTCTCTATTCCTTTCCCTTCCTCTCTGTAAAAAATCAATAAAATATATTTTTTTAAAAAGAAAAAAGAATCTGGGTCTGTCTGGTCTGGCTTGCAACCCAGCCCTGCCACTGACTCCTTACTGTTTGGCCTTGGGCAGGTGCCTGCCTCTCTGAGCCTAGGTTTCCACAAGGAAAGGGGTGACTTAGTGGGGAGGGGTCTGGATCAGACAACCGAGTGGGGTGCTCACCGGCGGTGCGAGAGGAGGGCGAACACGGCCAACAGCAGCAGGATGAGCACGAGGATGAGGGAGAGCGTCAGGATGAGCGGGTCCAGGTCTGGAGAGCCAGGAACAGGTCAAGGCAGTGGGCTTTGCCCCACGCTCAGCCCCAGCCCCTCCTGCACCCCAACCCGGGGCCTCACCACTGGCTGTCAGCAGCGACGCGGGCTCCGACCAAGCGCTCCAGAAGCCGTCGAAGCTCGGCTCGGCCATCCGCGCGCGCACCGCGAAGGTGTAGCGCGTCCCGCGCCGCAGGTTGCTCAGCACGCACTCCGTGCGGCCGTCCAGGATCTCCACCTGGCCGCGCGGGCGGTCACAGGCGGGCGGGGCGGGCCAATCAGGGAAAGGAAGGACGGACCAATCAGAGAAAGGAAGGACGGGCGCCCGAGGACCAGTGAGAGCAGGAGACGGGGCTCCAGGAGGGCTCGGGGCCAATCAGGATGAGGGCCCAGAGCATGGAGGGGGCGGGGCCCTGAAGGCGGTCTAGGGTTTGGGACTGGGATTTGGAGAAAAGGGTCTTGTCGGCGGGCGCGGAGCGGTCAGGGGCCCCAGGGCCATGGGATGTCGGGCGTCAGGGGCGGACCCGGAGGGGCGAGGCCGCGGTGACCGTCTGGGCGGGACTCAGAGGGGCTGCACCTCTGGTAGAGCTGGGGGTGGGCGGCAGGGGCGAGTCTCACCTTCCGCGCGCTCCCCGCGGCGCCGCCTGCGGAGATGTTCACCTCGTAGCGGATGAGGCTCGCCATGGGGGCCCCAGGAGGTGGGAGCCAGCGCAGCACCACGTGGCCGCCCTCGTCCGCGCGCCGCGCCTCTAGCCCCGCGGGGGGGTCCAGGAGCACTGCGGGGAAGGGCAGCTCTGGTGGGCGGGGACCGAGACCTCCCTCCAGCCTTCCCCACCCCATGGCCGGCGGACTTACCCACTTCGTTGATCTGGATGACTCGGCGGTAGCGTGGCGCGCCGGACGCGGCCGCCGTGACGCGCAGCTCCAAGGGCACGAAGCTCGACGTGTCGGCCGTGGGCAGCGAGCACCAGAAGCGCACCGCCCCGCGGGCCGCGGGGGCCTGGTGCAGGCGGCACGGCTTCCACTGCTCACCCCTGAGTGCGGAGGGACCCGGGAGGGAAGGGGGAGCAAGTTGGTCGTATGGACCGGACCAGGTTCATTTCGGTCCTTTACCGCGAGGGGGCGCCCCGGAGCCAGGGACGGACCTGATGGAGAGGCGGCGGCGGTCCCAGCCCCGAGGCGCGGAGCCGCGCTCCACCGGGGACCACCGGGGCGCTCCGGCCCCGGCCGCTAGGGGGAGTGTCAGGGCTGAGACCGCGGGCTTCCCGCCGGCAGGGGAGGTGCCAACCCCGCCCGCCCCTGCACCCTGGGCGGCGGGTGGAGTTCTCACTCGAGCTGGTAGGAGAAGCTGTAGTTGTCGGGGCTCACCCCCGCGCTGGCCGCTTCCTCCCAGAAGCACACCAGGTCCTCCAGCCGCTCGGTGAAGCACAGGAGCTCCTGGTGCCCGTGGGCCACCAGCAGGGCCGCTGGGGAGGACGGGGGCGAGGGGAAGAAGGGTCAGGCGAGAGCCGAGCCCCGTCGTCGGACCACAGCGCCCGCCCCCTCTTTCCCGGCGCCTGTGCGGGCCGATAAGACGAAAGCCCCACCCAGCTCTCCACCCGGGCAGGGCCCCGGAGGGGGGCGCGGAGGGGGCGCCTCCCGAACGCCCAGGCCGGGGTTACCTGCCTTATGGCTGCCCCCACGCACCCCGTCCAGCCCGCAGCCCGCGGAGCCGAGCGCAGCAGCGGGTCTCCGCAGCCCGCCCCCGCCGCGGCCCGGGCACCCCAGCCGGTGTGTGTGTGCGGGAGGCGGGGCCCCTATCGGACCCCGCAGGCTCCCGGCTCCCGATAGCGCCAACCGTGCCCCCGCCCCCGCCCCCGCCCTCAGCCCCGGCCGCGAGGGACCCGGAGCCGCACGCCAACCGTGTTTACAGTCCCCTGCGGCCCGGCCCTGAGACTCGGACCCGGGCCTCCCTCCCTCCCTCCCTCCCTCCCCCTCCCTGGAGGTCCGCTAGGCCCTCTCCCCACAGGGACTCCAGACCCAGCACCACTCCGGCCCTATGAGGATGTAGTATGGCCCAGACTCCCTGAAAAAAGGTTTCTCTCCAGCGGTACCCCCAGAACTCAGGCCGGGGACTCGGACCCCTAGAACCCAGGCCGGGGACTCGGACCCGGCGGGCCCCAGCAGAACCAACCGCCCTAGGGCTTCAGACCCCAGCTCGGTCCTCGGGTCCAAGGCCGACGGTCCCGGCCCCTGCATCGCCCTCCAGGACCGCGTCGGGGTCCACGCACAGCTCCATCCCTCCTTACCTTTGCTTTCAAACTTGGGGCCCGGGGCGTTAGGAGGGGGAGCCAGGGCGGCCCCGGTGAGCAGGAGCCAGAGGGAGCCGACTCCAGGCCAGAGGGGCGCCCCGAGGTGGTCCATGATGCAGCCCCGGGGTGGGCGGGGGGGCAGCGCTCCTTCTCCACGCTGCCTCCACCTCTGGCACAGTCCTCAGCTGGGTCAGCAGTTGCCTCCACCGGACACAGCTGGCCAGGCCCTTCCCGGCCGGGCGCCTCCGTGCGGCAGCCTCCCCGAGGGGGCGGGGCCGCGGGGCCGGGGCTGCGATAAGCGGGAGGCGGCCGCCCGCCAGGCCCCGCGGGAGGAGGCAGGGGCCCTCCCGGCCTCCCGCGGCCGCTCCGAGGGCGGGAAGCCCGCGGGGTTTCTGTATGCGAAGCACTTCCTCGCTGTGTGACCTTGGGCAGGTGACTACCTTATCGGAGCTTCAGCAAATTGGCCTGGCGTATAGCAAACATTCCAAAAATGCAAGTGACTGATATTATCGTGTTCATCAACATTTCCCAGTCTGGGTGGGAATAAATAATAAAATCGCAATAGCGATGACTAACTCTTGAGTGTTTGCACAATGCTAGGCAGTGCTGCAGACTCTGTATTATAGGACTCTGGGTAAAATTGGTATACTCTGGAGGGTGAGATTTTGCTTTTTTGGGGGGGAAAATGTAGTTTACATCTGTATATTCGGCATTTTATAAGGAGTGTGGAGTTCTCTTAATAATGTGGCAAGAAGCTGAAACCGGTTTGGCTGAGTGGATAGAGCGTTGGTCTGCAGACTGAAAGGTCCCAGGTTCGATTCCGGTCAGTGGCATGTACATTGGTTGCGGGCACATCCCCAGTAAGGGGTGTGCAGGAGGCAGCTGGTCGATGTTTCTCTCTCATCAATGTTTCGGACTCTATCCCTCTCTCTTCCTCTCTGTAAAAAAATCAATAAAGTATATATATTATATATATTTATATATATTTTATATATATACATATATATTTTATTGATTTTTTACAGAGAGGAAGGGAGAGAGGTAGAGAGCTAGAAACGTCGATGAGAGAGAAACATCGGCCAGCTGCCTCCTGCACACCCCTTACTGGAGATGTGCCCGCAACCAATGTACATGCCGGTGACCGGAATCGAACCTGGGACCCTTCAGTCCACAGACCGACGCTCTACCGCTGAGCCAAACCGGTTTCAGCAATAATAAAGCATATTTTTAAAAAATAATGTGGCAAGTCATTCTAGAACAAACCATGAAAGCTATTTGCTTGGGCTGAGCTTAAATGGGATAAACACCCCACAGGGGTACATGCCTGGGAAGGGGTGATTCCTGCCTGATGGCTCCTCCCTGCCCCAGATTAGCCCATTAACCGCTCCATCCCCTGGAGCACGGCGATTGGTTCCGGGCGGGCATGTGGTCCAAATGCAGTCAGTGAGCTCCCATCCTAGGACTGGACCGGGCCTCCCTGGGAAAGGGGCTGCTGCTTCCTACTGGACAACAGGGGAGGCAGATGGAGCAGCCGGGGCATCTCTGCCCGGAGGGAAGAAACCGCAGATGGCGAGACAACAGGGCATTTGACCAGCTGTTCCCTCTGCCTGGAAGGTTCTTCCTCTAAATATCAGGGATCACTCCTTCACCTTGTTCAGGCCTCTGCCCAAATGTGGCCTTCTCAACAAAGTCCTCTCTGATCACCCTGTTTAAAACAGCACCCTACCATCCCACACTCCCCATCACCCTTCAATGGCTTATTTTCCCCCCTCAAATATGTTTCTTTATTGATTTCAGAGAGGAAGGGAGAGGGAGAGAGAGAGAAACATCTAGGATGAGAATCATTGATCAGCTGCCTCCAGCATGTCCCAGTGGTATTAAGCCCACAACCCATGCATATGTCCTTGGCCGGAATCAAACCTGGAACCCTTCAGTCCGCAGGTCAGTGCTCTATCCACTGAGCCAAACCAGCTAGGGCTAAATGGCTTATTATTATTATTATTATTATTATTATTATTATTATTATTACTAAATGGCTGGTGCACAAAATTCATGATGGGAAGGGTCCCAGGGATCAGGCCCTTCTGGCTGTCCTGGGGCCTTCTTTCATTCTGTACTGCCCCTCGTGGTCAGCACACGTCATAGCAAGCAATTGAACTCCCGGGCTCCTGGTCTAACTCCTGAGAGGACACTTTGCATATTAACCATACACACACACACACACACACACACACACACACACACACACACATACACACACTAGAGGCCTGGTGCATGAAATTTGTGCATGGGGGGGTGTCCCTCAGCCCAGCCTGCACCCTCTCCAGTCTGGGACTCCACAATCCGGGGACTGTTGGCTCCTAACCATTCATCTGCCTGCCTGCTTGATCGGCCCTAACCACTCTGCCTGATGGCTTGCTTGCCCCCAACTGCTCCCCCCCCAGCTTGCTCACCGCTAACTGCCTCTGCCTCAGCCCCACCACCATGGCTTTGTCTGGAAGGATGTCCGGAAGGTCTCCTGGTCTAATTAGCATATTACCCTTTTATTAGTATAGACTAGTATAGCCCTGCACACAAATCCATGCACCAGTAGCTCGCTGCTGCCCTCTGGTAGCACTCCGCCCGCTGCCCTGCCCTCCTGTAGCTCTCTTTCACCCCCTCCCTCCCTCATAGCTTGCTGCCCTGCCCCCTCCTGTAACTCTCTGCTGCCCACTTGTAGCCAGTAGCTCGCAGCCCCACCCTCCTGCTGATCCATGATCCGGTTGTTACATGGTCAGTAGTTATGCTTCACGGCATAAGGATCATTTGCATATTACATCTTTATTATATAGGATTTTTGCATCCTCTGTGGGTAATATCACCTAATGTGTATGATGTTTTATTGATTCACTGCCCTCAGCAGTCTGTTTTGTTCATTTTTGTGTTCCCAGACCATAGAGACTGGTACACAGTAGGAGCTCAAGAAATATTTGTTGGGGGAGGGGCAGAATATTTGTGAAGTAAAGATTAAAGCTTAGTAAGAGATGTAAAGATACAGATCTTGTTAGCTATTGGGTAGAACTGTGCCTGAGTACCCTGCACTTTTGTTTATTTTTTAATGTTTTTGTTGATTTCAGAGAGAAAGGGCCAGAGGGAGATAGGGAGGGAGGAGCATCCATGTGGTGATCAGTTGCCTCCCATACATACCTGCACTGTGGGACCAAGCCTGCAACGTGGGCATGTGCTCTGGCCTGGAATCGAACCAGCGCCCTTTTGGTGCAAGGGAAGACACTCAACCACTGAGCCACACCGGCCAGGGCTCCCGGTGCACTTCCGAGAAACAAAGTGATTCAGAGAATCTCTCTCTGAATTGGATGTGGACTGTGTGAGAGAGAGAGGAAGGCAGAAACTGCAAACTGTGATTCTGAGAGGCCAGCCAGCCCAGGTGTTAAGTGCATGTTCTAGCACATCGCCCAGCCTTGCCACTTACCATGGCACCTTGGATAGTTGTTTAACCCTCCCGAGTCCCAGTCCTTTGTGTATACAATGGGTAAAATAATAGTGCCTACTCCATAGTGTTATTATGAGCATTCAATGAGATAGATTATTAAAACAGAGCCTGGCAAGCACTCTGTAAGAATAACCATTACTGCCTTTACCGGTTTGGCTCAGTGGACAAAGTGTCGAACTGAAGGGCTCCAGGTTCGATTCCAGTCAAAGGCACGTACCTTGGTTGCAGGCACATCCCCAGTCGGGACTGTGTAGGAGGCAGCTGAATCAATGTTTCTCTCTCATTGATGTTTCTAACTCTCTATTCCCTCTCCCTCTCCATTCCTCTCTGTAAAATAAATAAATAAATAAATAAATAAATAAATAAATAAATAATATATACATATATATTTTATTGAATTTTTACAGAGAGGAAGAGAGAAGGATAGAGAGTTAGAAACATCGATGTGAAAGAAACATCGACCAGCTGCCTCTTGCACACCCCCCACTGAGGATGTGCCCGCAACCAAGGTCCATGCCCTTGACCGGAATCGAACCCGGGACCTTTCAGTCCGCAGGCCGACGCTCTACCCACTGAGCCAAACTGGTTTTGGCTGTAATCTGTCTTTTAACAGACCCTACATGATACTTAGATTCTTCTGTCTCCTCTTTTGCCCCAGACGGGGCGTGAGCATCCCCCATTATTGCTTCAAAGACAGCGTTTAGAACCCTAGGAATTGTTTTTTGTTTGTTTGTTTGTTTTTTCATTTTTAAATATATATATTTTATTGATTTTATACAGAGAGGAAGGGAGAGAGATAGAGAGTTAGAAACATCGATGAGAGAGTCATCGATCAGCTGCCTCTTGCACACCCCCTACCGGGGATATGCCCGCAACCAAGGTACATGCCCTTGACCGGAATCGAACCCGGGACCCTTCAGTCCCCAAGCCGACGCTCTATCCATTGAGCCAAACTGGTCCCGGCTAGGAATTGTTTTATTGCCCATTCACCAGAATTCTCCCTTCTCCTACTTACACCCAAGTGTAATTTCAATTTTTGTGCCCTCCCAGACTTCACTCCTGTGGTTTGAAATTTCTCTGCCAGCTCAAAGGATGGCACAGGACCCAGGCCTGGCTAATTAGTGTACCACATCCCTCTAAACAGTTATTGATTCAGTTGGTCCAATGGGCATCTGCTGTGGGACTTTTGCCGGACCTGATGGGAGAGAGGGGCTTGTTCTCCGTGCATGGGAGGGTGGAGACGGTGGGGCGGAAGCCTGGCAATGCCCCCAGGAGGTGTGAGCCTGCTCGGAGTGGGGCTGTGTTACTTAAAATGTTCTTCCGGTTACTGTAACAGAAACCCAAATAATAGTGGTTCAAGTAAAATAGACATTTATTTCTCGCTTAGGCAACAATCCAACTAGCAGCAATACAGTCTGGCAGTTCCATGCTCCTTTCGTTCTGTTGCTCAGTTATTTAGAGGGTGTGGCCCACCCGACCCCACAGGATCCACTCCACACAGCGGGACGCAGAAGAGGGGGAGGGAAGGACTACCCCTTTAAGGGCAGGGCCTAGAATTTGCCCACATCCTTTCCTTTGACATCTCATTGGCCGGGGCTTGGTCACATGATCGCACTTTGCTGCAAAGGAGACTGGAAATGCAGTTTTTACTCTGGGTGACCAGGTGAAAACCACAAGTTCTATCACCATAGCAGGTGATTGGATTGGAGGGGACAATAGACAGTCTCATTCTTAGAGCAAAATTGGAGCCAAGAGACAGCAACAGAATCCTGATGACATCTTTTCAGTCCAACTGTACCTGAAGTGGACCCACTGGATTTTTTAATTACACAAGCCACTGATTTCCTTTGTCCATGTGCCTACTTGAATTGGATTTTTGACCACTTGAACATAAAGAATCCTGATTAATACAGTGAAATACAAAGCCCCTAGTTATTGTCCAGCATAGATTAGAGTTCATAAGTGGGCATATCATTGTTCTTGCTATGACTTGTAGATGGCCCTATAGCTCACTCCATCTCTGCCTTCTCTACCTGTTTCTTCTTCTTAAAAAAAATTTATATATATATATATATATATATATATATATATATATATATATATATATATATATAAAAGAGGAAGGGAGAGGGAGAAGTAGAATCATTAATGAGGAGAATCATTGATCGCTGCCTTCTACACACCCCCTACCTGCAACCAAGGCATTTGCCCTGACTGGAAATGCAACCATGACCTCCTGGTTCACAGGTCGATGCTCAACCACTGAGCCATGGCTGGATGGGCTCTACCTGTCTCTCCTTCCTACCCCAGTACTGAGAGACAACTCAGCTTCACCTTCGTCCTCACAGCCCTATTGACTCATGGGTGATGATGTTGTCTCTGATTCCAAAGGAATTTCATTTCTTCATCTCCCATATACACCCAGAAGAGCAGCACAGCACCCCAAAAATGTTGGGGGAGGGAGTCCTGAAACCTGTGTGTATGACCGCCACCCTTCCCCCAGTGTCTGGTCACACTTCACCCAATCCTGTCCTTAGGGCTCTTAGTTCTTTGCTTTTACATTTTTATCTTAACGAAGCATGGACATGAGGCACGGGTACCAAACAAAGAAGACCGACTCCTGTTTCATATCTTTGGTCACTGTTTTCATCTACTTCTGTCTGTTTTGATGCCTCTCCAGCAGTTACCAGACTTCTCTAGGGAGGGGTCTGACCTCCAGGATGCAATAGCGCTCTCCACCAGCCGCCCCGTGAGCTGAGGACTTGGGAATAGGGACCCAGTGCCAAGAGGGTCAGCGGGATGGGGCCCAGGACAGTTAGGGGGAAAGGGTCACAGGATATGGAGCACAATGGGCTCTGCTGGGAGAGGAGTGCCCTTGCTGCCCCCATGGCGATAGAAGCTGCCCGTGGGGCCTGTGTCCCGGAGGCAGGAGAGAGCCAGCTCAGGTCGGGGAGCCTGAGGTTGTGTGCTGGGCCTCCTCCTTCTTCCGCCGCCGCAGCATGAAGTCTCCAGGGGCAGCTGGACTCATGGCATAGAAGACGTTGGCGTTGTCAGGAATCAGGAGCTCTGGCCAGGGGTGGACATGATCATGAAAGCCCGCACGACCTCATACCTCCCCCACAAGGGGCCTATTGCAGGTCACCGTCTGCCGTTCTGCCTGAGGCCTGAACAACCTTGGGTCCCTTCGGCCAGTGCTCAGCCAACCTCGTTCTGCTCTCATTGGGCACCTGGACAACTGGCCACTCAGAGCCTGCACAACTTCGTGTCTCCTCCACACCTCAGACCTGGGCAGCTTCCTGCCACTTCCCCCGGAATCTAGGCAACCTACACTGCGAGCCTGGGCAAACTCGGGCCACCCATCCCAAACAACTTCCTTCCACCCCACTCTCTCCTCACGGCCAGTTCCCAGCCAAGTTCATGCTGCTATTACCATGAACTTGAACAGCTTCTGACTTCCTACTTCCGGCCTGCACGACCTATGGCCGTTGCCACCCGAGCCTCACATACCCCTTCCTTATGTCCAGCCTACTTCACGTCCTGTTCTTTAACATAGCAACCTCTTGTCTCTGCCTTGCAGAAACTGGACAACCTCCTACACTGAACAACCTCATGGTCCCCTCCCCCGGATTTCAATACCTTTTGGCTTTCTCCTGTGCCAAGTTCAGACACCTTCAGATTCCCCAGGCTGAGCCTGGACAAACTCATTTCCCCTCAGATTAAGGCTCAGAGCCCTTTCAGACCTACATCCCACCACGTTAAGCCTGAACAACCCCATGATCCTATACATTTAAGCCTAGACAATCTTTTACACACAGTCCCTCTTGTCTAACCCTGGGCAATCTCATTTCCCCATAATCCCAGGTGCCCCCTTGCCTCACACTGAGCCAGGATAACCACGTGACTCATATAATTGAGGAACAAATATGTTACTGCCTCTCACCCCCACTCTGTTTCATCTTATCCCTACCCTGTGCCTATAGCACCTCCTGGGCCTGTGAGGGCCATCTCCCAGCTGCCCCCAGCCAAGGCTCCAAGCTGCCCCTGCTCACCCTTGTCCCCAGGAAGGACCTGAAAGAGCTGGTAGTCACGGGCCCCGGACTGGGCCATATTGTGCTTCTGTAAGGCTCTCTGCACCACACTGGGGGTCTTGTCCTGACTCGTGAGCTGGGAAAGGAAAGCAGGAGGTCAGAAGGGACAGTCTGAGCCCCAAGGGCAGGGCTGCCCCCAGCAGGTCCCTGGCCCCTTCCTCACCAGAATGCTCCGATACAGGTTCCCGTGGTCGTTGTCGATGCTGACGCGGATGACCCGGGCCTCTGAGCCTTGCTGCCCCACGTGGGGGATTCGAGGACAGCTCAGGGTCAAGGCCAAGGGCAGCTGTAAGCAGTGGGGGAGCATTAGGCCCCTTCTTTATTAATGCATTCAACACATGCCCCTACACACCCAAAGTCAGGGGACACACAATCAGGGCACACACATGCAAGTCCACAGCTGTGCAATTCCATCACATACAAACCTTCATTTCCTGTTACACACATTTACATGATTAATAAACACACACACACACACACACACACACACACACACACACATCCTATGCACACCAAACAGAGAGTGCTGGCATATGCTCACAGTCATTGCACACATGTAAGTCCATATCCACGAACAGCCTGGCACATGGGCCGGTGGATATGGTGGATATTCATGCTCACATTTCCCCTTCAGGAATGCAAATTCCTGGCAACACACCAATTCTTGCAAAATGTGGTATTGCACCATGGGTGAGCAGACACACAGGCCCAGATCTGAGCACAAGCCAGACGGAGGGACAATTTCTCAATCAAGGCCGTGAAAATGTACATGGCCCCTTGGACAGATGCCCCAAGTACTGAGCCAAGCATGAGTACAACCTCATATGTACATGCTTGGCCTTAAAATCTCTCTCTCTCTCTCTCTCTCTCTCTCTCTCTCTCTCTCTCTCTCTCACACACACACACACACACACACACACACACCCCGAGCCCTGGATGCCCACAGTCCCACGTGTACACACAGGCAGGCCTGGTACCTTGGTGCTGGGGCTCTGGGGCCCGGGAGAGGCTGGGGGACTTCCAGGAGGAGGGTCCCTCATTCTAGGGCTGGAAGGGGGAGACCCTGGGGACAGACTGGGAGAGACGCAGAGCCTGAGGTGGTGCTCCCCCAACCTCTGACCCTGCCACCTCCAATTCCTTCCCTAAACAGGATGCTCACCTGGAAGTGGGGGATGAGGGGTCCCCAGGACTCCCACCAGGAGATGCGCCTCTCTCCCTGGACAGCTTCCTGAGGGTGAGGACAGGGGGTGAGGGTAAGGTCAACCTCAGAGCCAGAAGCAGCCCCCGCCCCATCTCTGCCCATATTACCCCACCCACATTCCCAAGACTCACGCACTGAGACGCTTGGTGAGGCTGATTCGTCGCCGCACACGTGGGGAGCTGGGACAGGAGGCGGCTGGTGGCTCAATGACACGGGAGACACGGTAGCTGAGGGGTCAAGTTGGGAGACGAGAGTTAGAACCAGTTGGGAGCTGGGTTTGGACATTGTGGGGAACAGCTAAGTACTGGGCACCAAATACCAGGGTGAGAGTAGTAAATGGGGTCACAAAGAAACTGGGTCTTATTAGGAATGAGATGGGATGGCTGGGTTGGCAGGTCACACAGGGACTCACAGGTGTGACTGAAGCGTCAAATTGGGTCAAGAATAGAATTCAAGGTCAGGTAATTATTGGAGTCACGGATTCCACGGAATGAAGGAAATAATTGGGATAGTTGAGTTGGACGGTCAAATATATGTCAAAGTCTAGTCAATTACTCAAAATTGGGGGTCAATGATTGGGCTCGGAGAGTCAGATGGGAGTCATGAATAGGATCGCGGGTCAGATAGGGTCAGAGGTGGGAAGAGAACAGAATGGATGGTTGAGTTGAAGTCAGAAAGCCAGATAGAGTCAAATTTAAGGTGGGAGGTCATTTGGGGCCCTCAATTGGGCTGGAGATGATGCAAGGTCACAGGTTGGGGGTCAAGGCTCAGGAAGGGGGTGGTCTTAAGAAGGATTTGGAGAGGTATATAGGAGGTAAGGAAATCCAGGGTCCCTCGAAGTGGGGCTGGGCCAGGCCACAGGGTGGTCACCTCTGCTCCTCACTGAGCTGGCGCTGGGCACGCAGGGCAGCCAGGATGGGCGGGCAGGGGCTCAGGCAGTAGCTCCGACAGCGCTTCTGCAGCTGCTGGATTCGGGCCAGGATCTCCCACTCCTGAGGGTATGATTTCTGAGACCCCACCCCTGCCCTGACCCCACCTGGGCCCCTCCCGCACTCACCCCAGCGCCCACTCACCTTCCTCCTCTTCTCAAAGTTGATGAGATCCCCCTGGGGGAAAACTTGGTCTGAACTGGAGTCTCGGGGTTTAGGATGGATTGAGGGTCAAGGCCAGGGGTTGGGATGTCAGGAGCCCTACTGCACTAAGGGAGCTGGGGTTGGGATGGCAGGTAGGGTCAAAGGGGGGATGTCAGGAGGCCATTGTGCTGAGGGCAAGTGGTACTGGGTCAAGGGTCAGGAGTCAGACCTCTAGCATGTCCGGCAGGGCTGTGTCCAGCATAACCAGGTCCGTGAGGAAGGTGCCAAGGTAGGGAACCGGGCCTGGGGGCAGTTTCTGTGGCCCCAGAGCTCCAGTCACTCTCCACCATCAGACCCCATCGCACCCCATCCCCTTCCTTGAGGGTCCCACTTGTCCCCCACCCCAAACTGCCACCACTCACTGAAGGCAGGCTTCCCGGGGGAGAATTCTCCTCTCGGGGTCCCTCAGAGGCCTCCTCCTGCGGGCAGGAGAAGAACTGAGCAGATCCGGTCTCTTGGACCTCTCCTTTGGGGAAGAAGCCTCAATACACACTCGATTTGCTTTTATTCTTTTTTTAAATTTAAAAAAAATACATTTTATTGTTTGTTTGTTTTTTTTACAGAGAGAAAGAGAGAGGGACAGAGAGTTAGAAACATCGATGAGAGAGAAACATCAATCAGCTGCCTCTTGCACGCCTCCTACTGGGGATGTGCCTGCAACCAAGGTACATGAATGGAATCTGGGACCTTTCAGTCCACAGGCTGACGCTCTATCCACTGAGCCAAACCGGTTTCGGCATGCTTTTATTTTTATTTATTTATTTTTATATATATATGTGTGTATTGATTTCAAAGAGGATGGGGTTGGGGGGAGAGAAAGAGAAACATCAAGCATCACCGATTGGCTGCCTCTTGCACACCCCACACTGGGGATTGAGCCCGCAACCCCAACTTATGCCCTGACCTGGAATTGAACCCTGACCTCCTGGCTCATGGGTAGATGCTCAACCATTGAGCCATGCAGGCCGGGTCCATTTTGCTTTTAGCAATTACAAAGCAGTCGCAAAGGTCACGCTCCAAGGAAAGTGAACAGGGGAGGGAGGGAGGGAGCAGAGAAGTGGCAGGGGGTTATCCCGCTGAGGATAACCCGAGGTGGGGCTTGTGGGTGCCATGGCCCCAGGGACAGCCTCGTCACAGGTGAGAATCTTTGTCCCAGGTCCATGGACCAGGCCCTCAGGCAATCCGCTGGGAATGCCCTGAACCTGCCTCACGGCACTGCTCTGCCTGGTTACTGGCACCAGCGCTGGGCAGTTAGCATTGCCCTGGGTGGCCCCCTGTCTGGGCCTGATTCCCCTCAGGGCAGCAGCTGTGTCTCTCTGGTTTGTGGCCACACGCTTGGCATATTGCCTGGTACACAGTAGGTGCTTAAACCAGAGCTCCTTGTTCCTTGAGATCATTCTTATGTGAGATATTAATTCACTCGTAGGTATTAATTGAGAGCCTGCTCTGGGCTAGGCACTGCTCTGGCCCCTGAAGAAGCAGTAGTGAGTAAAACATACAAAAACGCGCCTCATGGAGCAGACATCGGGGGGAGAGAGAGCAATAACCAAACTTTACATGTGATAATGAAGGATACTCAGAGGTAAGAAAAGAACAGTAGAGCCCAGAGGCATGGCTCAGTGGTTGAGCAGCGACCTATGAACCAGGGGTCACAGGTCGATTTCTAGTTAGGGCACATGCCAGGCTGGGGGCCCAATCTCCAGTGAGGGGCATGCAGGAGGCAGCCAACTGATGATTCTCTCTCATCATTGATGTTTCTATCTTTCTCTCCCTCTCCCTTCCTCTTGGAAATCAACAAAAATATATTCTTTTTTAAAAAAAGAATGAGCGGCCGAAACCGGTTTGGCTCAGTGGATAGAGCGTCGGCCTGCGGACTGAAGGGTCCAGGGTTCGATTCCGGTCAGGGGCATGTAGTAATACCATGGTTGCAGGCACATCCCCAGTGGGGGGTGTGAAGGAGGCGGCTGATCGATGATTCTCTCATTGATGTTTCTAACTCTCTAACCCTCTCTCTTCCTCTCTGTGAAAAATCAATAAAATATATTTTTAAAAATAAAAAAAAGAATGAGGCTGGGGGCACAGGGAGGGCATCTTGGGGGAGGGGGACATCTGGAAGGGGACCTGCAGGAGGTGAAGGTGAGGACTGTCCCAACTATTCTGGACTCACCCTAGCAACCTGATTGCATTTAGAACCTCGATCTTGCCTACAGTAAGTCTGATCTGTGGGCACACGTTGGTTAGTTTTGCTTATTAAAGCCACTTTTTTTTATTTCCTCCCTCCCCCTCGCCCCCCTTCCCCTGCCGCCCTAAAGCTACTTTTTTTTTTTTTTTTTTTCACTCTTCGCTGTGACGCTAGCCTTCAGTGACCTTTTCCTTGTAACTTCTGGTATTTGTTGAATGAATAAATAAGGCAGTTAGCGAGCTGAACTATCATGAGGGCAGCAGAGGCAGTAAAAACGCGGGCCGCAAGGACAAGGTCATTGCTGAGGTGCAGGGAGGGGGAGGGCAAGGACAGCCTGTGCCCAGGTCCCCGGCCGGGCCTCTGTACCTGGGAAAGAATCTCTCTGCTGCTGAGATGGTTGTTCTCGTCCGAGAAAATCTGCGACAGTTTCCTGAACGTGGATAACGGCTCCCTGTGGGGGACAGGAGAGGAGTCAGGGCTGGGGGGGTCAGGGCTGGGGGGGTCAGGGCTGGGTTGGTTGGGAGGAATCGCCCAGCTTCTCTCCCCGGTCTCCTTACCTGCTCACAGCGCCCCAGCTGCTCTTGAGCCGGTATATGGGGTTAGACTGCAGGGCGGACAGGATGGCGCGCAGCGAGGAGAAGTTCCGCAGCTCCCTGCAGCGCTGGGGGGTAGAGGGGGGGCGCCGCTCAGACCCCAAGCCTGGCCAGGTGTAACCCGCCTTCCATGACCTCCTGACTTCTCACCCCGGATCCGACCTGTCCGACTGGCCCACATCCGACAGCTACCAGGACCTTCTCCGCCTCTCCCACCTGCTGCCCCAGCCCCTCCCCCAGCTGCTCCTGCTTCTGACCTTGCCTTCTGCCTCCTGACTCTGCCTTCTCTGTGGGCATAGAGGCGCCTGGGGCATCTCTCCGGAACCAGACCCCTCCTCCCGAACCCCAGTCTCAGGCCAGGTTCAGCCTTTCACTCCCCCTCCTGGCCAGGCGCCCTCTCTCTCTCTCCAGGGCCCTCATTTCTGTCTCTTCCTCTCCGACCAGGGGTCCCTGCCCTCCGTCCCCTCCCCGCCAGTCTTTTTCAGGACCCCTGCCCGCCTCTCTGGGCTTTGGTCCCTCCTCCAATCCTGTACCCTCCGGATCACACCCATCCCATCCTCTTATCCCAAGGCCTGCCCAGTTCCTCGGAGTCCCCGGCCCCAGCCTGGCATAGCCATGTCCTTGGCTTTTCCTTAGGCACCTTCCAGCCCCAATGCTCCCCACACCCCCAGACCCCAGCCCTCCGCCCCCCGCACCCCCTGCCTCTCTGGGCACCACCGCCCCGAACGTGCACCTGGGCAATGCGGATCCACTTCTCCAGCCGCTGCGCCCTCTGCGGGGCAGCCAGGCCCGGCGCGCCCAGCACCGAGCCCAGCACGCAGCCGGTCACCAGGTTGAACTGGGTCACGGTGGCGCGCACGGTCGGGGCGATGCCGGCGGCCCCCGGCCGGTCCCGCTGGGACCACACGGAACCCAGGCACTCGCAGGGCCGCACGCGGGAGAAGAGTTCCTGAAAGGGGGTGCGGGTAGGATCTGTGCTCAGCCGGACCTGCCCCCCCCCCGCCCCCCCCCCCCCCCCCCCCCCCCCACCCCCACTGCGCGCCTCCCGCAGCCTCACCACGTCCATCAGAGTCAACTGCTCAGCCACTTGGTCTGCACTGAAGTCCAGGAGCTCAGGGCCTTCTTGCACCAGCCCTTCCTCCTCTTCCACGGAGCCTTCGGGCGAGTCTGGGCTGGGGGTCCGGGCAGCTCCAGGAGGTCCTGAGGGAACCGCCAGAGGGGGTTAAGACTCTCAGGTGTGGATTCGGGACTGGCTGCGGGACCTAGGGCACGTCCCTGCGTGTTTCTGAGCCTCACTTTCCTCATCTGTGAAATGGAGACCTCCCTCAATGTTTGTAAGGACATCAAGTGACAGATCCTCCCTCCCTTCCTCCAACAGATGTAAACTCCACCTGCAGCCAGACATTCCTGAGCACTGAACCGCCAATCAGCACCTGCCAAATACCCTAAGTCCCTAGGTCCCTAATCATAGGCCTTACATGAAACCACCCATCAGCGTGTGCTGAGTGCCCTAAGCCCCGTCCCCTCTTTTCCCTCCCCTTAAAAAGTGCTTGTACCCTCACTCTCTTTCTCCTCTGGAAGCAGCCGGCAGTGATAGCCTTCTCTCCAATAAAGCCTGTGTCCTGGCACCCCGGTCTCCGGCCCCTCTGTTTCATCTTCCATAAAGCAACAGGAACGTTCGCTGAGCTCGCAGTGTGTGCAGGCATCTTCAAACTACGGCCCGCGGGCCACATGTGGCCCGCAGAGGAGTCTGATCTGGCCCGCCAGATTTTTTGGGCAGTGAGCGCAGCCGAGGTGTTACAGTAGGAATTAGTAGTTCATATAGTCCCGCCCTCCAGCTCTCTGAGGGACCGTGATCTGGCCCTCACTTTAAAAAGTTTGAGGACCCCTGGTAGTGGTTTAACTCGGTAATTTAGCACTTACTAGCCAGCCAGGCATTACTAGTGAACTGCTGTTGTAATGACCCACCTCCCAGGGGCAGAAGGAGCAATTTGCCTTAAGTCAGTTCGGTAAATGACAGGGCAGGGGTTTGAAGCCAGGTGCTCAAAGGCTAGCATAGAAAATAGAGCTTTATGACTTTGAGACTTTATTAAGATAAAATCTTTTGCGCATATATATATATATATATATATATTGATTTCAGAGAGGAAGGGAGGAGAGAATCATTGATCCGTTGCCTTCTGCAGGCCCCTCACTGGGGATGAGCCCTCAACCTGGGCAGGTGCCCTGACCGGGAATCCAACCATGACCTCTTGGTTCAGAGGCTGAAGCTCACACCAGCCGGGCTTGCCCTTTGCTTTTGGTGAAAGATGGTATAATTTTGTGGTTGCGGAAGGTGATTGTCAGTTCAAATTCAAACTTGTCCACCGGGCTTGCTGTGTAAACTAAAACTTTAAACTTCTCTGCGCTTTCTTTTCTTCATCTGCATTTCTTTTCATTTGATCCCCCCCTCCCACATTTCTTAAAAAAAAAAAATCAAATGAGATCATGCATACCAGGCTGCTATAAAGTACTCAAATGTGAGTGACTTTGTGTTGTGGGTTTCAGTGGGGGCACCCCAGGGGGCATCTTAGAAGCCGGACCCTCGCTGCACTGTGAAGACCTGTGCCCCAGCCTCCACACGTCCCTCCGAGGCATTGCTGCCCTTGTTTCTTTTGCTTGTTTTTATTCTACTTTTCCTTTCTTTCTTTTTGTTCTTGTGTGTCCTTGAAAAACCTGTTTCTAGCGATCTGCACCTTGCACCCAACTATCTTGCTCAGAAACACTAATTATTTTGGCCCCAGGAATGCAAGGACTGTGAAAGCCCTACCTTGGTTTTGTTTGGAAACTGCCAAGTGTTGCTCAGCATTTTGGAAGGCGATGTCACTAACATCTATGCTACTGCATCCGTGGGGCCAGTGCACGCTCCTGCATCAGTAGGTGTGTGCGCCTCAACTCCCGATCTGGTTGGGGGATCTAGTATGCAACTGAGGCAATTGCCCTTGACCAGAATCAAACCCAGGACCCCTCAGTCCGAGGGCTGATATTCTATCAACTGAGCCAAACCAGCTAAGGCAGCTGGTGAAATCTTGAGAGCAGAGAAAGAAAAACACTTAGTAACCAGAAGATGGAAGGATAAGATATACAGGGTGTGGCAAAAGTAGGCTTACAGCTGTTCATATGGAAAACAATACAATAATTAATAAATAACTCAAGAATAAACTCCACAATGGTAAGATATGTACACAGATAATAATTTAATTAAAAAATTTAAAAATATTGAAAAAGAATAAACTCCATGTTTCATGAACTCACCGCTGTAAACCGACTTTTGCCTGGCCCTGTATATGCATAACTGAATGTTTCAGGAGAAGTGGCTGCTGCTTTGTAAAGAGGAGAGAAATGTGACCATAACCTGAGGATTACAGGATGGGGATTAGGGATACAGATGCTTTCGTGATAGGGATCAGATGGAACACAGAGGGGGGAAGATGATACTTTATAAGAGGGATATATAATTATTCAGTCAACCAATCTGCACTGTTCCTGCCCCTGGGGACAAAGATGGGGACTAAACCAATGAGGGCTATGCAGAAAAATAAGGCAGGTTAAAAGGGCACAGAGTGAGAGAATAAATTTGTTGGGAGGGGGTCAGAGAAAGCATATCTGAAAAGTTGACAACTGAACAAAGACTTGAATGAAGTATATGGCTCTTTACCCTTCCTGCCCACCCCCCAAAGCTCTCTGCAACAGAAGGTGGTAGGTTTTTCTATAAAAGACCAGTTTACTGACCCCTACTATACAAGAAAATACCCGCATGGCTTCTTGTACATATTTCATTGTAAGTGGTACATTCTAAAAAGTAAGAATAATTGATAATAACAATAAAAAAGTATTATTACTATTTGCCAAGCCCTCATTGCTTGTATATTTACTTGTCTACTGATTGTCTTCCCCAGGGAACTGAGAGCTCCTGTCCACTGTTATGTACATAGAGGCCAGTGGCTAAATATCTGCTAAATGAATGAAGAGGTAATGAGGTAAGTACTGTTATTGCCTCCATTTCACAGGTAGGGAAACTGAGGTTCATATTAGTGAAGTGACTTGTCCAAGATCAGACAGTCAGCAAATGGCAGGACTGGGATTTGAATTCAGATTTCTGTGGCTCCTAAGGTAAGTAGTAATGGAATGATTTGTAGTTAAAATGCAGAACATTCTGAACCAATGATGGAGCATCTTTGCAGTTAGGACAGAGAGGGGAGGGAGCTGCTAGACAAATGCCAATATGTTAGACAAAGGGTATTTCCCCCATTTTATAGGTTAGGAAACTGAGGCTCAGACAAGATTCAGAACCTTATTTAGCCCAGCCATCGTGGCTCAGTACACATGCCCAGGTTGTGAGCTTAATCTGCAGTAGGAGGTGTGCAGGAGGCAGCCAACCAATGATTCTATCTCTTGATCCCTTTCCCTTCCTCTCTCTCTAAAAATCAATAAAAACACATATTTTTAAAATAAAAGAAAAAACGCTTGGCTGGTGTTGCTCAGTGGTTGAATGTGGACCTATGAACCAGGAGGTCATAGTTTGATTCCCAGTCAGGGCACATGCCTGGGTTATGGGCTGGATCCCCAGTAGGGGGCATGTAGGAGGCAACTGATCAATGATTGTTTCTCTCCCTCTCCCTTCCTCTCTGAAATCAATCCTATATAATAAAAGAGTAATATGCAAATCGACCAAATAGGGAATGACCCAGCGGTGTGACCTGCACTGACACCAGGGGGCAGATGCTCAACACAGGAGCTGCCTCCTGGTGGTCAGTGCGCTCAGTCGGAAGCCGGGCTGATGGCTGGCGAGCAGCAGCAGCCCACCTGCCTGGCAGTGCTAAGGATGCCCAAGGCTGTCCGATCATGGCTTAGGCCTGCAATAGGACAGTAAGCAGTAGGACATTCCCTGAGGGCTCCCAGACTGCAAAAGGGAGCAGGCCAAGCTAAGGGACCACCCCACCCCACTAAATGCACCAATGTCGTGCACCAGGACTCTATTAAAAAAATATATATATTTTTTAAAGAAAAAGAACCTTGCCTAAGATCTTTAGCTCCCTGCGGGGAGGAGCCCCGTGGGGGAGGTATGAATCAGGAAAAGCCTGCTCAGGGCACTATCATTGCCCCAAACCCCTCACCTGCCGAAGCCTGAGGCTGCTCCTCCTCCTCTTCCTGCTCCTGCTCAGCCGCCTCCAGGAAATCTCTCAGCAGCTTCTCTGCTTCCAGGGCCTCAGGCCCCAGTGGGGCAGCCCAGCCCAGAAAGGTGCGGACGCTGCCCAGGTCCGAGTGGGCAGGGGGGTCCCAGAAGTCCTGAGGGTGGTCCCGCAGCCAGGAGCCCAGCACAGACACCACAGCCCTGGCCAGAGGAGCAGGACCTCAGAGGCCGGTTGGGAACTCCGCAGCCCCCACACCTCAGATCCGACCTCTGACCTCGGGGACCTTCCACAGCTGCCCAAGTGGGAAACCAACCTCAGGTTCTTGTTGAAGCTGAGATCCTGTCCCTCTGTCTTCTTGATCTCCACCCTGGAAGGAGCCCCACAATCAGGTGGAGAAGGGTGTAGGGAAGAGGGGAGGGGGTGTGTGTAGCAGAGGGTTCTGAGGCTGGGGGATTTCCTGATTCTAAACCTGAGGGAGGGCCCAGGGGAAGGTGGTGGTGGGGGACCACGGAGGGCTCCCCATGGGTACTGACCAGGGCGGCAAGGGCGGCGGAGGCGGTGGCAGGAGAAGGCCCAGAACGCGAGCCGTGGGCACAAAGGCCTGGTGGGTGGCCAGGAAAGTAGGAACGAAGCCGGGGTCCTGCTCACGGTCCACAGACACCAGCTCCCGCACCAGCCGCTCCAGGTGCGCCGCCCGCAGCACGCGCACCTTGCTGGTGCGGTAGTGGAGGAAGGTGCCCGCATCCGGGCTGGGGGCCTGGGAGGCAGGGGGGTGGTGATGCCAGAGGGGCGTGGCCCCTGCAGCACCCCTGTTCCAGCCACACCCGTTGCTAGCAGGGTTCTTGCACCTGACCCCGTCCACTCCCCAGAAGCTGGCCCCTAGGTTCACCCTGCACCTTGCATAAATGACCGGGACGCCGCAGCCTCCGGGCCCTGCCCGCCGCCCCGCCCCGCCCCGCCCCTAGGCTGCTCTCGGCTCTCCAGCTCCGCTTCGCTGGCTGTCCTGGTCCCTGCTCTCCCCTCCCCGCCCCTCTGCTCCTGAAGACCACCCTCCCGTCCCGCTCCAGCTCCGCCCCCCTGTCCTGGCTGACCCGGCCTCTGCCTTCAGGTGCTGCTCCCGAACCGGTCCGACCCGACCCTTCCTCACTCATCCACCCGCGCACCTGGCCGCCCACCCGGCCTGGCCGCCCGCAGCCCGCCCTCCCGTCGGGCCCCCGCCCGGGCTCCTCGCACCTGCCCGCCCCGCAAACCTGCCCGCCCCGCCCCCAGGCCCCCTCACCTGCCCGCCCCGCCCCCCGGGCCTCACCTGGCCGCCGCCGGGCCCGGCCAGCGGGCTCCCGCGCTGGCTGCGCTGCCGCCGCAGGGACACGCTGTACACCGCGCCGTCCTCGGTCTCCTCGCCCCAGTCCTGCAGCGGCGCCTGGCGCGGGAGGGGGGTCAGGGGCCGCGGGGGCCGGGCCGGGCCGGCGCCCCTCTGCCGCCGGGGCTGGGCCGGGCCTCCCCGAGTTTGTTTCACTCCAGCGAGCGCCCCGCGCCCCGTCCGGTCCGGTCGGGTCCGGGAGGATGGGGCGGCCGGCGGGACGCCCGGGGCCCGGCTCACGGAGTGCCTCCGGCCTCCCCTCCATCCCTCGGAGGAGCCGCTTCTCTGCGCCGGGGGCCCCGAGACCCGAGGGAGGGGACCTCGGGGGAGCGCGAGGGGTCCGGCCCGCCGGGAGGTGCGGTCCGGGGGGCCGGCGCCCGGAGGCTGATCAGGGGGTGGCCAGGGATGCGGGGCCCCGGGGCGCTGGTCCCCTTACCAGGGCGAGCTCCTTCCCCGCCGCCCGCTGCATGGCCCGCCGTCCGCTCCGTGCCCGGCCGGAGAGGCGGAAGGGCCGGCGGCGCGGGCAGCGCGGGGCACTTGGGGGCCGCGGGGCGGGGCGGACGGCTGCGGGGGCGGGGCGGGGCGGGGCGGGGGACCCACGGCTCTCGGATGCCCCCTGCGGGACCCCGGCTCCCCTCCAGGCCCGCGGGGCGAGGCCCGGTTCTCCCCGCAGGTGTGTGGGCTGTGCCCGGAGGAAGGCCCTCCTGGGGGGCCCCTCGCCGTGGCCCGGTGCGGGGGAGCTCAGTGCAGGGCGGGCGGGGCAGGCTGTGCCCCAGGTGGGGAGTCCCCGGTCCCCAGCGGAGGGCTGGTCCTCCCAGGTGGGGGCGACTCTCCGGAGGCCCCCCTCTGTGTCCCCGGCTGATGGGAGGGGCAGTGCTGTGGCCCCCGGTTTGGGACCAGCTGTCTTTGGGGAGGTGCCGGGTCAAGGAGAGGCCAATACCCAGGAGGCTGGTCGGTGACATTTATTTGTGATTCCGAGGCCGGCGGGCCGCCGGATATTTATTCCGGGCGCCGAGGCCGGCTCGCTCCGTCCGGCCGCTCAGCCCTCAAAGGACCCCGGGGCCGGGGGGCTGGGCGCCGAGGACTCGGAGCTCCCAGAGGCCGGGAGAGGCCAGGCGGGTGCGAGGGCGAGTCTAGGACTTCCGAGGGCTTTTGCGCTTCTTGCTGCGAGAATCAATCAGTTTCTGGGAGCGGATCTTGAGGCCCGCGCGAGACACCAGGTCGTTGTCGTCGTCCTCGGTGTCCTCCTCGTCTGGGGGAGAGGGGGGGTGGGGATCCAGGTTCCCATCCCTGCTCAGATCTCCGCAGCCTTTACACCCCACTCACCTCGGCCTTGTCGAGTCTCGGAGGACCTCCCACAGCCCCACGCCCTCCCTCTCCCCACTGGACTGACCAAAGAACTTGTCCGCGGCGCTGGCCAGGGGGAAGGTGATGCGGGTGTTGTGCGGGGGCAGCTTTCCCTCCAGGTTGGTGTAGAACTGGGAGGAGGGGGGCGGGAGAGAAGACTGTGGGTGGGGCAGGGGCCACAGGGCAGTCCTGTGCCCCCTCCTCCCACCCCATCCCAGGATAGATTCGCTTCCAAACAGCCCCTCCGCCAACTGTGGCCCAGCTGTGGCCTTCGTTCTCCCCTCGCACCCTGATGCCCAGTCCCACCTCCTGGTCCTCCCGCCAGGCCCGCCCCTGGTCCCTGGGGCGTCCTGAGGCTCCACCCCTGACACCCCATTCAACCCTGCCCTCTGACCTCCCAGTCCCATTTCTAATGAGCGGCCTTCTCCAGGTCTCCCACGGATTGCTGTAGCTCCCTGAAGTGTGTCCCCCCTCTCCCCCTTCCCCCCAACCCCTGGGTACCTCGCGATTCGCTATGTGGCGCAGCATCTCCGGAATTTCCTGGCTGTCGAACTGCGCCTGCAGCATCAGCAGCTTCTCCTCCACCAGGCCCAGCAGCTTGGGCATATAGTCACTGGCCGTGCGATCCAGCTCTTTCTCAGCAGAGCCCCCGGCCTCCTGCGGCTGCGGGGGAGGAGCTGCGTCAGTCCGGAGGGGTAGGGCCTCGGGCAGATTCCACCAGGAAGGGGCTTTTGCTTCCAGGGGTCGAGTTGGAAGGTGAGGGGCCACCCACAGGGGTGGTGCTGCTGTCCAGGGCCTTGAACAAGGGGTGGGGGATCTTCTTTTGAGGGGAGGGGATTACCAGAGAGAAGCCATTGCAAGGATGACCTGGAGAAATGGTACTTTGCTGCAGACAAGGGTGGGGCTTCTGTCTCAGGGTGCTCCGGCATTGCAGCCAGGTCGCTGAGGTTTTGGGTTGGGGGACAAAGTGGGACTTTCCTCTGGGGGTGGGTCTTGAGGCAGCACAGGGACTCTGAAGTCTTGGGCCACTTAAGGAATAAGGGAGTTACTCCAGAAACGTGGGGTAGGGACTCCCTTCTAAGTGGGCTTCTGATGTCCTTGATGCGGGGGGGAGGGAGGGGTCCTTCCAATGGGGCTATGGGGCGGACACCCACCTGAGGGGCTAAGTCCTCGGTGGCTCCGGGTAGGTCTTTCTCAGAGACCTGGCTGTCCAGTGTGAGGTGGTTCAGCTTGCCCGCCAGTTCCTCCATGCCCTCCCTCACAACTTGCATCGCCCGCGTGGCCTGATCCAGTTGGGCCTGGGCCTCAGCCTTCCGCTGCTGCTCTGCATTGAGGCTACTCTGCAACTCAGTCTGCAGCCTCTGTTCACTGCAGGGAGCGGGGAGAGAGCTGTGGGAGTGCAGAGGACCCCGTGGGGTGCCCCCCCTCCCCCGCCTCTGGCACTGGGGCCTCACCTCACTAGCATGGTCTCCCCTGAGTACTTGTGTTCTTCGAGCTCCTGATGCAGCTGCTGCTTCTCTTCCTTCAGTCCCTGCAGCAGCTCCGCGTTCTCATTCTTGAGCATCTCCAACTGCGTGAAGGTGTCGCTCTGCGCCAGGAACCGCCGCACCACCGCCTAGGGCCCACCAACCCAGTCAGAGCGAGGGCCTGGGCAGGCCCCGCTGCCACCCTCCTCTTCAACCCCGGGGCAAGAATAGGTGGCTGAGCTGACAGCTTCCGCACAGTGAAGCGTGCTGACTCTGAATAGGACTCAGGGCTGCCTCACAGGTGGGTAGCCTGGGACTAATAATATTTGCTGAGCCTTTCCCCCTCTGTATCAGGAATTTGAATCGGCCAAAAATCCGCGTGTGAGGCAGGGTAGCAGTGCCCATAGCTGCTTTCCAAAATCAAGGTGCCTAGAACATTCTGGGCAAGGGGGGGGGGGTAGATCTCACCCAATCCCATGAGGAAATACTGGCCCGCTGTGGAAACAATCCTGTCACCAGGCCAATTTCTGAAAGACACCTGGCTACAGTGCCTCAGGTGACATCACAGATCCAAGTGCCGGACCCCTGGGGGTCATCCCATGGGGAGAATAGAGGGTGGGGGAGTGCCCAAACGGGGGGGAAACAGACTGGGGTCCAGCAGGATCACTGTTTGCCAGCAGGGGACATAGGGTCTTAGGAAATTTCAAGGAAGACATTGCAAAGAGGGAGGCCCAGGGCAGGGGTCTGGCTTGCCCAGGGCTAAGGTGGCACTGGGCAGTTTGCTAGGCCCTCGGCCATGTTACAGCTGATGGAGACACAGGAGAGACAAAACTCCCAGCTTTCACAGGGCCTCCAGGACCAAGAAGTCAGCGTAAGCCTGACAGAAGGAGAAGAAACGGTGAGTACAGACAGTTTGCATGGGTGCTGTGGTAAGGGGCAGCGGAGAGACGGAGCGGTAGCTGGAGGAAGAAGGGTTGGACGTTAAGAGAGCACGTTTGCGTGCTGAGGTGTTGATCCAGGGCACAGGGCTGCAGGCAGCACTCACGTGTGCTTCGGCCACGCCGGTGGCGTCCTTGACCTTGCCGAAGAGCATCTCCATCTGGTACATGCTCCAGCGCATCTCCAGCTCCTCCTCCCTGGCCTTCCGGTTGTCCTGGGTCGTATCATCGGACTGCAGCAGCACGTGCTCCCGCTGGGTCTGCTCCAGGTTGAGGTCAGGTCCAGGGTCAGGTTGTGGACAAGGGCTTAGGACAGAGGCCAAGAAAGGGTATCTGGACATGGGTCAGGGAATAGGTGGGCCAGTCTGGGGGTCCAGGGAAAACCTTAGCTCAGGTGAGGACAGCCAAGCAGGGACCAGGAGCGCGGGACAGGGCCGGGGTCCTGGCACCCCCGGGTACACCCACCTTGCGCTCCATGCGCTCGTTCTGCAGTTTCCTCTCCTCCGCCAGTTTCTTGAACTCGCTCACGTAGTGCTCGCGGTTCTTGCGCTCTCGGAACACAGTCTCCTCCAGATACTGCAGCTGGCTCTGGAGGGCAGGCAGGGGAACAGCAGGACCAGTTGGCATCTACCATGGCTCAGGGTCAGAGCCACAGGCCCGACTGAACCAGGTTGTAAGGCCTGAGAGACAAACAGGAGGGGCTCCGGGACAGCTGGGGTTCAGATTCTGGGGCCAGGAGACCGTGTGTGTGGGTAGGATTCCCAGGGACCAGTGAGCTGGCACCTTGGCAACGTTCCGGGTGTTGAGTGCCTCCTGGTTCACCACGCGCAGCTCCTCCAGTTCACGTTTCATCCTCACCGCCTCAGCCTCCATGAAGTCCACACGGTTCTCGAAGTGAAGGCTCTCTCCCTGGGGTGTGAGGAGTGGGGCAGCCTGTGACCACTGTCCCGGGCCAGGCTGGCCCTCCCACTGGCCTCCCCGTCCCCAGCCATTCTGGTCCCTACCTGGAGATAGGCCTTGAGCTGCAGGTACACATGGGTGATGTGTTCCGCCTCCTCCGCCTTCATCCGAGCCTTCTCCAGGCGGTTCTCCAGGTTCCGCAAGGTCTAGAGGGAGACAAGGCCGGGCTGAGTCCCCTCCACCCTTCTCTCCTGGGGGTCCCCCCTGGATCAAGAGCCCCTTTGCAGCCGTCCACCTCCCAGCCCTCCAGACCTCCCTGGCCGCACCTTAGCCACCTCAGTGTTGCTATCATGCACCTCCGCCATCTCCATCTCACGTAGGCTGTGCTGCAGCTGGAGCTCCTCCAGCCGCTTCTGCCGCAATCCCAGCTGGTGGCGGAGAGCGTTCCGTTGCTTCACCTTCTCACTCAGCTGGTGGTCCAGGTACTCCAGGGCCTGCTGGAGGGAGGGGAGCGAGAGCAGGGGTCTGAACCCTGCCTAGCCCCTCCTCCAGCGCTTCCTTCCGTCTTTTGGTTCCCATCTCTCTCTCCTGTCTCTGAGCAGCATCTGACCCTCCTCCTGCAGGTGTTCTACTGTGGTGGCTTCCAGAAGCCCATCCCCTGGTTTTCCACCCCCCTCCCTGCTTGTCCCTTGCTTGTCTCCTTTGCCTTTGGCGAGACAGCCCCAGGCTCCTCTCTCCTATGTCTGCGCCCACCCCCATCATGATCTCTCATCCATACTCAGGGTTTTAAAGGCCACCTGTGCACTGGAGACACCCAAATTTAGCCTCCCCCCAAAATTCAGGCTCATGTATCCACACCTACACTGCCTTCCAGCTGTGTCCCCAGGCGCCTCAAAACCACTGCTACCCATTTGAGCACTTGATCTTTCTCCAAACCTGCCCTTCTCAGTCTTCCCATCTCAGCTCATGGTGCTCTATCCTTCCTTCCAAGTGCTCAAGTCCAAAACTCTGTCATCCCCACTTCTTTTTCTCTCCCATGTATGTTCAATTTGTTAGCAGTTACCTGCTCTATTTCAAAGGTTGCCCGAGCCGGGACCGGTTTGGCTCAATGGATAGAGCGTCGGCTTGGGGACTGAGGGGACCCGGGTTCGATTCCGGTCAAGGGCATGTACCTTGGTTGCGGGCATGTCCCCAGTGGGGGGTGTGCAAGAGGCAACTGATCGATGACTCTCTCTCATCGATGTTTCTAGCTCTCTATCTCTCTCCCTTCTTCTCTGTACAAAATCAATAAAATATATATATTTTTTAAAAAAAGGTTGCCCGAGATTCTTTTTAAAAAAAATATATTGTATTGATTTTTACAGAGAGGAATTGAGAGGGATAGGGATAGAGAGTCAGAAACATCGATGAGAGAGAAATATCAGTCAGCTCCTCCTGCACACCCCCCACTGGGGATGTGCCTGCAACCAAGGTACATGCCCTTGACCAAAATCGAACTCAGGACCTTTCAGTCCGCAGGCCGACGCTCTACCCACTGTGCGAAACCAGTTTTGGTGCTCCCCAGATTCTTGCTTCCTGTTTCCAGCTTTCACCCTAGTGCATCCAACACCATCTTTCACCAAAATGACTTCCTCCTGACTTCCACTCTTGCTCTCTCTCAGTCCTTCTCCACTTACCTGAGCCTTAGCATATAAAATCCCCCTCTTTTCATCATGGCCTGATGTAAGAGTCGCTCCTGTTGACCCCCTCCTCCCATGTTCCCCTTTCTCACTCCCATTTAGCCACACTGGCCTCCAACACTTTACACTTGTTCCTACCCCAGGGACTTTGCCTTGTTGTTCCCTCTGCCTGCCCTCAACCCCCATCATTTCCTGCCTGGACCGTTCTCAGCTCAAGCATCACATCAGAAAGAGAGGGGTCTTTGCTGACTCCCACCCCCCCACTCAAAAGTGCAAATCCCTGTCCCAGTGGGAACTTGGTCTGTGTTTTTTCTCACTGCATGATCAACAATACCTAATACCAAGCCAGGCACATGGTTGACAGGTGATAAAAATTAACTGTGTGAATAAATGAGTGGTGGAGGGTGGGGAGACAGGACTAGAGAGGGCGGGGAGGAGGGAGGGAGTCCAGTGGGGAAGGGACCCAGGCTGGGAAGGAAGGAGACTGTCAGTGGAGTAGGGGTTGGGGCAAACCTGGCCTGTCCTGTTCTTCAGGTATGGCTTTTCCGACTTCCATTCCTGAATCACTGCCTGGACCACTTTCTCTTCTCCCTGCAAGGAGGGGAGCCCAGTCACCACTTACCCAGGCCACCTGGACCTGAGGCAGTGCCCTGTGCTGGGAGTGCTGGGAGTGCTGGTGCTGCCCCTGGGACCGCTCCTCCCACTGCTGAACCCTCACCTTGAGCAGGTCCCTCAGCCGTAGCTGCAGCACCCTGTTCTCCTCATGTAGGTGGTTGATGGTTTCCTGATTCTTCTTGATGTTCCACTGGCTGCTCTCATAAAAGGCCTTCCGATCACTCTCTGGGGTCAAGTGATGTGGGCAGGTACAAGCAGAGCATCATGGGGATGGGAAAGACTTCCCAGAGGGATAGCCTTTTTGTAGTCATCAATTTAATGTTATAACAATATTTTGCTTAGAGCATTTACTATGTGTTGGATGCTGAACTAAGAACTTTGCAGATATAAAATATAGTATGCCAATAGGTACATATCCACATCATACCCATTTCATAGGTGAGAAGACTGAGGCTCAGGCTTATTAGATTGTTCAAGATCACAAACAGTCTGACTCTTGACCTTCAACCACTCTGCAAGATTCCCCCTATCCTATATAATAATCCTATATAATAAAAGGGTAACATGCAAATTGACCCTAACGGGGAACCAACCAGAATGACTGGTCACTATGACGTGCACTGACCACCAGGGAGCAGAGGCTCAATGCAGGAGCTGCTTTCTGGTGGTTGGTGTGTTTCCATTGGGGGAACACCACTCAGCCAGAAGCCGGCTCATGGCTGGCCAGCGCAGCAGCCGTGGTGGGTGCCTCTCCCACCTCCATGGCAGCGCTAAGGGTGTCTGACTAACGACTTAGGCCTGCCGTTAGTTGGACATTTCCCAAGGGGGCTCCCAAGCCTCCACAGGCATATCTGACTGACAGCTTAGGCCTGATCCCCTGGGAAGCAGGCCTAAGCCGGCAGGTGGACATCCCCCGAGGGGTGTCGGGCTGCAAGAAGGTGCAGGCTGGGCTGAGGGACCCCATCCCGCACCAAGTCCATGAATTTTCGTGCACTGGGCCTCTGGTTAATAATAAAACAATACTGGTTTACACCAGGTTTTCCCAACCTCGGCATGACTGACACTTGGGATGTGCAGTTATTTACTGTAGTGAGTTGCCCTGTGTATTTTGGGATGTTGAATAGCATTCCCAACCTCCACCCTCTAGATACCAGCAGCATCCTCCCACCCCTAATTATGTGACAACCAAAAATGTCTTTAGCGCTGGCCAGTTAGCTTAGATGGTTAGAGCATTGTCCTAATACACCAAGATTGTGCGTTTGATCCTCAGGGCACATTTAAGAATCAACCAACGGCCAGTGGATAGGGCGTCGGCCTGCAGACTGAAGGGTCCCGGGTTTGATTCCGGTCAAGGGTATGTACCTTGGTTGCAGGCACATCCCCAGTTGGGGATGTGCAGGAGGCAGCTGATCGATGTCTCTCTCATTGACGTTTCTAACTCTCTATCCCTCTTCCTTCCTCTCTGTAAAAATCAATAAAATATATATTTTAAAAAAAGAATCAACCAACGAATACATAAATAAGTGGAACAACAAATCAGTGTGATATCTCTCTCTCTCTAAAGATAAACAATCAACTATAAAAGCCTCCAGACTTTGCCAAATGCCCCCTGGGGAGCAAAATGAACCTCATCCATTGAGAACCACTGGTTTGCAACTTATAGTGTGCTACCATGTGCCACTGCTCTAAGCACTTAACACATTTCAACTACCTATGGTGTTGTACTGTTATCCCCATTTTACAGATGGAGAAACTGAGAGCAATTAGGTTACTCTTAGTGCCCAAGATCAAACCATCAGTATATGCAGAGCCAGGATTTGAGCCCAGAATGTCTGTCTCTAGAATCTATGTTTTTCACCAATCCATACATGAGAGTTGAAATTACACAAAAGTATGAAATACAATCCAGTTGACTCCCGAGTCTAGGAAAAGCTTTTTCTTTCGTTAATCTTCACCCAAGGAAATTCCCCCCCCCCCCCATTGGTTTTTAGAGAGAGTGGAAAGAAGGGGAAGAGGCAGAGAGAGAGAAACACGTGAGAGAGACACATCAACTGGTTGCCTCCCCCAAATGCACTGACCCAGGCTGGGGACCCAGCCTGCAACTGAGGTACATGCGGTACATGCTCTTGACTGGAATCAAATCCCAGACTCATCAGTCCAGTCGGAGGGCCCATGCTCTATCCACTGAGCCAAACCAGCCAGGGCCAGGAGTTTTATGAGAAGAGTTTTTATGAGTTTTTGCCACCTGAACTGATCACCTGGATGAATGCTGGTGAAGCACCCTTGTCACACCATTCCTGGTCAGAGGGCTGAGTGGACATTGCCGACTAGGGACCATTGTATGCCCTTTGGAGTCATCTTACCTAATACTTGTATCTTCCTTTGTAACTCAGCCATCTGAAGTTGGATAGCGGCCTTCCCATGGGTGGGTCCCTTGAAATGGACTGGAGGCCAGGCCTGTCCGGGGACCTTGACTCTACTAGGGTGGCCTTTGGTCTGATCTTGAGTGCCCTTGGCCTTGGAAGAAGTCGGAATCTGGTCCGGAGGAGGCACCGTGGCACTGGTGGCGGCCAGCCAGCACAGGGGAGACGTCATGATTGGGTTGGGGACAAAGGCAGGTCCAAGGGGCTGGGGGGGGCGACTAGGAATCGCCTCTGTCAGGGATCCGTCAGTTCGGGTTTCTCCGGCTCAGAGAAAGCACTTTCCTACCGTTTGGCTGGGCCTAGCAGCATCTCCCAATTGCTAGGTAACCTCCTCCCCTCCTCCCTTTCCGCTCCCATGGAAACCGTCCGCGTTCCGCACCGCTGCTCTCATTGGCTGGCGCTGTGGAGGGGCGGGCCCAGCATGGGGCGCCGCCATAGGGTGGGGGAGGGCTCTTTAAGAGTCACGTGGTCGTCTTTTTTTTTCCCCCCCCTCCTCCCGCCTCCAACCCACAGGATATTCGCCTGCGTTTTTTCAGGAACTTTCTTTGGCGATGGCAGAACCTGCCACTCCCAAGATGGAGGCACCTTGCGCCGCCATTAAGCGCAAACCTCCAGAACTATTCCCTCTAAGGCTTCGTAGTCCTATCCAAGATGGCCGCCCGGGTTCCGGCGCCTTGTGTGCCACTCCCAACATGGCGTCCCCGAGCCGCCGTCTTGGCGCTCAGCGCGCTACCGGAAGTGACGCACGAAACACACTTCCGCTTTTCCCTTTTCACGCTGGAGGAACTGTTGGCTGCTGGGCTAGGGGGGCGCGGTGGATATTGACCTTTGCCCTTGCTCCATGTAAGTGATGAGTTAGCGGGCGGGAGGGAACCCCAATTTCCTATTGAGGTAGCCTGAGGGTGTGCGTCGGGGAAAGGGGAGGCTGTTTGCTTCCTCGGCCCATTGGCGGGAATTGGTTAGTCCACTCTCCCCCCCTCCATAGGGAGCGGAGGTTTTGAGGTCCCACCATTGATTCGGGCCGGGTCGGAAAGGTATCTTCCGATATCTTTTCCCATGAGCCCCTGGCTCGGAAGCGATGGAGGAACCCAATTGGCTGGAGGAAGAGGTGCCTTCCTTCGGCTGGAAGTAGCCCTCGGCCGCTGACCTGCAGCTCCTCTCTTGCAGCGCGTCTCCCCGCAGCCCGCCTCCTCCACCGACTCCGTTTCCGGCCTCCGAGCCTCTGGCGAGATGTTGCTGCTGGTGCTGCTGCTCCCCGCGTGCTGGGCCGTGGAGGTCCGGCGGCCTCGGGGCGTCTCCCTCACCAGTGAGTCTGCCGCTGGATGGGGTGGGGGGTGTGGAAGGGGGTAGGCTGGGGCTCCTCCGGGAGGCATTTACAGCCTTTGGCCTCAGTTTCCCTGCCTCTGGGTTTAGGGGACGGTAGCAGTGCTCAGCCAATGGGTGGAAGCAGAGGTGCCATTAGATTGAGAGGCCTCTTCCCTGCCCTGGGCTGAGTCTCTTGCTCACCTCCCCAGACCATCACTTCTACGATGAGTCCAAGCCTTTCACGTGCCTGGATGGCTCGGTCACCATCCCTTTTGATCAGGTCAACGACGATTACTGTGACTGCAAGGATGGTTCGGATGAGCCAGGTGAGTTTTTCTCCATCCACCCATTCACTCGTTGCACGTGTACTGAGCACCTGGGCAAGGCCAGGTCCTGTGTGGTGACAAAGAGAGTACTGCTCCCTGTTGGCTTAATGGGGAAAGCTGGCACAGAAGCAAGTGGTCCTTGGTTTGGTGGTGAGAGCCACGGGCACTGCGGGAGCTCGGAGAGGCCCCCATCCAATCCGAGGTCTCGGCGCCCGGAGGTGGGAGGGGCCAGCGCTCGGAGGTGGGAGAGAAGGCGGGGCCTGTGGGCAGACAGAGACAGGTGAAGGCGAGGGAGGGAGCACCTCGTGGGCCTGTTCTGAGGGTCTTGATGGAGCGTGTCAGGAGGGGGCATGAGAGAATTTAGTTTCAGGCCTTGAGTGTGCAGCTGTCCCTCTGCCCCTAACGCAGCACTGGTCTGCCTTTCTTTTCTTTTTTAAATATATTTTATTGATTTTGTACAGAGAGGAAGGGAGAGAGATAGAGAGCCAGAAACACCGATGAGAGAGAATCATCGATCAGCTGCCTCTTGCACACCCCCCACTGGGGATATACCCGCAACCAAGGTACATGCCCTTGACGGGAATCGAACCCGGGACCCTTCAATCCACAGGCCCGACGCTCTATCCACTGAGCTAAACCGGTTTCGGCTGGTCTGCCTTTCTTGAGCTCTGTTGGGTGGATGTGATGGGTTAAGGCCTGAGCACTCTGAAAACTCCCCTTCCTCTTCCTTCTTCCCCAAGGCACGGCTGCCTGTCCTAACAGCAGCTTCCACTGCACCAACACTGGCTACAAGCCCCAGTACATCTCCTCCAGATGGGTCAACGACGGAGTCTGTGGTACATGAGGTCCCACCGGGGGTGGGGAAGGAGAGGCGGGTGGAGGAGGAGGCGCTGCCAGGTCTGATGGTGCCCCCTCCTGTGCCCTAAGACTGCTGCGACGGGACGGATGAGTACAATAGTGGGACCGTCTGTGAGAATTCTTGCAGGTATGTGGGTGCCCCCCCCCCCCCCCCCCGCCAGCCCCCAGGACCTTGCCTTGCCCTGCCCGGTGAAGCAGGCCCCCTCTCTTTTCTGTGTTTGAGCATCGAGTGCTCAGTCTGTGCCAGGTGCCCTGTGAGGGCTCCCTCTGGCCGGGAAGGAGGTGCATCATTTGCATGTTCAACAGGTCAAGAATCTCAAGGTTAGAAGGAAAATGGCTTTTTAAAAATGTATATTTTTTTTATTGATTTTTTTTTTTTTTTTTCAGAGAGGAAGAGAGAGGGACAGAGAATTAGAAACATTGATGAGAGAGAATCATCGATCAGCTGCCTCTTGCACACCCCCTACTGGGGATGTGACTGCAACCAAGGTACATGCCCTTGACTGGAATTGAACCTGGGACCTTTCAGTCGGCAGGCCTATGCTCTATCCACTGAGCCAAACCGGTTTCGGCGGAAAATGACTTTTTCAGGGTCACGTAGCTAGGAGATAGTAGAGCTGCTACTCAAACCCAGGACAGTCTAACTTGAGACTCCATGCTTTTAATTGCTACACTGGAGCAGGACCTGAAAACTGAAGTGACAGGCAGGTCATGTAAATGCTAGAAGCAGGCTGAGCATGAGGCTTTAGAGTGGTGGGGATTGTGGCATCTGAAGGGACAGCTGCCCTCGACTCCTGTCAGTTGAGGGCAGGTGATGAGGGCCTGGTTGGTTTTTTCAACGAAGCCGAACACTTATGTGTATAAACTCTTCTGATGGAAGATCTTTTATTGAAGCAGAGGGTTGATTACACACAACATGCTTACCGGCCAGATTGTCCGGGAGTCTGTGATTTCTGTGCTTTTCTCTCCTTTCTCTCTTGGGAGCCAACTTCAGCCTCACATCCCAGCACTCCCTGCTCCCTGTTCTGACCCTGAGGGTGGGCGAACCCTGTCTGCTGCCCCTCCTCCCGTGGACAAGGATTTGGGGCTCCGAGGAGGGAGTCTGGGGAGTGGAGGAGGGGGGTTCGCTCTCTTGTCTTTCCCAACATGGCGGCGGCGGGTGGGGCTGAGCCCTGTTGGGAGAGCAGATCTGATGGGTCCTAAGTGGCCCCTGGCGGTGCCTGTGTGTCCCTCGCCCCAGAGAGAAGGGCCGCAAGGAGAGAGAGACGTTGCTGCAGATAGCCGAGGTTACCCGCGAGGGCTTCCGCCTGAAGAAGATCCTCATTGAGGACTGGAAGAAGGCTCGGGAAGAGAAGCAGGTGAGGGCGAGGGGCTGACCAGAGGCCCGGGGACGTGGGCAGGCGAGGCGGGGCTTGGCCTCTCCCTACGAGAGGGGCCCTCGGGCCAGTTACTGCCTGTGCCTCGGCTCACTCATTGTCCACTTTGCACCGAGTTGTTGGGCAGGTCATTCCAGGTCCACAGTGGTCAGCAAAGGCGTGGAGCGTCAGGTGGCAGGCTGAAGAGGGCTGGGGAGCTCCGCTGCCCCAGAACAGGAGGGGTGCCTGCACCCCGGGGCTGTGGTTCTGTCATCTGTAGGATGAGGCTGATAACTGTGTGACTGGGGAGGACTTAAGACTGTGTCAGTCAGCAGCAGCTGGGTTAGTTCAGTAGGGTGTGTGCTTTTGGGGGCCAGAGGAGGGTGTACCCCCAAGTGTGTGCTCCCCCTCCTGCCCTCCCCTGCAGGCCTGGTCCTCCTCAACTGCCCTCCCCTACAGGCCCGGTCTCCCCCAACTGCCTCCCTTGTTGGCCTGATCCCTCCCAACTGCCCTCCTTTGCCAGCCTGGTCTCCCCCAACTGCCCTCTTTTGCTGGCCTGATCACCCCTAACTGCCCTCCCCTGCAGGCCATCTGTGGCGGCCATCTTGTGTCCACATGGTGGCAGCCATCTTTGACCACATGGGGGCAGTCATATTGTGTCTTGGAGCGACGGTCAATTTGCATATCACTTTTATTAGATAGGATATTTAGAATAGCAATAGGGCCCTGGCCAGTGTGCTCGGTGGTTAGAGCTTTGGTCCATGCAGCGAAGTGCTATGGGTCCGATTCCTGGGTTGTGGGTTTGATTCCCAGCTGCAGTCAGGGCGCACTCAGGAGGCAGCCAGTTGCAGTGTCTCTCTTACTTCACATTTCCCTCTCCTCCTTCCCTCCCTTTCACTTGTTCTAAAAATCAATGGAAAAAATACATTTGGGTGAGGATTAACAAAAAAATAAAATAAAAAAAGAGCAGTGGGGCAGGTGGAGCTGGAGAGGCAGCAGGGCCTGGTCACACGGGGCCTGGAACTGCATTGAGGTGTTCGGGCTTCTCTTCAGTGGGCTGCGGGGGACCAGGCGGGTGTGAGCTTTGGAAAGGCCCTGTGGTTGTACGTGGAGTAGAGGCGGGAGTAGCCGTCTATGAGGAAGAGGAAGAAAGCAGATCAGAAGGAAGAGCTGGCCCCTTGCCTTCTCCCCACCCAGCAAAAGCTCACTGAGCTACAGACCGGGAAGAAGTCCCTGGAGGGCCAGGTGGAGATGCTGCGGACGGCGAAGGAGGAGGCCGAGAAGCCCGAGAAGGAGGCCAAAGACCGGCACCAGAAGCTGTGGGAAGGTATGCCAGGGTGGCAGGGAGAGCGGGCCCAGGAGCCTTGCCCCTCACCGTTGGTCTGTTTTTCCTGCTGATTCTCGGTTCTCACCTGCCTCGCTATCTTTGTGCGTTGGCCATCGGATTTTCGGTCCTTTACAGGAGGGATTTGTAGCCTAGGATGCGAGTCCCCCAGATAGAAAGGACTTTTCTTCCTGCCAGTCACGTGGGATTCCCAAATCCAAATTCAGGCTGGGGCTGAGATCTGAGCGAAGGCTGGGTGCTTTCCCGTCCAGCCTCTCTCCCCCAAGGGGGTAGCCCCATGGCGGTGTGGTAACCCCATGGCGGCCACAGTAGAGTGTGTGCTGTTGTGCTCCCCGCCTTGGACTTTGATTTCCATCTCCTTGGCCCCACAAGTTCTCATCAAGACAGACACATCCAGAACGGGCAAGTCCTTTCGGGCAAAATCAGCCTTCGCATCTCTTACCCTTCCAGGCGCTTCGCGGCCTGGCAATTCCCGCTGCCTTGGTTGGTTTTGAGATGTTGTATGCTGTGCTCAGCATTTTCTTGCTGTTGGCCGGTCACGTCACCATGCCGGGAAGTTGGAAGCCTCGGTCCTTGTTCTCAGTGGGCTCCTTGGGGGAGACACCGTGGGAGCCACTAGGAGGGGGGGTGGGACAGAAACCCTCCAGGCTGGTCGAAGGGCCAGGCATTGCTGGGAGATCTGGAGGTGCGGCTCCGGCTGTTCCTACGGCCGGTAGCCAGGAGCTGGCAGCCCCCCAAGCTGTTGATGTCTCCCGTCTCTCTGGGCGTCTGCTGCGTTCTTCCTCGTCCCCCTCTCTCTGCCCTGATTTATCATAATCAATAATTCAGTAGTTTATCTGACAAGTATCTGCCGAGTGCCTGCTGTGTGCCAGGCTCAGCCGGGTGCCAGGATGCAGCACTGAAACAGGAGAGAAGCTGCCGCCTGCAGGGCAGGTGCACAGGCCCGAGGCACCGCCGTGTGGGTTTTTAAGGAGCAGCAGGCAGCCATGTGGCTGGAGGGAGAGACAGGGCCTGAGGGGCCATGGAGAGTCTTGGCTTTCACCCCAAGTCAGGGGAGCGCTCCTACGAAGAGGCTCCTGCCCGAATCCCAGCTGCTTGTTGGGTGGGGACGCCTCAGGGACCCCCCTCCCTCCCTCCCCTCCTCCGTGGGGGCCTGGCCACCCCCCGCTCTGGCTTCCAGTCATCGCCTCTTTCCGGGCCTCTGGCTGACTTGGACGCGCGCTCAGCCCTCGAGTGCCGGGAAGCCGGGCGGCCCCCTCCCGCCGGACGGAACCTGGCGTCCTTGGCTCTGTCCGGGCTTCCTGCTTCTTAGGTCTGTGCTCTGTCTGCTCTCTCCCTCCGCCGCCTCCCGGAAGCCCTGCTCCCACGGCGGGCTTCCTGCCCTTCCCTGCGGCCCACACTCCTGCTCGGGGCCGCGACCTGGTGCCTCTTCTCTCGTTCCTCACCCGCAGCCCAGCAGTCCGGGATGTAATGCCCCTGGAGGTCTCAGGGCCCAGACTCGCCAGGTCACCCCCCTTGCCTGGTCACACTCCCACCCCAGCCTCCATCCCCCCCCTGCTCCTTCATGGGGAGAGAGAGCCTGGTGGGGCCCTTGGGGGTCTATCATGGGGCCTCCCACACATGGCAAACCTTGGCCTGGCCCCCAGCCGCCCCCTGCGGGGTCTCTGCAGCCCTGCCTGTTCAGATCCACGTCCCAGGCCTGCCCCCACAGCGGCCTGGCTCAGGGCCAGGCCCCGCATAGGGCCAGGCACACAGTCAGCGCCTGGGGTGCTGGGGGAGGGCAGGTTTGGGGTGGGGGAGCCAGTGGGCAGAATGGAGGCTGACAGCTGGCCCTTCCACAGAGCAGCAGGCCGCCCTCAAGGCCCAGCGGGAGCAGGAGCTGGCGGCCAGTGCCTTCCAGGAGCTGGACGACAACATGGACGGCGTGTGAGTGTCCCCCTGCCCAGGCCTCGGTCCAGCCCCACCTCCCGGCCCTGGGCCTGAGCTGGCCCCGAGCTCTCTGAATAGCCTTCGCTTACTCGTGTGTGAGATGGGTCCAGAACAGACAGGTGGTCGTGGAGATGAGGGAAACTGACCCCCAAGGAGCTGAGGGAGGTGAGGAGGGCTCCCACTATCCAGGCCTACTCTGTGGTCAAAGGCAGACCCTTTGGGCCCCGGCTGTGCCGCTGACCCCAGACAATGGCTCAGTGGAGGGTGGGCTGTCGGGAGCCAGGAGGCTGGGCAGGCACCCCGGGGCGGACCAGGGGAGCAGATGGGCGGGTGAGCCACCCCTGGTTGGGAGTGTGACGGTGCCTGGGCTCTCGTGGGTGTGGGCCCCTCTGGGTGGAGGGCACCGGGCAGTTTGGAGGTGCTGGGTGCTGAGGGTGGTAGGGGATGGATGCTGCTGGTGGTGAGGAGAGGTCTCTGGAGACACTGTCCAAGTGTCTCTCTATCCCACCTCTGTCTCTGTCTCTCCTCTGAGCCTCTTCAGTGTGGTAGAGACTAAAGGAAGGGATGGGAAGCAGCGGGGATCCCAGGGGTCGGGGCTGGAGGGGGCCCCAACCCTAGAGCTCACCTCCAACTTCCCGCTGCTCACCTGGCGGTCTCTGCCTGTGCCCCGCAGGGTCTCAGTGGCCGAGCTACAGACTCACCCAGAGCTGGACACAGATGGGGACGGGGTGCTGTCCGAAGGGGAAGCCCAGGTACCCGCCCTGCCCCTTGGCCTGGGACTCCGAGCGGGGACTGCCTCACGTGACGCCAGGGCCAGGGGCCGAGGGCCAGCTGGCTGGGCCGCTCCCACGGAAAGCCCCATGGCCCCGGCCTGGCCTCATGTGGGAGCCAGGAAGGCAGCCACCAGCGTCACTTCCTGCCCTTGGAGCCTGGCCACGTGGTGCCGAGGGCATCTGGTTAGGTCAGAGCCAGCTTCCCCTTCCCATGGCCCCGCTGGCCCCACGTGTGTGTAGCCAGATTGCCCTCCTCACACACGTGCCTTCGGCTCTGCAGTGGGACCCTGCTCCTCCGTCCCTCTGTCCATCCCTGTCTCTGCTGGGTCCCTTCCTGTCCCTCCTCGGCCTCCGCCTCTCCCTCCGGGGCATGGCCATCCTGCTGCTCGTGCTCCGCCCCTCTCCTCCCTCCGGGGCTCTCCAGTAGGTACCCCGTCCCTCCCCTGGTGATGGCTCCTCCTCCTCCCGGCCTGTGCTGCCCCCTTCTGGTGGCTGCAATCCCTCATTCTGGCCCAGGCATGGCCTTGGCAGTGGGCTTGCCCACACCTGGCCCTGCAGCCTGAGGTTCCCCTTTGTGAGTGGCTGGGGCGAGGAGGGGCCCTGAAGCCCCCCGTCTTGATACCATCTCAACACACGCACACAGACCCTGCTCGGGGGAGACGCGCAGATGGACCCTGCCTCCTTCCACGACCGTGTCTGGGCTGCCATCAGGGACAAGTACAGCTCCGAGGTCAGTGGGGGAGGGGCTGCGGCCCTGTCCTCGCCCTCCCTCCCCAGCCCCCTGATGCCGCACAAAGGAACTGCCTCCAGTTCTGGCACTGGGCCACCGTAGCCAGCTGGCCACCCAACCCCCTCCCAGCTGTCTCCCTCCCCCGGGCCCCTTAGGAGGCACTGCGGCCACTCTTGGGCAATGGTGTGAGTGCGGACCCTGCCCTGGGGATGGAGGGAGAACCCCGAGTCCCAGCACCAAGCACCCTGCACACCCACAGGCGCTTCCCACTGACCCGCCAGCACCTTCTGTGCCTGAGCCCACGGAGCCCAAGGAGGAGCAGCCCCCAGGACCCTCACAGCCCGAGGAAGAGGAGGAGGAGGAGGAGGAGCCAGAAGGAGAGCCGGAGGAAGAGGAGGAGGAAGAGGAGGAGGAAGACTTCCAGGTGCAGGGGGAGCAGCCCAAGGTGTGTGTGGGTCGGGGAGAAGGGGGTGGGGACTAGAGGCAGGGCCACGCGCTGACCTTGCCCCTTCCCCAGGAGGCCCCGCCCCCACTCACGCCCCCCCAACCAGCCAGTCCCACGGAGGACAAGATGCCGCCCTACGACGAGCAGACGCAGGCCCTGATTGACGGTGAGCGCTCCCTGGGCCGCCCGGGAGGGGCACTGCCACACCCGCCCCCATCGCAGTCACCTATAGGCACCGAACAACCAGGCCTGCCAGCCCAGGACCCCTCTGCCTCCTCACCGGGTGCTGCTTGCTTGTGCCACCCTCATAGATGGGGGGAGCCAGAGGCGCCCCAGGAGCCCTGGCCCTGATCCCTTGGGAACCACGAGCCTGCGCAGCGGGGTGGGGTCTGCAGCTGGTGAGACCCGCAGGGCCTTCCTGGCGGTCTTCCCCGGAGCCGCCTGGGGGCAGGAAGCAGGCGGGTCCAGCTACCCCTCCCCCTCCCCCTCTCCCTGGGTTTGGGGAGGGCCCTGACCTTGCCCACTCTGCCCCACCAGCTGCCCAGGAGGCCCGCACCAAGTTCGAGGAGGCCGAGCGGTCCCTGAAGGACATGGAGGAGGCCATCAAGTATGAGTGCGGGTGGCTCCCCGGAGGTGGTGACGATGGGGTTGCCGAGGCAACTGCTGCTCCTGCTGCCAGGCTGGGTGGCTCCTGAGGGGGGTCTCCAGGTGGCAGGGAGCCGGAGCCCAGCCCACACGGCCCTCCATTAGTCACGGGAATCCCAGCAGCGTCCTGAGTCAGCGTGGGCACCGGCTGCCCTTCACCACTTGGCCTTCCCTCGCAGGAACCTGGAGCAGGAGATTTCCTTTGATTTCGGCCCCGAGGGGGAGTTTGCCTACCTGTACAAACAGTGCTACGAGCTCACCACCAATGAGTGCGTCCCCCTCCCACCGCCCCGCGGGCGGGCGGGCAGGCGGGCGGGCGGGCGGGCGGGCTTGGAGGGTCTGAGCCTGAGCAAGGTGCCACCCTCCCCCCACCAGTGTGTGGGATGTCGGGCTGGGGGCCTGTGTGCCCCACCCATCAGTCCCGTCCTTCAACAGGTATATCTACCGGCTCTGTCCCTTCAAGCATGTCTCCCAGCAGCCCAAGCACGGCGGCGGCTCTCCCACCAGCCTCGGGTGAGTGGCTTAGGCCGAGCCCCTTCCCCTCGGCACCCCAAACCCCTGCCGGCCGGCACCCCAAACCGCTGCCGGCCGGCACCCCAAACTCCTGCCGGCCGGCACCCCACCCCAAACCCCTGCCGGCCGGCACCCCAAACCGCTGCCAGCAGGCACCTCAAACCGCTGCCGGCTGGCACCCCAAACTCCTGCCGGCCGGCACCCCAAGCCGCTGCCAGCAGGCACCCCAAACTCCTGCCGGCCGGCACCCCACCCCAAACCGCTGCCAGCTGGCACCCCAAACCCCTGCCGGCCGGCACCCCAAACTCCTGCCGGCCGGCACCCCAAACCCTTGCCGGCCGGCACCCCAAACCCCTGCCGGCCGCCTCAGCACCCGCTCTCCCGCAGCACCTGGGGCTCGTGGGCCGGCCCCGAGCACGACAAGTTCAGCTCCATGAAGTACGAGCAGGGCACAGGCTGCTGGCAGGGCCCCAGCCGCTCCACCACCGTGAGTGGCGGGGGCTCGGGGGAGACGGCGGCGGGCGGGCGGGCGGGGGACCCAGGCCTGGCCAGCCCGCCCGAGCCCGCCCGCCCGCCGCCCAGGTGCGCCTGCTGTGCGGGAAGGAGACCACGGTGACCAGCACCACGGAGCCCAGCCGCTGTGAGTACCTCATGGAGCTGACGACGCCTGCCGCCTGCCAGGAGCCGCCCCCCGAGCCGCCCGCCGACGGCGACCACGACGAGCTCTAGCCCCGCCCGCCGCCCAGGTGGGCAGGGAGGGGTCCGCCCGCCGCCCAGGTGGGCAGGGAGGGGTCCGCCCGCCCAGGTGGGCAGGGAGGGGTCCGCCCGCCGCCCAGGTGGGCAGGGAGGGGTCCGCCCGCCGCCCAGGTGGGGAGGGAGGGGGCCGCCCGCCGCCCAGGTGGGCAGGGAGGGGTCCGCCCGCCCAGGTGGGCAGGGAGGGGTCCACCCGCCCAGGTGGGCAGGGAGGGGGCCGCCCGCCGCCCAGGTGGGCAGGGAGGGGGCCGCCCGCCGCCCAGGTGGGCAGGGAGGGGTCCGCCCGCCCAGGTGGGCAGGGAGGGGTCCGCCCACCGCCCAGGTGGGCAGGGAGGGGTCCGCCCGCCCAGGTGGGCAGGGAGGGGTCCGCCCGCCCAGGTGGTCAGGGAGGGGTCCGCCCGCCCAGGTGGACAGGGAGGGGTCCTCCCGCCCAGGTGGGCAGGGAGGGGTCCGCCCGCCGCCCAGGTGGGCAGGGAGGGGTCCGCCCGCCCAGGTGGGCAGGGAGGGGTCCGCCCGTCCAGGTGGGCAGGGAGGGGTCCGCCCGCCCAGGTGGGCAGGGAGGGGTCCGCCCGCCGCCCAGGTGGGCAGGGAGGGGTCCGCCCGCCGCCCAGGTGGGCAGGGAGGGGTCCGCCCGCCGCCCAGGTGGGCAGGGAGGGGTCCGCCCGCCGCCCAGGTGGGCAGGGAGGGGTCCGCCCGCCCAGGTGGGCAGGGAGGGGTCCGCCCGCCGCCCAGGTGGGCAGGGAGGGGTCCGCCCGCCCAGGTGGGCAGGGAGGGGTCCTCCCGCCCAGGTGGGCAGGGAGGGGTCCGCCCGCCGCCCAGGTGGGCAGGGAGGGGTCCGCCCTCCCAGGTGGGCAGGGAGGGGTCCGCCCGCCCAGGTGGGCAGGGAGGGGTCCGCCCGCCCAGGTGGGCAGGGAGGGGTCTGCCCGCCTGGGGGGGCGTGGGGTCTGAGGAAGACAGACCTGGGTTGGCACCACCTCTCCCCATTTGTGTTCCATCGTCTCTTTCTCTGGCCCCAGAACCTCAAGGCATGGAACCAGCCTCAGTGGTGCCACCTGCCTGCCTGTCTGGACGGAGGCCGGCCCCTCTGAGTCTCCATGCCCTCCCCCCCAGGCAGGAACTGTGAGGGGCCCCCTGCCCTGCTCTTGGGCGGTCAGGCTGGGCAGAGCCATTTGCCCAGGCCTCAGTGGGCCTCCAAAATGGACTAAAGTGCACCCTCCCGGGCCATAGCCTGGTGACTCACTGCCACCCTCCTCCCCCGTCATCCCCCCACCCCCACCCCCACATCCCCACCCCTGCCCATGGTGTCTGCCTCCCACTGTGACCTTGAAACAATAAATGACATCCCACCCACGTGCGTCTCCTTTGCTTTGGGCCGAGGGTGAGCACAGGGCAGAGGCAGGCCACACTGTCTGCAGGCCCTTCGGCTGGCACCACAGGCGGCCTTCTCAGAGCCCGAGTCACGGGAGGTGACCAATCCGGAGATGCACACACACACACACACACACACACACACACACACACGGCACGTCCGGCACCGAGGGACAGATGGGCGTGTCCATCGCGTTCCTCCGGAGCTTCTCCCTCCTCCGAGCCTCTGTGGGCCGAGGAGCTGAGCCTCGACCCAGGCCTGAGCCGCACACTCACCGCGCCGCCCTCCGGCACAGACACCAGCACGGCTGTAAGATTCTGAACTTTTATTTTCTGGCATGAAAAGTACAAATAATTAAACAATTCCATGTAAAAGTCTGTTACCGCGGCCAGGCCTGTAATCCGGTAATAAATAGTCTAAATGCAACGCAAAGTGTTGTTTTTTTTGTCTTTTTTTTTTTTTTTTTTTTTCCTTTGCAGTTCTTTATCATCTCCAACATATGGACTCTGTCATGATGCGAAACCTTCCAATAAATAACAGGATGAAGGGAGGGCTTGAGGGCCTGAGCCCCCTCCCCACGGACCCCTCCCCTGGGCCGGCTCCCGCAGGGCCCGGCTGGCTGGGCCGAGTTCCATGTTTTAGGAAAAGAAGCGCACTCCCGGTCGGGGGGTCGCAGGGGCCTAGGCCTCGGTGTGGGGGGGTCTGTGGGGAGGTGCCCTCTCCAGAACCAGCACCCCCAGGGTGGGGGACAGCCCCGCCCTTATTGCTCACGGATGCCCCGCCACTGCCCACGTGCGCGCACGTGTCCCTGCGTGCAGGGAGGGCAGAGGGGAGAAAGCCCCAAGACACAGGGGGAGGGAGGGACCCGCTGGGGGCCTGGCCTGCTGGAGGGGAGCCGGGAGGTCAGGACTTAAAAACCACAAGAATAAATAAGTTCATGTATCAAGAACAAGCTAAGGTTTTCACCAGCTAAATAGGACGGAAAAAATCCTCTCAAGACGAGCAAAAAGAATCCCATTGAGACCAGACGTCGCCGGCCCAGCGGGGGCCGCCCCGCCGCTGCCACCGGCTACCGTTCCTGTTATTAATAATTATTACTTTAATGATTCCACTTTCCCTTTATAAATAAATTAGGCATAACCACGTCTCAGCAAAAACTTAAAGAAACAAAGAGAACATCATGGTTCCTTTAAACTTGCAAACTGGATGAAGGAACAGAAATATACACAAATGTCCTTACAGGGCAACAAGAATAAATAGTTAACATAGCAATAAGTTAAAACTACAAGAAGCTAAATTCGGCAAAAAAGTACAAGAAAGTTAACTGGTGCCAGTTTATGTCTTTTTTTTTTTTTTTTTTTGTCTTTTTTAAAATCTCTTCGGTGTGTTTTTTTTTTTTTCTTCCTTTTTTTGTTGTTTTTCTCTTCTGTTTGTATTTTTTTGTTGCTTTTTAAATTTTTTTTTTGTTCCTTGCAGCAGAAGCTCCACAGACGTTTAATAACAAACACCAGGGAGGGTGGGGAGAGAGAGCTGGGCAGTCAGAGGGGGCCATGGCCAGACACCAAAGCAGGACACCGGAGAAAGGGCAACTGAATCTAAAACTGGGGTTTGCGACTCTGTTCTGACGGGGCCCACGGCCAGGGGTGGGGCTGCGAGGGCTCCCGGGGGCTCCGCCTCGGGCTTCCGTTGGAACTTTTCGTTACAAAAGAAAGAAAACCAGGGGAGTGGGACGTCCAGACAGAAGCCAGGGCTGGGGCTTGGGATGGGAGCCGTGTGCACCGCCCTCACTCATCGGAAAGATGGAAAAACCCAACAAAATCAAGGGGGTGACGCGGGGCTGGGCCCCTGAGCCTGATGGGGAGGCAAAGGCCTGGCCTCGCCCTCGGCCTCACGGGCCGGGGCCTGGGCTGGGGGAGGCTCAGCCCCAGGGACTAGGGGTCCTTTGGCCTCAAGTGTTGGGGGTGCTGCCTCCAGCCCATCGTGATGCCAAAAGTGAACGAGGTATCGTGTGTCTGGATGCAGGGCGCGGTGCCCACGCCTGTGCTCACGGCGGCGCGGACCGCTGAGGAGCCCGGAGAGAGCTCTGCAGACCCCGGGGTGGGGGCGAGGGGGCAGGGCACCGGGAGGGGCTGGGCGCCTGGGTCCGAGGGACTGTGGGCGTGTCTGTGTTCCTGGGTGTTGTGTCTGTTTCTGGGTGTCTAGGTTTGTGTCTCCAAATGTATGTCTCCACTGTCATGTGTTCACGTGAGAGCATGGAAATGTTTGCAGGTCCAGCACACCTCTGTCCACCTCTGCCTGCGGCCACGTCTGCCACGTCTGTTCGACGGCTGCCACGCGTACGTGGCTCCGTCCTCCGGTCTTCCGTGCGTGCCTCCCTGTCTGCGTCTGGCCGGGTCCTGTGTGTCAGGGTTAGTGCTGTGTGTTCCTGTGGCGTGTGTCTCTGTGTGGCCCCTGGGCCCCGGCCCCAAGCCCTGATCCCGTCTTTGCCCCCGTTGGTAAACATAACCTGTCAAAATATTTTCTTTTTTTTTTTTTTGTCTTTTTTTTTGTGTGTGTGTTTTTTTTTTTTTTCAAGTTCAAGAATCCCCAGTAAAAATTCTCCACGAGGTCTTTTTCCCCTTTTTACAAAAATAGAGTTTTTCTCCCCCCCCCCCCCCCCCCCCCCCCCTTTTTTTTTTTTCCATTTTGTTTGTTTCCAGCCCCTCACCCTGCTCCTCACAACGCACCGAGGGGGCAGGGATGCCCACGGCCCTCTCATGTTTCGCTTTGTTGGGGATTTTTAAACCTGTCTCCTCCCCCACTCAGGCTCACCTTTGCGTGGGGAGCCCGGAGGGCACCCAGCACCCGCCCAAAACCATCCTGAGCAGCTGGTTGACGGTTGGGTGGGGGCACATCTCTGCTTTCTTTTCAGCCGAAAAAAAGAAACAAAAACCATCTCCATGAACAAAACCAAGACGAGAGAGTGAACAGCCCAGCCTGGGGGAGGGGCAGGAGGGCGGGGTGGGGGGCCCCAGGCACCCCCCATTCCCTGCAGACCCTCCCAGCCCGAGTGCTCACCCTGTGGCTTCGCAGGGGTGTGGGGCCTCGTGCTGTCCGTGGTCTGCCCGCTGTCTCTCTCGGGCCCCTTCTCCCTCTCTCTCTCCCTCCCTCCCTCCCTCTCTCTCTCTCTCTCTCTCTGCTGCCCGGGGAGTGGGAGGGCGGCGGCTCAGGCCTTGTGCTGTTTGCTGGTCTTGAAGGACACCTGCAGCACGCGCTCGCCCAGGCGGTAGCCGTTGAGGCTGGCGATGGCCATGGCCGCCTCGTCGTAGTTGGTCATGGTGACGAAGCCGAAGCCCTTACACTTGTTGGTGGTGAAGTCGCGGATGACCTTGACGTTGGTGACGGCCCCGAAGGGCCCGAACAGCTGCCACAGCACGCTCTCGTCCGCCTCCGGGGACAGGTTGTACACGAAGATGCACCAGCCGGCGCCCGCGGCGCCCCCCGCCAGGCCCACGCCCGCCAGGCCGCTCACGCCGTCGATGGCGATGGGCGAGAACCTGGCGATGAGCGACAGGGGACTACTTTGGGGGTCACGCGGGCTCCGCCCTGACCCCCGGCATGCCCCCGACCTGTGACCTCCGGTACTGCCATGACCTCTGAGGGCGCCTTGACCCTGGGACGCTTGTGGGCTTTGCATTGTCCTGACCCTGCTGTGACCTCCATCTGCACTCCCACCTCCAGCCCCATCCCCCACTCTTCGCCCTGACCTGTCCCCTCTCCAGAGCCCTCAGCTAATCCTGACCCGTGACCTCTGGTCCTATTTGGACCTTGGCTCTGCTGACCCTGCTTCCTCCCTCCTCCTCCCCCCCAGCCACATCTTCCCACCAAACTCCTGCCCTGGCTCCCTCTGCCCCCCTGCTGGCCCTGCCGGGCGGTGCCATCTGTCCTGCTGGCCCCCAGAAGGGCAGGGCGTGCTGGAGCCCTGTAAGCGCTGCCCCCTGCTGTTCGGGGCTGAGCACAGCCACCCCTCCTTCGGAGCCTCCTCTGCGCCATGAGGAGGCACCTCCACCCCGGCCCTCTCTGGCTGTTTCCTAGTTAAACTGGGCATCTGCTATCAGCTCCCTCTTCCCTAAGGGGTTTTGTTTTCAGTGGGGCCCCAGCCCACAACAGGTCCTAGTACACAGCGGGCATGAGGCTGCCCTCAGCTGGGCGGGGCCGGAGCCCGAGCCACCCAATCGGAGCCTCTGGAACTGACTGCTCCCGCCCCGCCCAGGCCTCGGCCCCTTCCTGCTGCCAGGACCCCGCTTCCCGCCATTCCTCCGCTGGCGCGGGCCTCTCTGGGTCCCCGTGGCCGGCTGTCCACTCCACCTCCCTGATCACTGCGCACCTGCCTCCTTTCCCTCTAGGCTGAGGTAATCAATAACAGTAACGATAATCTTCAGAGCAGCTACCTTTATTGAGCGCTCACTAGGGGCCAAGCACTGTGCTCAGTACCGTGTCATCGCCACGGGGACCCCCCGCCCGCCGGCCGGCGCCAGTCCTCGGCGTGCCCTCAGCCGCTCATGACGCAATAAACTCAGGACGCGCACAGGGCCAGGGGTGTGGACAATGTCACGGGGCCCTGGGCAGAGGGGCAGACGCGACCCTCAGCGAGGACCGCCTGCAGGTGGCGCTCAGGCTGGCCGGGGGCCGGGGGCGTGGCTGTGACCGGGCAGCACTGCCCACCTTCCTGGGCAGCTGAGGGCCCTGGGCCCAAATCCTACGGCAGCTCACCAGGCCTTTACCAGGCTCCACAGCCCCCAGCCTAATGGGCATGCTCCTCCCCGGCAGTGCAGGCGCGGCTAGGCCGGCAGGCCTGGGGGCGGGGTGGGGGTCCATCAGGGCCAGGGTCCGAGGAGGGACGGCGCGGGGCTGGGGCAGTGGGGTGGGGGCACTGTTACCTCTTGACTCCGTAGGCCATGTTGAGTAAGTTGTCCAGCCTGTGGAGCAGAAGGGGTGGTCACGCCGGCCTCCGGGCGCGGCCCCGGCTGTGATGCAGGCCAGGCGGCTGCCCGCCCTGCCCCCACCGCGCAGGCCAGCAGTGCCAGCCCTGCCCCCGCCGCCCGCCCGGCTGGACACCGCCTGGCACGGCCCGCGGCCACTCCGGCACCGCCTCTCGCCTGCCCTGCCACATCCTCTCCCCCGCGGCTGCCACGCCCTGTAGGGCTCGGGGCCCCAGACACGAAGGTTGGATCCCTTCACCATGATGGTTAGGGGGGGGGGGGGGCAGTGACCAGGCCTCTCTGGGCCTCAGGGTCCCCATCCGGCGGCTGGGACCGGACAGGCTGCATTCTCAGGGAGCTGCAGTGCAGGATAAAGGCTGTGCCGGGCACGCAGTGGGCACTCCTGACATGTGCATGAGGAAACGGAGGAGACAGAGGGGGCAGTGAGAGCTGGCCCTGGCCGGGCGATTCTAACTAAAGGCGGATAATGCCACTCGAAGTGCCCTGTGCTTGCGCTGGCCCCGCACGTGGGCCTCTGCTGGGGGACTGGGGGTGCCGGGGGCGGGGGGCGCTCACCGGAAGCGCTGTGTCTGATGGTGCAGGGGGCCTGCGTAGCGCCGAGCCGACGACTGGTACAGGTGCGTCAGCAGGGCCTGCCCCGTCTTCTGACTCGGGTTGTTGGCAAACTTGACCGTGATGGGCTCGGCCGCACCCAGTGGCTTCTGCCCGTTCAGTCCTTTGATGGCCTCCTCGGCCTCAATCCTCTTGTCAAAGCGGATGAACCCCACGCCCCGAGACACGCCTGCCAGGGAGCCGGGGTGTGGTGAGGACCGGCCTTCACCCCCCCCCACCCCCCGTCCCGGCCGCGCCTCCCCCCGGCGCCCTGACCTGTGACCTGGTCCACCAGGATGCGGGAGGTGATGATGCGGCCGTACTGGGAGAAGAGCTGCTCCATCTCCTTCTGGCTCATGGTCTTGGGCAGCCCGCTGACGTACAGGTTGGCATCCCGAATGGAAGCCGAGCTGGGCCTGGCGTAGGACACCTGGGGAGGGCCCGGCAGCAGGTGTGAGGGGGGGAGAGGCCACATCAGAACCGCACGGAGTCGCAGAAATGCCTCGTCTGTTCACTCAACGAATATCTCGTGAGGCGACATGGTGGTTGTGGCCACCGGGCTGGGGGGGAGGCCTGGCCATGGCCCTGTCTGCATGGCGATGGGGGGACCTGACACCTGAGGAGGTCAAAGGAGCCACACGCCTGGGATCACTCTCCCTCAAGACCTCTTGAACCCCAGTTCACGCCCTCAGGCCGGACATCCGTCAGCATCAGCGCTTCCCTCTCCTTTGGAAAGTCGGCTCTTGTGACCCCTTGTTTTCCCACCTGCACCTGGGCCCCTGAGTCCCTCGGTCTTTAGCCACCAAGTCGAACCTGACGGCTCGCAAATGTCCGTCCCCAGCACAGACCTGGCCCCTCGTCTCCACACCTGTGACACCTGCCTCCAGGCTCCCGACTTCCCCCGACTCTGACGGCAGCTGTTCCGGGGCGCAGGACCCTGCCTCTGCTGTCCTTGACGCCTCTCTGACTTTCACACCCACATCTGACCCCGCGTCCATCCTGTTGGCTTTACTTCTCATGATCCAGAATCTGCGCACTTCCCCCTCCTTTTTTTTTTTTTAATCCTCACCCAAGGACATGCTTTTTAAAAGTTGATTTTAGAGTCTGGTTGACGTGAGTTGGTGGTTGAGCGCCGACCTTGGAACCAAGAGGTCATGGTTCGATTCCAGTCAGGGCTCATCCCCAACAGGGGACGTGCGATCAATGATTCTCTCTCTTCTTGGATGTTTCTCTCTCTCTCTCCCTTTCCCTTCCTCTCTGAAATCAGTAACAATAAATTTTTTTTAATATATATATTTTATTGATTTTGTACAGAGAGGAAGGGAGAGAGATACAGAGTTAGAAACATCGATGAAAGAGAGTCATCGATCAGCTGCCTCTTGCACACCCCCTACTGGGGATATGCCCGCAACCAAGGTACATGTCCTTGACCAGAATCGAACCTGGGACCTTTCAGTCCCCAAGCCGACACTCTATCCATTGAGCCAAACTGGTTTTGGCAAGATTTTTTAAAAAACTGATTTTAGAGGGAGAGGAAGAAACATTCACACGAGAGTGAAACATCGATTGGTTGCCTTTTGCACACACCCCAACCGGGGACCAAACCCGCCACTTTCTGGAGTGTCAACTCCACTCAACTGAGCCCCCAGCAGGGTCTTCCTCCCACTCCCATCTCCCCGCTTTGGACCAGTACCCACCATTGCTAACCCCAACTGGTACGTCATCTTCTGCCCTGGTCCCCGCTCCCAGCCTCCCCTCTCACAGCTGAGCCCCACTCAGCAGCCAGAGAGCACCGAGGGCACCTGAGCCAGGTCACCTCTCTCCTCAGCTCAGAACCATCCGCGGTCCCCACGTGCTTCAGAGTTCAAGTCCTTCCCACGGTCCACAGGCCGTATACCACCCCACCGCCAGCCCTGTCTCCCCCTTGCGTTCCGCCAAACACCAGGCATGGGCCTGCCTCCTGGCCTCTGCATAGGCTGTTCCCTCTGCCTGGCTCTCTTCCTTTTTCTTCTCCTCTAAGTCTCAGTTGAAATGTCCTCCTCCTCCTCCTCCATCTGCATTGGGTCCTACCCGCGTTACTTTCTCTCAGAGCACTTCTCTCAGCGTTAGACACGTTCTAGTGCAGACGCCTTGCGAGTCAGACACACGGGAGCACAGCCATCAGATTCGTGTCATCCGTTGGTCCAGCCCAACAATGAAACTCTCTGCAGCTGTTTAAAAAATGGGGGACGTGGATATTGATTTTCCTGGAACAGTGGTGAGTATTGTGGAGTGGAGGAGAGGGGAAAAAAAGTCCATTTATAGAGCAGCGAGGATGGTGTGACCCCATCTCATTGTGTGTGTATCAATGTCCTAGGAACGTGGACATCGGCCCGCCCCAGAGCTAACGGGGTGACCCATGGCTGGTGGGGGCAGGGAGTGTGTGAGCTCCTCTCCCTTCATTTCTGCCACTGTCTACATTTCTATTCCTCCTAAAATAGCCTCTGGGAGGGTAGGAGTCATGGTCAAGGGCCTGGTTTTTGTTGGGAGCTGTGAATTGTGAGGTCATGCTGTTTCATTAGAAACAGCTAATTTAAAAGCTAGCAAAATGGCCGAAACCGGTTTGGCTCAATGGATAGAGCGTCAGCTTAGGGACTGAAAGGGCCCATGTTGGATTCCAGTCAAGGGCATGTACCTTGGCTGCGGGCACATCCCCAGTAGGGGGTATGCAAGAGGCAGCTGATTGATGACTCTCTCATCTATGTTTCTAACTCTCTATCTCTCTCCCTTCCTCTCTGTACAAAATCAATAAAATATATATTAAAAATCAATAAAATATATATTTAAAATAAATAAATAAATAAATAAATAAATAAATAAATAAATAAATGCAAGCTAGCAAAACGAATGAACTGGGCTGGAGTGGGGCATTCTGATGAATTGTGCACACCTGGGGTTCTCCAGAAAGAACAAGCAATCAGCAGAAACCGGTTTGTCTCAGTGGATAGAGCATCGGACTGCTGACTGAAAGGTCCCAGGTTCGATTCCGGTCAAGGGCAATGTACCTTGGTTGCTGGTGCAGGAGGCAGCTCATCGATGTTTCTGGCTCTCTCTCTCTCCCTTCCTCTCTGTAAAAAAATCAATAAAATATATATTCTATTAAAAAAAAAATCATCCCTGGCCAGTGCAGCTCAGTTGGCTGGGTGTCATCCCGTCCACATAAACTTTAGGTCCTAAAGGTTGCAGGTTCGATCCCCAGTTGGGGGCGTGCAGGAGGCAGCCGATAAATGTTCCACTCTTGCGTCACTGTTTCTCTCTCTCTCTCTCCCTTTCACTTTTTCTTTAAAAAAAAACAAAAAACAATCAATCAAAAATCTTTTTAAAAAAATATATATTTTATTGATTTTTTACAGACAGGAAGGGAGAGAAATAGAGAGCTAGAAACATCAACCAACCGCCTCTTGCACACCCCCTACCGGGGATGTGCCCGCAACCAATGTACATGCCCCTGACCGGAATCGAACCTGGGACCCTTCAGTCCGCAGACCGACGCTCTATCCACTGAGCCAAACTGGTTTCAGCTCAATCAAAAATCTTTAAAAAAAATAAAATAAAGGGGGGGGTGTGGGACGACACATCCGCTGCTATTATTTCTATAATGATAATTAAAAATCACGCCATGTATTTTACCATTTTTACTCCCCTCACCACAGGTCTGTGAACTCTGAGGGGTGAGGAGGAGTTGAGGACTTGTGGATGGGTTGAAGTTGGGGGTGACCAGAGAGGGGTCTGTGCTCCTGGTCAGGTGTCTGTGGTTTGGCGGCATCTGAAGAGCAGAGCAGGGCCTTCCATCCTATGAGCTAACCGTACCCCTCACTAGGACGGTGCCTGGCACAGTGGGAGGCTAGAATTATTTTGGGCAGAATCTGCTGGAACACATAGGGCTGACCACACAACACAGCCATTCTGGCAGACAGACAGACAGGAACACACCACACACGGCCAGTGTGCTCGCCAGTGACAGGCAGGAGGGTAACACGAGGCCTCGGCCACCGTCATGGCGGGATAAGGAGAGTAAGATTGCACACGCCTGTCATACACCGTGCCAGCCTACAGCCTGCAACATCACACATGTTCCCCCCTGAGTGGGGCACAGGTAGACATGATCACACTTGACTGTGGCATGCAAATACTCCACCACAGCCAGGCACACCCATGAGGCCCCACCAGGCCGCAGCCGGAGTCGCAGTGGGTGACAAAGTGCCTGTCAAACAGACAAAGTCCCATGAACCAGTAACACACCCCAAGTCTGTAATAGCCGGACCTGTGTGACAACAGCCACTCACATCGCCACGGTGACCAACCAGCACCGCCTCACAGAGGCCACACACACAGAGCCTTACAGCTCACTCCTAGTCCACCCTCATGCTCAGGGGTTTAGTTGGCCGAGAGTCCTCAGGTCACGACCTTGCCCCACCCCAGGGAGCAGAAGAGATCCCACACCTCTGTTCCTATGGCAAGCTGGGGGCCAGATGGGAGCCCCACCGGCCCCCCTGCCCCCAGGGTCCAGGAGCAGATTTGTGGGGTGGAGCCCAGACACTCCAGGCAACCTAGAGAGAGGGGTTTCCATGGCAACCCACCCCCCAGGGAACTTGGGCTCCCAGGGTCCCAGCTGCAGCTGCTGAGAGGGGAGGTTGTGGGGGGGGGGGGCATTGCACAAAGGTGGGGGAGTGGCCCACCCCTAATCCCGCCCTCCCAGACCCTAATTAGGCTCCAGATGGCAGATGGATCCCCACCCTCCCCCCATTTCTCTAACAAAGGCAGGGAGGGGGCTGCCCACTGGACCCGTGGGAAGGTACCTCCTCCGTGAACCTCCACGGAGTGTGGGGCTGATATTCTCCCCATTGACACGTGAGGAAGCTGAGGGCCAGAGAGGCAAAGGCATTGGCTGGCTAAGCAGAAGGCCTTGGGGGGGCGGGATGAGCGGGGGCAAAGGATGGATGGCGGTGAAGGGGAGCTCCCGGTGGGCAGTGAGAGAGGGGACACGGGGACAGACGGGATGGGCACTAACGGGGCGGGGAGACAGGCAGCAAGGGGAGCAAGGGCACCCACCTTGATGGTCTTTGTCTGCAGTTTGAGGCCGTTGAGGGTGTTGATGGCTTTGTCTGCGTCGTTGGGGTCAGAGTAGTTCACAAACCCATAGCCGAGGCTCTGCCCTGTGTGCAGGACCAGGTCGGTGACCTACCTCCCCGGGCCTGCCAGGATCCTCCCTGGCCCAGGTGTGAGAGGCTGGCCACCCCCTTCTCGTCGCACCTCGGAAACCTCCTGGCCCCATCACACCTGTCCTGGCGGCTACCGCCTCCCCAGGCCGCCTCCCCGCCTGCCAGAAGCCACACCTGTGATCTTGTCCCGAACCAACTTGCAGGACTCAATGTCACCGATGCTGCCGAAGAGGCTCTTGAACTCATCCTGGGTCATGTTCTGGGGCAGGTAGTTGACGATGAGGTTGGTTTTGCTGTCGTCAGTGGCTCCGTTCGTACCAAGGAGTGGCCCATTGGGCAGGGCCGGGCCGGCCGGGCCCCCTGCCACCTGAGACTCCATGGCCCCGAGTATCTGCTGGAGACAACAGGCCACACCCACTCACGGCCCAGTCCCCGGAGACCGGGGGCGTGAGGAGGGCGCGGTGGTGATGGATCACTCGTGTCCGCCATGGGCTTGAACATGGGGAGAGGACGTCACATTATTCTAATAACCCCTTCCGCTCCCTGAGCACTGAGCAAAGCACTTAGCACATGATTTTACTGAGAAAAAAATTCACAAATAAATGCCATATATGGCTTTGTATATGTTTCCCTGTTTGTCTAAAACCAACCTGTTTTTGGTTTTTTTTTCCAGAATAATATAATGAACACTTTTTAAAAAATCCTCACCCGAGGATATTTTTCCATTGAATTTTTTTCTTTATTGATTTAGGTATTACATATGTGTCCTTATCGCCCCGCCCCATTGCCCCTCCTCCCCCGCCATTTTTAGAGAGAGTGGAAGAGAGGAAAAAGCAGAGCAAAATATCCATGTGAGAGAAACACGTTGATTGGTTGCCTTCTGCATGTGCCCTGACAGGGCTTGGGTCAGGAAGGAGCCTGCAATCGAGGTACATGGCCTTGACCAGAATCAAACCCTTCGGTCTGCAGGCCAATGCTCTATCCACGGAGCCAAACCGGCTGGGGCTGTAATGACCACATTTGTCTTCAGAATAAGAAATCTAACATTTTTATTAGCTTTGCAGCCCTTTCCCATAAATTCCTCCCTGCCGGTGTACTTTCCTTCTCCCACCAAAGGTAATTCCTATCCCAAATGTGTTTACATTTTGTGCATAATTTTCCCACTAGGCATTTACACCCACAGTTTTTCCTATATTTTTTTAAAGCTTTTAAAATATATTTTTTATTAATCTTAAAGAGAGGATGGAAGAGGGAGAGAGGAAGAGAAATGGGGAGAGAACATCGATGTGAGAGACAAATATTAACCCACTGCCTCATGCACTCTGACCGGCAATGGAATCAGGGACCCTTCGGTGCACTGGATGACACGGAGCCACACCAGCCAGGATACCCCCGGTTTTTCCACTCAGCATTAGAATATATATACAGTTATTGATTTCAGAGAGGAAGAGAGAAGGAGAGAGAAAGATAGAGACATTAATGAGAGAATCATTGACTAGCTGTCTCCTGCAGGTCCCCCTATTGGAGATGCAGCCTGCAACCCGGACATGTGCCCTGACTGGGAATCTGTGACATCCTAGTTCCGTGGTCGGCAAACTGCGGCTCTTGAGCCACTCGCGGCTCTTTGAGTGTGGCTCTTCCACAAAATACCACGGCCTGGGTGAGTCTATTTTGAAGAAGTGGCATTAGAAGAAGTTTAAGTTTAAAAAATTTGGCTCTCAAAAGAAATTTCAATCGTTGTACTGTTGATATTGGCTCTGTTGACTAATGAGTTTGCTGACCACTGGCCTAGTTGATAGGTCAATGCTCAAACACTGAGCCTTGCCAGCTGGGATAAGCTTTTTTTTTTTTTTTTTTTTTTTTTTAAAGCATAACGTAACACTGCAAATAATGACAGTTTATCTCCAATCTCTATCTGTTATTTATTTTTCTTGTCTTAGTGCAGGGGTTACACTGTGATAGTATCTTCTTTGTTTCTGACTTTAAAGGAAATGTTTTAAACATTTTACAGCTAAATATGACCTTTCTGTAAGTTTTTTTTTTGTAAGTGGCCTTTATCAGGTTAAGAATGTTTAATTAAAAAAAATAATGTTTAATTTTTTTCCTACTATCTAAACAATATATATTTTTAAATATAATGGATGTTAAATTTTATTGAATGTTCTTTTCCTACATCGATTTTTTAAATTGAGATATAACTGACATATAACATTATATTACTTTTAGGCATACAACATAGTGACTTAATATTTGTATATATTGCAAAATGATTACCATAATAAGTCCAGTTAACATTTATCAACATCCATAGCTACAAAAAAAAATTTTTTTTATGACGAGAACTTTTAATACCTACTCTCTTAACAACTTTAAAATATATTCTACATCTATTTTATATCTAAGGCCCACATCGAGAACTTCAAAGCCACATCTGGGCAGAAGGAGAGTGCCGGGTTGTTTGGTATTGTCTGTGATGGGCCCGGGAAGGAAGGCAAAGTAGGTCTTTCCTTACAACGGGGTTGGTGAATAGGTTGCCCTCCCCAGAAAACGCAAAATGATCGGCAGGGTCTTTCTAGATGAGTTCATATAAGTACAACCAATGGACACAAAACTGGGGAGGGAGGGTATGTATGGGAGGGGGGGCAATATTAAAATATGTACACAGATAATTAAAAAAAAAAAAAAAAAGATGTGAAGCCACATCCAGTTTCAGCGAGGAAGACTACTGGGATCGATTAGCAATGTCTGCCGTGGCCATAGAATCAGGAACAGTCTGCAGGTACCCATCACCTCCGTCATCCCTGACTCAAAACACAATCCTGTAATTGTTCCCAGATGGCATTCCCTCTATGCCAGGCAAAGCGCACAGCCCTCGACAGGCAGTCTTCCTTCTCTTATTCACAACTGCCCTCAAAAGAGGAGGATTTTATTCCCTCTGCGTAACGTGTTATGGGTTAAACGCTTGTTTTCCCCCCTCCCGACCCCCCATTCATAGGTTGAAACCCCGTAACCCCCAAGGTGATATTTAGAGGCGGGGCTTTTGAGAGGTAATTAGGTCATGAAGACGGAGCCCTCGTGAACAGGATTTGTGTGTGACACAAAGGGACAGGAGAGAGGTGACCTCTCTCTACACCAAGTGAGGACACAGCAAGACAGCTGTCTGCAAAGCAGCAGGCACCTTGAAACTGGACGAGCCAGCCTCCAGAACCAGGAGGAATAAATGTTTGTTGTTTGAGCCTCACAGTTTATGGCTGCTTTTATAGCGATCTGAGCGGAGACAACAGGTAAGGAAAGGGAGCGGCACCCCAGCTGGTTTGCCTCAGTGGATAGAGCATCGGTTTGCGGACTTAAGGGTCCTGAGTTCAATTCCGGTCAAGGGCGTAGGCCCAGGTTGCGGACTCAATCCCCAGTAGGGGTGTGTGTGTGTATGTGTGCAGGAAGCAGCCAATCAATGATTCCCTCTCATCACTGATATTTCTATCTCTCTCTTCTCTGAAATATATATATATATATATATATTATTATTTTTTTTTTAAAGAAAGAGCAGAGCCAAAACGGGTTTGGCTCAGTGGTAGAGAGTCGGTCTGCGGACTGAGGGGTCCCAGGGGTCCCAGGGGCATGTACGTTGGCTGCAGGCACATTCCTGGTAGGGAGTGTGCAAGAGGCAGCTGGTCGATGTTTCTCTCTCATCAACTTTTCTAGCTCTCTATCTCTCTCCCTTCCTCTCTGTAAAAAATCAATAAAATTAAATTAAATTAAAAAATAAATAAATAAAAAAGAAAGAAAGAGCTAAAACCGGTTTGGCTTGGTGGATAGACCATCGGCCTGCGGACTGAAGGGTCCTGGGTTCGATTCTGGTCAAGGGCATGTACCTTGGTTGTGGGCACATCCCCAGTAGGGGGTGTGCAAGAGGCAGCTGATTGATGTTTCTCTCTCATCCGTTTCTAGCTCTCTATTCTTCTCTCTTCCTCTCTGTAAAAACTCAATAAAATATATTTTAAAAAGAAAGAAAGAAAGAAAGAAAGAAAGAAAGAAAGAAAGAAAGAAAGGCAGAAAGGAAGGAAGGAAGAAAGGGGAGCATCAGTGATGTTTGGAAAATTACCGGAGACCATGCAGCCTGTAAGTGATGGAGCAGGGGATTTTGCACATGAGCTTTTCTAATCCAGAGTCTGTGTTTCCAAATTCCACTGCTAACCTAGCACTGGCTCCATTTCCCAGCTGCTTCCTCAGGTATGCCACTTACTGCTTCTGGGCCTCCGCTCCACTTGGCCAAAACTTCAAATTACCGTCCCAGGGGCTTGGGGAAGGGTCTAAAGCTACAAGGGAGAGCGGCTGGAAAGCGTTCTGGGGCCAGTTAGCCATGTCTGCCACCCATGCCTCATGATCCTGCTATTAATAACCGTCCTGCTCATGTGTTAAACACTGTGTGATGTGCTTCAAGGCATTACTTCACTTATTTCTCTCAACCATCCTTTCCCTTTATTGGTTTTTAGAGAGAGAGGAAGGCAGAGGAATAGAGATGGAGAAACATCGACCCCATGGACACCGGCAATTAGACGGTAAAAACCTGGGACAGGGTGTGGGGGTGGGCTGGAAGGTGTTAATGGCGGGGGAGGAGGGGAGAGACATATGTAATACTTTAAACAATATTTTTAAAGAGAGAAAAAACATCGATTGGCTGCCTCCTGCACACTCCCTACTGGGATTCAGCCTGCCACCCCTGGCATGTGCCCCCGACCTGGAGTCAAACCAGTGACCTCCTGGTTCATGGGTCGACGCTCAGCCGCTGAGCCAGGCTCTCTCAACTATTTTAAAAGACAGCAATACACTCTCCGTTTTATAAGTGAGGAAGCTGAGGCTCAGAGGTCTTGAGTAATATAAATGGGGGACTCCATTTCAAACTTTCTTGTGTCAGACTTTTAAAAAAATATATATTTTTAATTGATTTCAGAGAGGAATGGAGAGGGAGAGAGATAGAAACATCAGTGATGAGAGAGAGTCATAGATCAGCTGCCTCCTGCACGCCCCACACTGGGGATTGAGCCGGGAAGCCAGGCATGTGCCCTGACCCGGAATCAAACCGTAACCTCCTAGTTCATAGGTCGACGCTCAACCACCGGACCCCGCCAGCCAGGCTTCAGAGCTGTTTTTAATGATTGTGGCCAGTCCAGTGGGACAGCTCTGCCACCTGGGAGCTGTGTGTCCTCGGGGATCATCTTAGCTCCTCTTTGGGCCCCTCCTTCCTTCCCAAGGATTCTTATTATCACTGGTAAGAGGGTGCACAGAGGACCGAGGCCCCTGCATCTCCAGTGGGCTGAGATGGGCTGCCCGGGGCTGGCTGCTCAGAGGGTTATTCTGAAGCCACATCTGGGCTGAACAGGAGCACACACTGGGGTGATTAACAATGTCTGCCGTGGGCACCAGTAGTCAAGCAGTAACGCACACTCCATGGACCTGCGTCCCAGCTCCCGACATGAATGCGTAACGAACAGCACGCCACGTACTGAGTGCCTGTTATGTGCCAGACAAACTCTTTGTGAGAATACCCGCGCCGTCCTTTCTCCCAGTATCGCGTGTTAGGCGGCTCTTGCTCCTTTTAACAGGTGAGGAAACCGTGTCAACAAAGGGATAGGGTGGGTACGAGGTTGGATAGCCGGCAGACGACGGACCAAGAATTTAAATCCAGGGTGTGAACTCCAGAGCCCACTTCCCTAACGAAAAGGCCAATAACAGTAAAAATAACAACAGTCAAGGGAAGCTGAGCGCCCGCTCTATGCCACGCCCCGGGCATCCCTACATATAAATCCACTGTGTGGGCTGAGTTTACTTCCCGGGTGCCAGCAGGTGCCAGCCGCTGGCTTCCCCGCCTCACGGTGTGTCCTCTGACACTCACATTGCCCTCTGGACCTCTGTCCCGCCACTAAAGGAACGGAAGTCCCCGTGTCTGAGGTAAGACTCTGAAATCCTGCCCGGCCTCAGTGAGACAGGGTTCTGCCATCCGCTGATAATGTCTGCGGGAGCCAGAGGAGCATTCGGCAGCACATGGCCCCTGTCAGGACATCCCAGGTTCCAGCTCTGGAACCCTACCATGAGCCTGGCACAGAACAACTGCAAAGTTTTCACGGACTCCCCAGCCACACAGAGAGCAGGCGATACTGTCTCCGCGTCTCCAGATGGAGAAACAAGGGCCAGGGTGACCGGGGGAGGTGGTGGTCATAGTCAGGGTTTGACTCCTCATCAGATAACCCCAAAGCCCACTGGGTTACAGATTCCCCCCTCCCCCAATGCTGTACTCAACTTGGAGGGGATTTAGAGGTGAGTGGGGCCCTGGCCTGTGTGGCTCAGTTGGTTAGAGTGTCGTCCTGTACGCCAAAAGGAGGCGGGTTTGACTCCTGGTCAGGGAACATACCCAGGTTGCAGGTTCAATCTCCAGTCAGGCTGCATGCAGGAGGCAAACAATCAATGTTTCTCTCTCACATTAATGTCCCTCTCTCCCTCCCTTCCTCTCTCTAAAATCAATTTATTATTTTTTTCTAAAATCAATTTTAAAAATAGGTGATGGGGGGTTTCTACTCTGGACCTGGATGGAGCCTCAGCCTGTGAATCTCACCACCACCACACCTCCCTCCCTCTGCGCCCGGCTTAGCGGGATCAGTGTCACCTGCGCTTCCTCCACGGCTGAGCCGGCTAAGCCGCTAATGGGGATCAGACTGGTGGAGGTCACACCCACCCTGCTCCAGTCCGCAGCAAATGTGTGGCCTGATAGGACACGGGAATCACAGGGACCTCAGAGGGCTGTTCCCGGGAGGGTGGGGAATAAAAGAGGGAGGGGGTCTTGGATGGAGAGGCAGATGCCCACTGGGAGCAATGGAACCTTCCTCTGGGGATCTCTTCCTCCTTTTCTCTCTCTTTCCCCTCCTCTGTTCACCACTCCTCTCTGAACCACTCTGTCTCCGCATCCCTCTCTCTCAATCTTTCTCCAACTCTTTTGCACCATTCCACATATATCCGACATACATATTATGCAGGGAACACGCCTGCGGTCAGTGGCTGTGTAGACTCTCCGTGTCTGACCCCCTTGGCCCCGCTGCGCCCCCGGGCCTCGGTCACAGTGGCAGATGCTTGGACACCGGTGACAATAGGGCATTGAGCGGCTGTGCATGGTGAGGCCGAGCCACCACGTGGTGCTAACGGAGCCTTCCACTCTGGGCCTTTCTCCCTCCACGCAGGGCCCTCACTGTCTCAATGTCCCCCTCCCTTCCTGCCAGCCTGTCCCTGGGGTGGGTCCCTGCCTGAGTGCCCTCTATTGGAGCAAACAAGCCTCCTGGCCTTCCGTGACCTCTGGTCACACCCTCTCCTCTTTGTGCGTCAGTTTCCCTTTTTCAAAAAAGGGGGACAGATCAGAGGAGAATGGGTGGATGTAGGGGTTCTGAGGGTCCTCGGGAAGCCGCGTTCACTTTCCTGGACTTGGGTGAGCAGGGTGAGGCCCAGAGAGGGGAAGGAGGTGGCTTGAGGTCACACAGCAGGCCTCTCCATCCAGCCTCATTTCTCAGAGCCAGGTGGGCGGGCCCCAAGGCCCAGGGGGGAGTGCTGGCCAGGACTGCAAGAGGCCCAGGCGCGGGTGCCACACACACACACACACACACACACACAGCACACACCCCTACACAGCACACACACACACACACACACACACACAGCACACACCCATACTCCCGGCCACACACACCCATACACAGCAAACACACACACAGCACACACACACACACACCCATACACAGCAAACACACACAGCACACACACACACACACACACACACACACAGCACACACCCCTACACAGCACATACACACACAGCACACACCCATACTCCCGGCCACACACACCCATACACAGCACACACACACAGCACACACACACAGCACACACACACACACACCCATACACAGCATACACACACACACAGCACACACCCATACACAGCACACAGCACACACACACACAGCACACACCCATACACAGCACACAGCACACACACACACAGCACACACCCATACACAGCACACACACCCATACACAGCACACACACACAGCACACACACACCCATACACAGCACAGCACACACACACACACCCACACCCATACACAGCACACACACACACACAGAAGCCAGAGGCTGGAAAGGCGGACGAAGGCCAGGGCGCCGGGACCAGACAAAGGACGCGCGGCGGGGCTCGGGGAGCGGAGTGGCTCCACGGGGCGGAGGGGGAGCCGGGGTTGGGCTAGAACCCGCCCGCCCCGCCCCCGGGAGACGCCGGCCCGGGAAGCCCGCAGGAAACCCGAGGGCTCGGGCGCGGCCGGTCCCCCGGGCCCGGGGCGGGGCGCCCATGGGCGGGGCGGGGCGGGGCCAGGCCGGGTGTGGCCGGGCGTGGCCGCGCCGGGGAGCTGACCAGCTCGGTGGCTGCTGAAAACACCGGAGCCGGGCGGGCGCCGGGCGGGCGCTCAAGGTCACCCCGCGGCCCTGCGCCCCGGCGGGTGCGGCGCCCGGCCCTGGTCTGGGGGGCCTGCCTGAGCCCTTGACCCCACCCCGCGGTGCACCGGGACGCACAGCCGGGATGCCCCCCGCCCCGCGGGCCCTGCGATCCCCTCCCCCTCCCGCAGCCCGAAGCGCCCGCGCGATGCCAGGGCCCGCGAAGAAGCGCCGAGAAACAAAGAGCCGCGGCGGCGGCGGGCCCGCGGGGCCTCCGGGCGCGCCCCCTCCCCTCCCCTCCCCGCTTGCCGCAAGGTCGACGGGCTCGAGGACGAGATGCCCGGATCCCGGGCGCGGCCGAGGCCTGGGGCTCGCGATCCGACGCCACCGGCTGGCGCCCGGGGCCCTCGGGGCTGCCTGGACGCCGTGTCCCGGCCTAGCACCCTCACCGGGGCCCCGCGTCTGCCTGGGCGGCCTGCGGGGTCCGGGCCTGGAGGGAGGAGGCATCCTCCGTCGCCGCGGCCCCTCCCCCATCGGCATGCCGGAGGGGGGCAATCCCGTCCCCGGGGCGCCGGAGGATGCCCCGAACCGCGGCCTGGAGCCCCGAGGCCTCCCGGCCAGACGCTAAGCGCCCTCGGCACGCTGGGCGCGGCGCAGCCCGCTCTCAGGCTCCGCGGCTCGGTCCTTCCCTCCCCCGCCCCCACGACTGGGCCTAGCTGGGCCTGGTCCTACCCCCCCACAGCCTCCATCTCCGCGGAGCCCGAGCCTCGCCCCTTCCCGGCGAGGCTCCCTCGCGGCGACAGGGGATACCTACAGTGACCATTCTTGTGTGCCCGGCGGGCGCGGTCCGTGCTGGGGGCGGCTCCGGGGGTCGCGCGCTCGGTGCTCACGCCGGGGTTCCACCCGGGCGGCCTCGGGCGCGGCCGCTGCAGAGGTGTCGGTGGAGGCGGCGGCTCCCTCGAGGCTGGAGATGGGCCCGAGCCCGCGGGCGCGCGCGCGGATAACCGAGCCCGGAGTGGTCTGCGGGCGGCAGAGGATGGAAAGGGCGGGCGGGCGGGCGCGGGCCGAGAAGGTCCCCTGCACGGCCCCGCGGGGCCCGCGGAGTTTGCGCTTTCCCACAGAGATCGCGGCGCCCTGCCTCTCGCCCGGCCGGTCGGGTCCCGGATGCTCAGTGCTGTCCCCTCGCCCGCCCTCCCTCCCACCCTCCTGCCCGCGCTGCGCGCTCCGCGATCTGGGCCGCGCCGCCGCCGCCCCCAGCCCTTTATATCCGCAGCTGCCAGCGCCGGCGACGCTCATTGGCTGCAGCACCCAAGCCCCGCCTCCTCGCGGCGCCCGACGGCGCGGCAGGTGGAAGCGAGCGCGCCGGCCCGGGCTCGCTTTCTGGGGACCAATATTGCCAGATCCCGGCTCTTTTGACTCAGCGGACCTTACTTCCTGCCCGGGCACCCTTTTTAGGAAGGGCTTTCTAACCGGAAGTCAGGGCAGGCTCTCCTTCTCCGTCCAGCACTTGGAGCTGGAGAAGCAAAGAGGGACAGGAGGTATCTGTGATCCTGTGTACGACCTCCCTGAGGTGCTGTCCACAAGAAGACTGGAAAGGGACAACGATCCATGACTTCAATAGGCAAAGCCCTGGGTCCCCAGATTTGGGGGGACCAGGTGTAGTCTCCTAATGCTAAGGGAGGAAGGTGGGGATGGCTGGGGGTCCCAGTCTTCCTGCAGAAGGAACTGGTACTCTGTGGGCTAGGTGTCTCTGGGGTTCAAAAGCTGTGGACTGGCACCCCACAATGCAGGGGCACTTGGCACGGCCGCAAAGTGGGGAACTAGGTTTGGATCTTAGGATTCCAGGCAAACCTTGCTGGTGCCCTGAAGCCCTGGGAAACCACTGGGCATTTGGGACAACATACACTTATGGGTGGGCTGACCTTCTAGCAGAATGTCCTGGCTTTCCGAGCTCAGGATTGGCCCGACCGCGGAGTCATCTCCCTTTCTGCTGGGGGAACCTGGACGCTACCTACTAAGGCGATGGAAGGTGGCACATCACCTTTGGCGCATGTTTACGTGGGACGGCCTTCAGCACCACAGACAGCGGCCCGATGGGCCCAACCCGTCCTCTTGCGGGCGGGGTAGCCACGACCCTCTGAACCAGAGAGTGGCAGCCCCCACCCTATCCTCGGCCCAGCACGCCCTTTTAGCCTCCAGACCCTCCGGGAATGTCGTCAAACCCTGCGAGAAGAGCCTGTTCTGACCAATCAGGGACGGCCCTGGCAAGAACGAATTGCCGGACGCCCTCGAGGTGGAGCCAATGAGGACCCGAGCAGCGGAGCGCGCGGCCTGGCTGATGGAGAGGGAGGCCAATCGTAGTGGCCGCGCAGCCCGGGCGGTGGCGTTGCGGGACCCGGTGGCCCTTCTAGGGTTTGGCAGGCCAGTGTGACGGCTGACTCTAGAGGCCCCGAGCGATGGCTTGTTCCCCAAGCCCTGATCCTCCCGGCTCCAATGGGATTAGAAGCTGTGCTTGGCTTGCAAGGGGCTACTCCTGGGCCCGCAGACCCGACTGCAGTTCCCATGGAAACTGCTGGCTCCCGCCGTGCGGAGACAGCTAAGAAGACGGAGCCTGGGGGGAGAGGAGGCGGCTTTCGGAAGAGCGGCCCCAGCGGCCGGACTGGCTCTTCCTCGCCGACGCTCCGTCCCCGATTGTAGACCCCGATTAGAAGTGTAAACTGAGCGTTAGCTGCGGCCTCGCTCCAAGAACTGGCGAGGAGCTGGTGGGGGCAATCTGCGCGGCTCGCCGTGGGCTCCCCAGGGCCCTGGTCCTGCTCGCGGCTCTGGTCCCCCGGGTCACGTGGCTGCGGCCATACTGGCCCGTGCAGCTTGTGCGCCACCTGGCGTCCGTGTAGCCTGGTTTCACTCCCCGCCCCTCTCTCCCCCTGGCAGTCTACGGGGTGAGGAGGTGGCCTCGGTGTCCTCCAGGTACTGGGACCAGAGCAGCCGCCTTGTCAATGCCAACTCCCTTCCCCCGCGGCTTCCTGTTCCAGGAACACTCCGGGCCCATTCTACTTCGCGGTGTTGGCACCGGCTGTTCCTTCAGCCTGGGATTTGCCTCCCTCAGCTTTCTCTGGGATGGAACCTTTTTGTCATTCTGATCAATGTTCAAATACTACCTGACCACTGACCTACACAGCTCCCCCAAAAACTAATACACTATTTTCTGCATGGTGCTTGTCTCAGTCATAGATGTCTTAAGGGTTTACTGAACTGGTCCCTGACCTCTCTAGGGTGAGGAATGTCTAGGGTGAGGAATGAGTGACCCATGAGAAATTGGCAGTCAGGAGAGAGTCCTGGGAGATGTCAAGTGGCTTCCCTGGGTGCCCAAACCCCCAGCCCTGGCCCTGTGAGAAGCGAGTGTTCAGGGTTGCTCAGGCTACTGAGGCAAAGGGCCAGGTCCCTGGTCTGCCGGTATGACCTCCCCTACCTACCACCCTCACCTGAGGCCTCACTCAGGCTGGGACCAAGTTGGAGAAGAGACCCCCTCACCCCCAAATCATCCAGGTCTAGGGGGAGGGCATCTACTTTCTCACTCTTTAATCTTGCTCTGCTCTAGACACAGTTCCAGCAGTGCAGCCGCCATCGCCAGCTCCAGGGGGGGGCACCAGCCCTGGGTGGGGCAGGGGCATCACCTTCCCGCCTGCGGGGTGGCCCCCATGGCAGTCCAGGCCCAGCAGGCCCAGGAGTGGCATCGGAGTGGACAAATAAATAGGGACGGTGGTTGATGGGGGGTCAGGTGGGTTTGTGGTCGGGGTGGCTTTTGAGAGTGTGGAACTTGATGCTGTCCAGCTTCTCGAAACGCTTCCCGCAGCGCTCGCACGTGAAGTTGTACTGCACCTCTGCCGTGTGCTTCTTCATGTGCCAGTTGAGCGAAGCCCGCTGCCGGCACTGGTAGCCGCAGATCTCACACCTGCCAGGAGTCAGGGCACAGTCAGAGGGGGCAGGGCCGGCCCAGAAAGGGCTGGCGCCATCTGGGACTGGAGTGCAGATGGATTTGGCATGGCAACCCCAGGATGGAGTGCGCCTCTGGGACCTGCTCTGTGCTGGTCCAGGCCCGGATCTCCTCCCTCCTAGTACCCTCTCGGGGCGCCTGTCACTCACTGCAGGGGTGTCTCGCCGGTGTGTGTGCGCCTGTGCACCTCCAGGTGGTTCTTCCTTTTGAAGGATTTGCCGCAGGTCTCACAGGTGAATTCCCGGACACCTGGGGGAAGCACAGGCTGAGGGCTCCGCTCTTGGGGAGAGGGCTGGGAGTGTCTCCACTGTACTAGGGAGATCAACTGCAGAGAAACCAAGCCCCTACCCTCCAGGCTTGAAGGTCAAGTCTAATAACCAGAGAGGCTGATAAAGGGGAGGCTCATGGTCGCTGCCCAGGAGCCCCAGGCAGAGATGGAGTGGGAGCTCCGGTTCCTGAGGAGGAGCACAGCGTGCAGATGGGTTTGAATTTGACCCCAACATTTGGACTTTGGCACAATTTCACATAAAAATCCAAAGTTCTGATCTCAAAAAATCCAAATCCATGCTCTCCCTCTGGTCACAGACACCAACCCTGGCTGCTGTGTCTCAGCCCACACTCTGGGTCAAGGAGGTGTTTGGAGCAGAAGAAACAGAGGCCCTGTTCCTAGCCTGATGCCCCTTCAGGCTGGTCCAGCCCTGGAACTGCTCCAGCCCGAGACCTGCGTGGAGGAGTCAGGAGGCCGACGGGCCTCGCTCCCCCTGAGGTGTAACAGTCGGCGTCACTGTGGCTTACGCAGCTCGCTCTTTAATCGCGCGCTGCTCTCTTGACACGGTTCCAGCAGCGCGGCCTCAGGGAGGTGCCTGGGGGCTCCAGGTTAGTCCACCACCTCAAGCTAGCCCATGTGGGACAGGCAGGAAACTGAGAAGGCAGTCCTGGGCAGGCTTGCCCCTGCCTGACCGCGCTCCGGCGCCGCAGGGCCTCACCTGAGTGGATGATCATGTGTCGCCGTAGGTGGTTGGATAAGTAGAACTTCTTGCCACAGCCAGGATGAGGACATACTTTGGTCTTCCCTTTTCGATGTACAAGGTTGACATGGTTCTGGAGACGAGAGGGGCCGGAGTGGTGCTGTGGGTGCTATGGGGTGGGGCTGGGGCATTTCCCTGGAGGAGGGAAGAGGGGTGCCCTTGTCCTTCGGATGGACTGCCAGCTCCACGTTGGGGCCCATGGGATCAGTTTTACTGAGCCTCGACTTCAGCCAGGTTCTGGGTTGGGGCATCAGTGAATCTTATCACAACCCTGCGGAGGGCCCTGCCATTAGCCGTTTATGGATGGGGAAACTGAGTCTCCAGAGGCTCAGCAGTTTGCCTGGTGTCTCACAGCTGGGCAGTGGCAGGGCTGGGACTGGATTCTAGGGCTGTCAGTCCATAGCAGGCTCTTTGCCATGGTGCTATACTGTGAGCCCTCTCCTACCGCCCCCCCCCCCCCCAGGGCCTGGAGCAGAAAGCTCTCAATCACCCTTTCCTTCGTGTTGTTGTTGTTTTGTTTTAAATATTTTTTTACTGATTTCAGAGAGGAAGGGACAGAGAGAGACAGAGAGAAACATCAATGATGAGAACCACTGATCCCTGCATCCCTCACACTGGGGATTGAGCCCGCAACCCGGGTATGTACCCTGACTGGGAATCGAACCGTGACCTCCTGGTTCACAGGTTCAACCACTGAGCCACACTGGTTGGGTCTGCCTTTGTTCTTTAGCTCGCTAGTACACCTGTAGCTTCAGTGCCCAACCAGGCTTGGCATTGGGAGGTGCTCAGTATGTGCTTAACGAAAACATGATTTGGCAAATTCAAGGGCCAACTTGTGACACTTCCTTTGCCCAGTGGGGATATGGTAAGGCCCTGTCTCTGCCCTGGGGGTGGCCCAAGGCCCAGTGGACAACCTGCAGGTACGACCTGGTGGCACAATGACCTGAGGCTTGCAGGCCCTACCACCCTGAGCCAAGAGGGTGGCGTGGCAGAGGTAGTAGGAGCTGGGCAAGCAGAAGAGCAGGAGTGTGGGGAGCGCCTCCAGGCCAGGAGCAGGCAGCCACTGGGGGTGCAGAGAGGCTGTGGCTGGTGAGGCGGGACAGGCGTGCCGGAGGCCAGTGGGCATGTGGGAGGCGGGCACGTGGCGCCTGCTGGGGCTGGTGGGCTCTCTACTAGCCACAGGCTGCTGGGCACAGAAGCAGACCCTGCCCAGCCGTTTGGGGGGGCCTCACCTGGAAGCTACTGAGAGCCACATACACCTGGCTGCAGCCCTCGTAGGGGCAGTGGAACATCTCGAGCAGGCCGTCGGCGTCCGTCACCCGTGACCGCTTGCTCCTCCGCCTCCTGGAGAGGAAGGCCCGTGGCGTTAGGGCTCCCACACCAGCCAGACCACCAGGCCCCGCCCGCCTGACACCCACTTCTCAGGCTCCTTGGGGATCTCATAGATGATGGCTGACATGTCACTGCTGTCCAGCTCCTCCCCGTCTGCCTCTGCCTCAGGCTCTGCACTCTCAGGCACTGTCGCTGCCAGCTCTGCCAGCTCTGGAGCCACCGGCTCCTCCTTCTCCTCCTTCTTAAGCATGTACAGGTCCTCCTTCTCTACGGGGTGACACAGGGCAGGTGTCCGCGGGGACTAAGGCTTTCCAGGAGTCCCCTCTAGGGCCCTCCTCGCCCTCCCCCTCCCAGGTACTCCCATCCCAGCTCCCCCAGACTAGCATGGGCCTCCAGACCTTTCTTGGTCTCCATGCCTGCCATGGTGGTGGGGTCCACAGCGCCGGGCTGGCTGCCCTCAGGCTCTGTCTGGGTGTAGGCTGCCACACCCTCCATCATGGCGCAGGGCACCTCGTCACCCAGGCCCCCGCTGGGCGCACTGCTGCTTGCTGCCACATTGAGGTGGATGCCCTCAGCCGTGAGGGCATCATAGCCTGGGCCTGCGATGATGATCACCTGAGAGCCAGGCACCATGCCTGGCATGGGACAGCTGGCTACCACCTCGCCCAGTGCCTCCTGGGGCATGTTCTCAAAAAGGGTGCCAGGGCCCGGGCCCACTTGCATGGGCACTGGCACACACACCACAGTCTCCAGGGCTTCCGGCCCGCTGCCTGCTGGGTTGGGGCACAGTGCGGGGCCCTGCTCAGCCAGGCTCTCCACGTGGTGGACGTCGAAAGGGATGTGCACACCCTCTTGCGTGATGAGGCCGCTGCTGCCCGCTGGGCTGGTGGGGGTAACAGCAGCTGCTGCAACTGTCGCCTTGGCTGGCTGGCCTTCAGGGGGCTCCTCAGAGTCAGAGCCAGAGCAGGAGCTGGACGAGTTGGAGCTGCCGGCCCCCAGGCCGTTGTCCACTGTGGTGACAGAGGAAAGAGACGGTTACAATCGTGGCGGTGGCAGCCGGTGCTTGTTGAGGGCTCAAAAGGGGCTGGTGCTGCGACTCCTCACTGGCACCAACAGCGGTCACTTCTCAGTCCCCATCCTCCTCAGCCATCCCTGCTCCTCAGAGATGCTCTCCTCCCTCTGCCTCTGGCCCACTCGTTTCCCAACTCCTCTGTGGTGGCTCCTTCGCAGCCTTTTTTGCTCTTAAAGGTCTGGAAGGTTCTAGCTGGGGCCTCTCTGAGTGCTCCGATCAGATCACCCCAGGGTTTCAGCTGGGCTGATGGTGTTAAATCCTACCCTGATTCTGTGTCCAGCAGTTCAATACAATTTCCACACCACATCAGACCCCAGGAGAATGACCCCACTTCAGACGCCAGCTGCAAGCCCCAGGCCACCTGTAAGCCCCAGGCCACTTGTCCTACCTACTGACCAGGAGTTCCCACGACCCCATGTTTAGGTTTGATAAACTTTTTAAAAATTTATTTTTATATATTTTTTAATTGCTTTTTTACAGAGAGCAAGAGAGGGATAGAAATTTAGAAACATCGATTAGCTGCCTCTTGCACACCTTCTACTCGGGATGTGCCCGCAACCAGGGTACATGTCCTTGACAGGAATCGAACCTGGGACCTTTCAGTCCGCAGGCCGACGCTCTATCCACTGAGCCAAACTGGTTTTTGGCAAGGTTTGATAATTTGCTAGAATGGTTCAGAGGACTCAAGAAAATGCTTCAAGCCAAAACCGGTTTGGCTCAGTGGATAGAGCATCGGCCTGTGGACTGAAGGGTCCCAGGTTCGATTCTGGTCGGGGGCATGTGCCTTGGTTGCAGGCACATCCCCTGTCGGGGGTGTGCAGGAGGCGGCTGATCGATGTTTCTCTCTCATCTATGTTTCTAGTTCTCTATCCCTCTCTCTTCCTGTCTGTAAAAAAATCAATAAAATATATATTTTTTAAAACAAAAAAATAAAATGCTTCACTTCCAATGACAGTTTTATTATAAAGGAGAAGACTCGGCCCCGCGGGGGGGGGGGGGGATCACAGGAAAGGCACAGGGCGGTCCGGCACTGCCACGCCCTCCCCAGCTGTGCCCTCTCCACGCCGCCACACGTTCACCCAAACTCTCCGACCTCCAGCCCTCCCACAGCCCCGGGACTGGTGTGGGGCTGAGAGACTGCGCCTCTATCATGTGTTTGGTCTTTCTGGTGACCAGCCCTCCTCCTGAGTCACCTCCTTAGCACAGAGCCCAGGTGTGTTTCAAAGGGGCTCCTTCCAAAACAGGACTCCGGATAACGAAAGGCATTCCTCTCTCTGAGGGAATTCCAAGTGTTTTAGGAGCTCTGTGCCAGGAATTAGGAACCAAGATCAAGTATCTGTTTTTATTGTGTTGCCACTCCTGGTGCTGCCATGTGAGCACTCCCATCCGGACTCCTGTGAGCTGCAGTCTATTACATCCCACCGCCTTCTCTGCTGACCCACCCCCCGAGGGGGCCTCACAGGCGCCCACACTCCTCTCAGCATCTCTGGGCTCGGAGCTTCCTCAGGAAAAGCCTGCAGCATTCGTGGATGTCCCTCCCAGAGAGGGCAGCTCTGTTTTAGCTGCTCAGGCCAAGTCCTGGGGCTATCCCTGACTTCTCGCTTTCTCACACCTACTTCCAATCTGTCAGCAAAACCTATCAGTGCTGCATCCAAAATACATCCAAAGGCCAATAGTGTCCCCCACCTCCCCCGCACACGCCTGGTCATGGCCCCATCATCCCCTGCCTGAACCATGCAGTCCCTTCTCCCTGGTCCCCCAGCTCCCACCCTCAACCACCAACACCCCCTCGCTCTGTCCTTCCTACAGTGGCCAGAGGGAGTTAGTGAACACCTACTCAGGTCATATCCCCCTTTAAGAACCTGCTGGTCACTTTCTGTGAAAGAGAGAGACCAGCTGCTCACCAAACCAGTGTCTCTTCCTCCTGGCACCCAAATGGACTATATTTCCTAGCATTCCTTGCAGATAGGTCTGGCCATACGGCTGAGTCCCAAAGAAATGTGAGTGGTTCATGAACTTCCACCTCTGAGGAAATTCATGAACCAGTGACTACGTCTTCCTAGATGCTACCATGTTTCCCCGAAAATAAGACATCCTCCGAAAATAAGACCTACTTACAGGTTTCCTTCTGAGTGAAATATAAGGCATCCCCCCGAAAATAAGGCCCCCCTAGGCTAAACATGAGAGATATGGTACACTGATTCTGAAAGAAATGGAGTCACAAGAAATTCACCAGGAAATTCAGGAATTGGATTGTTATGATGACGTTCCAAAGATGATGACATGATTGTCATTGAATAAATGAGTCAATTCTTGATACTGTAGGATTCACAGTTTGTCTGGTTTGTGTTGACAACTACCATACTACCGTACCATATACAGGTAATAAATTTCCTTTATTTTCATTTAACAATAAATGTGTACCGTATTCTTCTTCATGGAAAAATAAGACATTCCCTGAAAATAAGACCTAGCGCACCTTTGGGAGCAAAAATTAATATAAGACACTGTCTTATTTTCGGGGAAACAGGATATATGTGTCAGATGGGGATGATTGAGATGATCAGAACTCAGAGGAGGCTGGAGCTACAGGATGGAAAGAACCTGGATCCTGGGACGGAAGGCAATTTGCAGGTGTGTGTATTTCAACAGCCGGCCTTCCTTCAGTTAATACCCTTCCCAGTCTTAGCTAGTTTGGCTTAGTGGATAGAACATTGGCCTGAGGACTGAAGAGTCTGGGTTCAATTCTGGTCCAGGACACATGCCAGGAGTTGTGAGCTCAATCCCCAGTAGGGGGCATGCAGAAAGCAGCCAATCAATGACTCTTTCTCATCATTGATGTTTCTATCTCTCTCTCCCTCTCTGAAATCAATAAAAATATATTATAAAAAAGTAAGAAAAAATGCTGTCAAACTATTATATCATACAATGCTTATCATTAAAAAACACACACACACACACACAAAAAAAAAACCTAGCCAGTTTGGCTCAGTGAACAGAGAGTTAGCCTGCGGACTGAAAGGTCCCGATTCAATTCCGGTCAAGGGCACATTCCTAGGTTGTGGGTTTGATCTCCAGTAGGGGGCGTGTAGGAGGCAGCCAATCAATGACTCTCATCATTGATGTTCCTATCTCCCTCTCCCTCTCCATTCCTTTCTGAAATTAAAAAATAATAATAAAATAAAATAAATATATATATATACACACACACGTATATGTGTGTGTGTATGTATATATATAATACCCTTCTCAATTCACTTGGCATAGCAGCCAAAGCTCTCACCAGAGGTAACATGGCTTGCACCTCCTCTCCAGCCCCACTGGCCTCCCTCCCGAGCTGAGACACTAGACAGCTTTTTGCCTCAGGGCCTTTGCATTGCCACTTCCTACCTGAACCCTTTTCTCTCAGACACCAGTTGGGCTCCCTTTCTTATCTTTATCAGACCCTTCAGCAATGGTGTTTTCTTCAGCGAGGCCTCTGACCACTTTGTCTCAAATAGCACCCTTTTCTCTCCTTTACTTCCCCCCCAAATACTTCCCATACTCCAGTGTACTCTGGATTCTACCTTGTTTACTGTCTGCTTCCCTGTAGACAGTAAACTCCACAAGGAAAGGGGTCCCTGTGCACAGTCCCCAGTCCCCAGAGGCTATATGGTACACAATGAGCAACACCTTTGCAAAAATGAATGACTCTCCGACCAAGGCTGTGATGAAGGCCAAGGGAAATAACATCTTACCCACACAGGGAGAAGCTGGGACAGGCAAAGGGAGTGACTGTCCCTTAGATCGCACACTCGTGACAGGTGGGCACACTGGGAACCCAGAGGGTCACATGGAGAGTGCAGGCACTGGACCAGACTGCCTCGGGGGAGGGGGTCTCAGTGCTTGCTCTTCCTGCTGTGTGATCACAGAGGCCTTAAGGAACCCATCTGGGCCTGGAGATATCTTGGTACCTACCTCAGGGAGTACTCTGGGTATTTAATGAGTAAATACATGGGAAGGACTTAGGACAGTACCAGGCCTGGAGAAAGCACCCTACCAATGTTTTCCACTACCTTTAATACCCAACTGCCCCATCCATGAGGCGGCCCTGGGATGGCAGCAGGAACAGTATGGGATCAGCCCTGTAGTGGGATGAGCCCGGGCTGCACCCTGGAGAAGGGGCTATCACCTCATGAGTTGGGAGCATAGTTGGGTCCCTGGGTGCCTGAGTGCAGCATCAGCTTCTAGGCTGACACTGGATCTTGCTCAAGGTGATAACTCTCCCAACAGAAATGACCGTGCACCCCTGGCTTCCCACAGTCCCTCGGGGGCGGGAGGGGTCTTGTTACTGAGTGAGAGGTGGCAGGCTGCCCCAGGCACAGAGCAGATAAGAGTGCTGCTTGAGGGAAGAGCCAGGCCTGGGGCACAGCACTCTCTCGCCAGCCCCTAGCAGCCAGAGAAGACCTGGAATTGATCCGTGTTCATTCCCAAGGGCCCAGCCCCAGAAGCTGCTAGTGCAAAAGTGAGGTTGGGGTGCGAGAGACCGCCTCTGGGTGTCACCCGATCCGAGCTGGATCCATCACCAGGTGGGCCAGTCATGTTACTCCCAAAGCCCTGGCTTCCTCGACTGCTCAGAGGGTCTGATGACAGGCCTGTGGGGAGGACTCGGGGAGTTTGGGGGGGGCCTGGAGCGGAGTACAGGACAGGATGGCCGAGGGGCAGGTTCACGCTGGGAGCCTGACTGACACACAATGGGATGGCTGTTGGCCACGGTGCCCACCTGGAGCACCTCTCGCCCACAGCTTCCCCTCACCAGCTGGGATGCCATCTGCTCCAAATGCCTGCCAGCTCGGACTCAGCCCTGGTGACTGACCTCACCCTCAGCCCTGGCAGGGCACCTATCTGCAAGCCTCACGCTTCTTCTCACAGCTCACGCCAAGCTTCTGAGGCAGGTGGGCAACCCCTCGCTACCCAGAGCACACCCCTGCTCCTCCACCAGGTCTTCCTGGACCTTCGTAACTGAGTCCCTCCCAGGCCTGAGCTGGCAGTCAGCCCCTGGGTGTGACCAACGTAGAATGGCAGGAGAGGGGCAGGGACAGAGATGGGAAGGGCAGGGTGACAGAGGGTAGAAAATGAGAGATGGGCAGGGTGTGAGATGGAGGGGAGACACAGAAAGACAATGTGGAGAGGAAGGGAAAGGAAGGAGACTGAAGACAGAGCGAGGGACAGGATGAGAGAGACAGAGAGCAAAGAACAGGAAGTGAGGAGGAGAGGAGGATGGAGAGAGGGAAAGAGAATGAGACTGGTAGAGACAGACTCTGAACCCGAGAAAGGGCTTAAGAAAATAGAGGAGAGAGGAAGAGGCCAGGAGAGAAGAGCCACCCTGTGGAGCCTGAGGCCCAGCATCCAACCCTCCCTCCCGCTACTAAGCCAGGTTCCCTGGACCCCAAGTCCAGCCCTGCCTGAGCCTGGCCGTGGGCACAGGTGGGCAAACTGTCTCTGTAAAGCGGGAACTGCGTCCTGGGATCTGTAAGGGCTCGGAGATTGCAGGCTGCATAGAGTCTGTGCTCGGTCCCTGAAGCTAGCTCCTGGGCCATCTAGCTGCTGAGAGTTTATGATACTGGCCTCAGGCTGGCAAGACCCGGGAGGGTGGGCGGTCCAGGGTGACTCTATGGCCCCGCTCTGTGGACCCACCTTTGTCACTGTCGGCGTCTGAGTCGCTGAGTGGCTTCAGGGGCGAGTGCAGGTCCTGGAAGTAGCGGTGGCCGGCTTCACACTGCCACACGGCCGTGGTGTAGAGGCCGAAGGTGGGGTCCAGCTCGGCCAGATGCGGCTCGTACGGACAGCGGTGCTTGTGGTCCTCGTACCAGATCACCACGTTCTTCAGGCAGTTCACGTTGCGCCGGCGCCCTGCGCAACAGGCCGGGGCAGGCGTGAGGAGTATGGCGAGGCTGCTCAGGGCAGCGTGGCCCTACAACCACCCGGCCTTCTGGCTCCTGGGGGTTGAGACGACGTCCGGAACCCTGTCCGGGCCTGTCCCGTTTGTAGGTAAAGAAACTGAGGCTCAGAGGGATGAGACCCCCTGGAGGTGACAGGGACCGTCCTCACTGGATGGACAGTCATACAGACAGTGGGGCCTGGCCAGGAAGGTCCACAGTCATTGTCAGCTGCTGCTTATTGTTATGATCAGTCCCCTGGCCGTCCCCTGCTCCCACCCTCCTCCTACAGTCTGTTCCTTCCGGAGACACCAGTGGACGCCTGTGAGCACTGAGTCAGGTCACATCCCTCCTCTGCTCAGTTTCCATAGCGCCCACCTTCCTGGTGGGAAAGTCATGTCCTCCCAGAGGCCCAGCAATACTCCTGCTCACCAGCTCCAGCCTCAGGGCCTTCTCCCGGGTCCAGCCTCAGAGCCCTCGCATTGGCTGTGTCCTCTGTCACCAGATAACTGCCCTGCAGCCTCCACCTTCACTCAGGTCTTCCCTCGGCCAGCCATCCTCTCTCCCCTGTCCCTCTAGCTGACCTGACTTGCTTCCTTCCTCTCCAGGTAGCACCTAGATGCTATCTATGCTTATTTGTTTTCATGTTTCTTGCTCACCTCCCACACTAGATGTCAGCCCCCTAAGGACAGGGTCACTATGGTATCTGTGTGGTTCCTTGTGCACATTCAGCACCTGCACACAGTCGGTGCTAGATGAGCGCACGTTGCGAGGGGGTGGGAGTAGTGGGGCCTAACCACCAGGGTTCACATCCTGTCTCTACCACTCCTAGCTGGGTAGCTCCGGGCAAGTGGCGTGGCTTCTCAGAACCTCAGTTGACCCCTCTGGTCAGGGGAGAATAAGGGCCCCCATTTTCTGAAGGCTAACAGGGAAGAGGTGAGAGTGAAGACACTGACAGGGCACAGAACGGGCTGTGAGTGCCTAAGAATTGGTGCCAGTGATGTGTGCGATGATCCTGCTCCCTCAACGAAGTGGGAAGGAGTGGGCCCAGGAAAGGTCCCGGGGCCTAGGAATGGTGCCCCGGGCCTCCAACACAGCGACAACCATGGGGGTACCACCAGCAAGCCACCTCCTTAGCCTAGCACTTGCCTCCTCATCTTCACCCCCACCCCGTTGGGATTTGGGGTCACAGTCTTAGCTCACCTGGTCCCTGAGAACTACGACAGTGGGAGGGGCTCGCTGTCACCAGAAGGCTGTGCCTGGACAGCTGGCTCTCACCCTGTTGGACGTAGCTCGAGACCCACAGCCCCCGTGCTCAGGGGCAGGAGGGATGAGCTCCAGGCCTCTGCTCTGACTGCCCACGCCCAGCTCCCCTGGAGCCTGGCACACAATATGCCCTTTAGGGCCTGGCACAAGCTGTTCCCTCCGCTCCTCCCTGGCTGACTCCCACACAGCAGCCGGAGAGCAGAGGAGCTAAGGGGCCTACTTTGGAGACATGGGGACCTGAGTTCCCAGCTGTGCGGCCTGGGGCAGGGAGTAGGTCCTCCTGGATTGTGTGTGTGTGAGATGGGGAGGATGAGAGATGATGAGGGCATAGCACAGCTTCCTTCCTGGGCTGGATGGGGCCCCGCCTCTGGGCCCCAGTGCCCTAATCCACCCCCCCTTCCGTCACAGCCCTGCTCAGCCTGTCCCTTGTCTTTTCCAGGAGACTGTGGGCTCTGTGAGGGCAGGGCTGGGTCTGCCCTGGTCCACACAGTGCCTGGCACAGGCAGGCTCTCCACAAACGGTCTCAGGGAATGAGGGAGTGAGGGAGGCCAGAAGGAGAGAACGACAGAGCCAGTAACTCCCAAGACCTGCCCCTCCCCCCTGGCTGTAGCCCCACTTACTTTTCTTCCTCTTTGGCTTTTTGGGGACCTGCTCCCAAGGCTTCCTGTAACAGAGAGAGGCAGGGGAGTGACGCAGAGCCTGACTGACGATGAGATAATGACAGCTATCCTGCATCCTGCCGTGGGGCAAGATGTTAGCTTCTGCTTCCCGAGTCTGTTCTCATGGCCCGTCACTGGGGTTCTCTCCCACATGGACAGCAGCCCTTAGAGGAGGGCCTAGTATCCTCACCCACCACAGAGTGGGAAACTGAGGCCCAGAGAGGTGAGACCACAGCCCAGGTCCGGTGGCCAGGGAATGGGGAGGTCAGAAAGGGGTATACGGTCAGTACCTCGTTCTGACCTCTCCTTGCCCCATGACCCCACCCGCTGGGATCACACACCCTGTATAATCCCCTCCCCTCCAGTGGGGCACGCTGGGGAATAGGAATGGTTACCATTCCCGTGGCTAGATGACTGAACTAATCAAGAGGGAGCTTACTGAGGTGGGCCTGATTTAGTCAGAGAGCCCTCACAAAGAGCCAGCAGATATCAGAAATCAGAGGCCGAGGCGGGAGGGGACTATGAGGGACTATGTAGCAAGGACCTGAGAACTAACGGCCTCTGGGAGCTGAGAGCAGTCCTGCCGACAGCCAGCAGGGCCGCAGGGACCCTCCCCACAACCACCGGCATGTGGATTCTGCCAACGCTGTGAGGGGTCGGACATCTTTCCCTAATTGAACCTCTAGATCAGGAGCGGGGAACCTTTTATCTGCCAAAGGCCATTTGGATGTGTATAACTTCATTCCAGGGCCATACAAAAGTATCAACTTAAAAATGAGCCTGCTTACCAGCACCGGTTTGGCTCAGTGGATAGAGCGTCGGCCTGCGGACTGAAAGGTCCCGGGTTCGATTCCGGTCAAGGGCATGTACCTTGATTGCAGGCACATCCCCAGTAGGGAGTGTGCAAGAGGCAGCTGATCGATAATTCTCTCATCGATGTTTCTAACTCTCTATCCCTCTCTCTTCCTCTCTGTGAAAAATCAATAAAATATTTTTTTTTTTAAATAAATAAAAATGAGCCTGCTGCCGAAACCGGTTTGGTTCAGTGGATAGAGCGTCGGCCTGCGGACTGAAAGGTCCCAGGTTCGATTCCGGTCAAGGGCATGTACCTTGGTTGCGGGCACATCCCCAGTAGGGGGTGTGCAAGAGGCAGCTGGTCGATGTTTCTCTCTCATCGACGTTTCTAGCTCTCTATCTCTCTCCCTTCCTCTCTGTAAAAAATCAATAAAATACATTAAAAAAAAAAAATGAGCCTGCTGCCGAAATCGGTTTGGCTCAGTGGATAGAGCGTCGGCTTGGGGACTGAAGGGTCCCGGGTTTGATTCCAGTCAAGGGCATGTACCTTGGTTTCGGGCACATCCCCAGTAGGGGGTGTGCAAGAAGCAGCTGATCGGTGACTCTCATCGATGTTTCTAACTCTTTATCTCTCTCCCTTCCTCTCTGTACAAAATCAATAAAATATATATTTTTAAAAAATGAGCCTGCTATATTGGGTCAATTTAATGAACTGACCCCTAGTGCCTTGACAGGGCCAGGCCCAAAGCCCAGGCTCCCATGGCCCCCCACACTGGGACGGCCGTCAGGTCTGCCGGATGGGTTCCTGACTCCCTCAGGCCACGTGGCTACGGCTCAGCACTGGCTCTACACACACTGAGGGCAGGTACCCTGGAGCCCTCACTCTCAGACGTGGTAGCGGCTTCCCTCTGCCTTCCTGCCACCAGGCCTCCAGGTCTGCTCCCTTCACTCTGGCTGTTCCCTTGTTCTTCTCAACTGCAGCAGTAAGCGTTGTGATGGTGGTTGAGTGACCTTGCTGCCCTGTGCCTCAGTTTCCCCTTATGAGGTTGGTATGAGATTATATGTGTTGTATAAAGTTTGGTGCAGCTCTGGCAATTTGTAAGCATTCAGCAAATGGTGACAGTGATCATTATGATTAATATTACCACAGAGCCAGGCCCTGGAAGACTGACCTCCCTGCTATGGCCATGGCCGTGCTCTTACCACAAACATCCTGACAGCCAATCCAGGGTCTCTCCTCAGCTCCACTGCCCATCCCCTCGGTCCCCTATCCAGCTTGATAACAATTCTCAGCTGCCACACCTCAAGTCTGGTCCCAGGACAGCTCCTCGGGGCTCCTTTGTCCTTCCTGCCCAGGCTCTGCCCTCTGCCCTGGGGTCTGCTCCCCCCTCTAAGGGGCCAGGCCACCAGGTCCTTCTCCTCCCCGAGTCCAAACCACCATGCCGCCTGCAATCACTCAAGGCCTTGCCATGACCGAGTGCTGAGAAGGCAAGTGTTTGTGGTGGGAACAGGCTTGGCGTTGGTCAGATCTCAGTTCACGTCTCATCTCTGTTATTGACTGGCTGTGCAGTCTCAAGCAGGGTCATCCCCTCTGAGACTGTTTCTTTTTTTCCTTTCTTTTGTTTGTTTAAATAGATTTTATTGATTTTTTTTTTTTTTTTTTTTTTTTTTTTTTTTTAACAGAGAGGAAGGGAGAGGGATAGCAAGTTAGAAATATCGATGAGAGAGAAACATGGATCAGCTGCCTCCTGCACACCCCCTACTGGGGATGTGCCCTTGACCGGAATTGAACGTGGGACTTTTCAGTCCGCAGGCTGACGCTCTATCCACTGAGCCAAACCGGTTCCGGCTGAGACTGTTTCTTAGTCTGTGAAGTGGGATAACAGCAGTGCCTCCCACACAGAGCTGCTGTGCGGATTAAAGGAAGTCAGGCCGCATCTGACCTTCACACAGCCCTTTCTCCTGCAACTCAAACTGCGTCCCCCCCTGCCTGCATCTCTGGGACTCCCCGCAGTTGCCACCACCTGCGTTTGAGGACACAGCTGTGGAGGCTTTTGCAGGGCCTGGCTGTACTTTCCTCCCAGTGGCCAGCTCCAAACGGTGGCCAGCAACAACAGTCCCTTGCTCTCCTCTGCCCTTCCATTTCACATTTCACTTGATATTCCCTCCAGCATCCAAACAAGCTGGTATTTCTCACATCTTGGGTTAAAATTACCTTGAGCCCCTTCACTACCAACTTTTGCGCCATTCCTTGACCACTACAACTGAGCTGTCTACACTCTTGGTTTCCATGTCTGCTTCTTCATCTCCCTTGAGCCCCTAGGGTCAGCGTTCTTCTCCACCATGCCACCAACGGCCCAGCTATAGCCACCAGGATGGCTGCCTCATTGGGCCCCCCAGTATTTGACCCTTGGCCTCCAGGACACCACCCTCCCTGTTCCTCCACCTGCCTTCTGCGCCGCTGCTTCCTTCTCATCTGCCTGACTTCTGGAAGCACGGAGAACGGCAATGGGCTCAGAGCTGTGTGCTCGGCCCATGTGCATCCATCACCATACATACCATCACCACCCGGTGATCACACACATGCATCTCCTGATGGGCTCTCCCCCCACCACAACAGCACCCCACCACCTCCCCGACACCCCATGTAGGAGTCTCACATGCAAGCTGTCATTTTTGTCTCCCGACACAGCCCTTCTCGGTTAACAGCAACTGCAACTTTCCAGGTGCTCAAACCTGGGGCACCTCTCATACCCACCCCCGTCAGAGAACACTGCCGGCCCCAAGTTCAACCACTTCTCCCCATTTCCCTGTGACCCTGCTCGGGCCAGCCCCACCCTGGCTCGCCTGGACCAGTGTAGTCACCTTCTTCCTCCTGCCCTCCCCTCCCACAGCCTCAACATAGGAGTCGGGATGATTCTTCTGATTTTCTCGTTAGGAGTTTAAGATGTGAAAAGAAAAACGCAAACACATACCGAGCTAGAGAGGAGGAGAGTGGCCTTCCTTGAACCCATCACCAGCTTTAATAACTGTCAACTCTTGGCCAGCCTTCTCTTAACTCATACCCCACCCGTTCCTCCCACCACACACAGCCTGAGGAGTGCTTCTTTAAACATCTCAGCCAGATACATGGCTTCTCTGCGCTTATAAAGGGAACTAAAAAAAAAAAAAAAATCCCACCAGAGCTCCCACTAGACATTTTTCACTAAAAGAAAAAAAATCAGTCCTCCTAGCCCCTCCCTGCCTTCATATTCTCTCCTCTGCCCTTCCATTTTATGGCTGCAGCCACAGTGATTTGGGGTCAGGTGCGGCTCATACAACCACCCTGGCCTTCTACCTTTGTACTGCAGCCACACGTTCCCGTCATGTGCCATGTACACATCAGGGCACCAGGCAGGGTCCCGACTCCAGGCCTTTGCACTTGCTATTCCTCCTTCCTCCAACACTCTTCCCCTTAATACCCACACGGCTCTCCCTGGCCTCCTTCAGCTGTGTACTTAACTGCTATTTTCTCAAGGTGGCTCCACCCTAATGCCCTATTTAAACTTCCAGCTCACACTCCTGATTCCTCTTCCCTTATTTTACTTTTTGTTTTTTTCCATCCATCTCTCACATGCTACATAATTTACTGTTTCCTATCTACAGTAGACAAGTCTCTACTTTTGCACAATAGAAAAGCCTCTAGCCTCTGCCCTTTATGTCAACTCCATGAGGCAGCTACCTTTGTTTTGTTCATTGCTGTACATAGTAGGTGCTCATTAAATGTTCCTGAAACAAATGAAGCAGCACTGGAAATTCCACTATGACCATTGTTTCCCTTTTCCCAGTAGAAAGCACCAAGGCAAACTCCATTCACCATTCCCACTTTACGCCTCTGGTCAGACTTTCACCTTATCATGCCACAAAACTGCCTTTGTCATGCCCCTGTGACTCAATGCTTCAATCCAACAGCACTCATCATGGCCTCACTGTGCCACTCATGTTCCTTTCTCTTTTCACCTGATTTAACTTCTGCTTTCGTGCTCATGTCTCACAGCCCTTGAACTGAAATCCTTCCAGGTTATAAATAATTGAACAACTGAAATAATGTGACCTCCTACTTCTGGTCATGGCTATTCCCTATAGGATATCCCTCACCCAGGTTCATGTATTTTCCCAACTACCCATGGGCCCTGGGCCAAGTTTTTGCCTGGGTTGTTTCAGTGCCCCTGCCCTAGTCCTGCACACACAGCCCTGCTCAGCCAAATCAAGCAAATACCACTTTCAGCTTAGGAAGCTCCAGGGGCTCCCTCTGGCCAGTGGTTCTCCAGCTGCACATCAAGTCTCCTTGAAGCTTTGCATAAAAAAATACAGGGTCTGCAGTTCCATCAGACTGACTGAATCAGAAATTCCAATAGTGGGACACTGGCTTGAGGTTTTTTAAGCACCTAGCATTTCCTGCCTTGCCCTTGAGCATATAAACTAGCCTGCCACCCTGAGAAGCAGGTGGGTACAATTTCAGCAGGAGGCAGGTTGCTTCTTGACCCTCAGAAGCACTCCCCCCCCCCCCACCTCCAAACATGCAAGCAGAAGGATTTTGTCACAGAACTGCTTGTAATACAGAACAAACATCATCCTAACAGTTAATACCAGTCTTAAGGCCTCTGCTGTAGTTTAACTCATTTAATTATCACTCAACCTGTAAGGCTGGAAGCGAAAAATTCCAACACTGCTCATTCTCCAAATTGAGACTGCAAACCTCTCTCTGTCTCCCACCTGTGTGGCTAACTCAGGGCTTCCTCTTCACCTGCGTCTCCCTGGGCTGAGGTGCTCCTTAGGAGCCAAGAGGTTTAGGGGAATGCGATCTGGATCGTGAGGGGTCCTCAGGTAGGTGGGATCTAGGACTGTGGGAATGGGACCACTCTGTCCTAGCTGGGGCAGCGGAACCTCATGAGCGGCAGGGCTGGGCGGCCCAGGGTGTGCAGTCATGCTGTCAAGTCTCAGGCTACATTGTAGGGGACCAGGCCTATGAAACCAGGGACCGTAGGGACCGCTGGCCGCTGAGGCCTCAGGAGGCGGGGCCGCTCCTCTAGGGACCGCAGTTAGAACGCTGGGAGGTGGAGCCCGTACCAGGATTGGTCAGCCAGCGCTCAGAGGGCGGGGCCAAACGCCCAGGAGGCGGGTTGAGGCTGGACGCATCCTAGGATTGGGCGGTCAGAGCGGCGGGAGGCGGGGCCATGAGAGAGGCACGTCCCAGGACCGGCAGTCGGAGGCCCAGGCCGGGCCGCCGGGCGGAGCTCAGAGATGCCGGGGGCAGGGCCTGGGCGGAGGGGGCGGGACCAGGCGCAGCGGGGGGTGGGGGCGTCTCCCTCCCTCCCTTCCTGCCTCCCTCGGGCTGAGGCCCCTCACCCGTGCCGGCCGCTCCGCTGGCCGCGCTCCAGCGAGATGAGGTAGGCGGCGAGCTTGGCGTCGCTCCAGCCGCTGCGGCGCCGCAGGTCCACCCAGGGCCCGTGCGCCTCGCCCAGGTACACGCGCCTCACGTCGTACTTCTTCCGGGACTCGAGCCGCCGCCGGGCCCGGTCCGACTCCGTGAGTCGCGGCCGGCCCCGCGCCTTGCGGCCCGCCGCGCCCTCCTCGGCCGCTGCCTCCCCGCCTGCGCCCGCCTCAGCCTCCGCCTCTGCCTCGGGCGCCCGCTCCGCCATCCCCCCCCTCCCTGGTTACCAGCCTCCCCCGTTGTTAGGAGCCCGGCCGGAAGTGGCGCGCATCTTCCGCGCCGCCGGGAAATTTCTCCTGGACTCACTGCCCCGCAGCGCCAAAGAGAGACAGGAAATTGCGCATGCGTCCTACAAGCTTGCGCGACAACCCACTCTCTTACTTTTTCTGTTAAACTTCTCACTTCATAGAGATGGAGGGAGGAGCTGAAGGTTTGAGGGCAGCCCCGTAAGAAAGAGGCAGATGAACCTGTAGACTGGTAGGGGGGAGGGGGAAGACATAGGACTACTGCATCTTGATCCTGAGTGCTTGCCCGAGATGACCAGGTGAGGGTGGGAGTTGTCAGGTGAAGGCAGAGGGGAGGCCAGGGATCTGACCTTTCAGTCCTGGATGCCGGAGGGCCCTTGAAAAGCCATGCCACCAGGCATTAAAAGGGCAGGGATGCCACACTGCCGGAAAACAGCCCTAAACCAGGAAACTTTTATTTGCTGTACAAAGATCATCTCATGCTTCCACACCAGTCCAGGTCCCTGTGCCTGCTCAGGCCTCAGCTCTGGCCCTGCTGCTGTCGCTGCGTTTTGTCTTCCTCTTCTTCCTCCTCTTGGGCAGGTGGCGGGCAGGGCTCCTCCAGTCCTGAGGAGGATGCCAGGAGCTCCCCAGTGGACGCTGTCAGGCGGAAGATCACGGGGATCTGGGCCAGGGCTGGGTTGGTCTCCTGCAGGCCCTGGATCCACTTGGCCAGTGTAGCCTGGTCATGGGCACCTGCCATACATATGGCGAAGACAGGGCCTTCTTCCACTGTTGGGAGAGACAGGCCCTCAGTCTCTGCAGTGGGACTGTAGCCCACTCCCCTTCCAGGCCAAGCACAGAGACTTGAAGCTCCCTTTTGGTTTTCTTGTGTATCCAAGTCTTCCCACAGGATATGCACTCTGCCTGACTGCCCATTCCATGCTTCACCTGTATGATGCCTCCTGGTTCTTCAAGATTCCTCTGGAAAGTCCTCCCACTTCCCATCTGCTCCTCCCCAGAATATAACTTGCCTGTTCCCCCTCTGGCCCTGCCCTGGTCACACTGGGTAACCAGCACAGAGGCACTCCATGATGGAGAAATGACAGGCCTAGATCCCCTCAGGTGTGTGTGTATTTGGGCACCTGCTAGGTCTGCCTCAACCCCACAGGCCACAGCTCATCCCATGCTCTCTCTGGAGCCTGCTCATCCCAGTGTTACCTTCATCAATGTCAAACTCATAGTCATCCCAGGCGCTTCTACCATACTTCAAGTCCAGCTGCATGGGGTAGTAGAGGTTCCATTCCTCTGGAATCTCCTCCACTTCCTACCCCAGGGAGGGGGGAGGGGTACAGACAGAGTCAGAGGCTCAGGATCTTGCTGCCTCCTTCCTACCATCACCAAACTCACCCCACCCCAATCTGTGAGCCCTCAGGGCAGTGCCAGCCCACCCCTCACGATTTGGGCCCTTACCCTCTCCTCAGGGGGCTCCAAGTCTGCTCTGAGGATGTGGTAGTAGACACATTTGTCGCGAAGCCACAGGGAGAAGGGGCCCTCGACGAAGACAGGCCGGGCTGGGCTGTGGCGGGCCAGGGCGGCCTGTTGACCGGGACTCTGGATACCTGGTTGGCAGCGTGCGTACCCAAGGGGCCTTGGCTGAGTCCAAAGGCCCAGGGGAGCCCACCCAGCAGGCCCAGTGAGAACCCAGCTGCGCTATACGCAGGGCCTTACCTACAATATGCTGCTCAGTGGGATCTGCTGTACCCGTGGAGTCTCTGGATGAAGCCATCTGCAAAAAAGAACAGGGGTGGAAGCTTTTGGCCTCCTACAGAGGAACTGGGGAGAAATGGGAAGGGGGTCCCCAGCGAATTCTGGGCTTGTCTACTGGGCCGCCTACATGTCACTCAAGCCCAACCCTTCCTCACTTCTATCCAGTTCAGCATAATAACCACTAACGTTTCAGATGCTCACACAGCTGGAACCTTGGAGGCCACCCACCTGCATTAAAATCTGGGCTCTGGCCGAGACCGGTTTGGCTCAATGGATAGAGCGTCGGCTTGGGGACTGAAAGGTCCCGGGTTCGATTCCGGTCAAGGGCATGTACCTTAGTTGCGGGCATATCCCCAGTAGGGGGTGTGCAAGAGACAGCTGATCGATGACTCTCTCTCATCGATGTTTCTAACTATCTCTCTCCCTTCCTCTCTGTACAAAATCAATAAAATATATTTAAAAAAAAAAAAAAATCTGGGCTCTGCCACGGGCTGTGTGACCATGGCTAAGTTGCTGTACCTGTGCCTTAGTTTCTCCAATTAGAATAGGGGTAATAACAGCACTTACTTCAGATGGTTCTAAAATGCCAAGAGCAGCCCTAACTGCTTTGGCTCCGTGGATTGAGCATTAGCCTGCTGTCTGAGGGTCCTGGCTCAATTCTGGTCAAGGGTACGTTGCAGGCTCCTCCCAGCCCAGGCTCTAGTCAGGAGTGTACAGGAGGCAACCAATCAATGTGTGTCTCAGATGGACGTTTCTCTCTGTCCTTCCCTGTCTCTTCCACTTTCTAAACTTATCTATAGAAAAATATCCTTAGGTGAGGATAAACCAACAAACAAAAAAAAGTGCACATATGTTTTGACTAAAGTATCTAAGAGTAGACAATGGTTGGCACACATCATCCATCCTTTCAGGTTAAAAATTCATTGGATCCGTGGTCACAAACAGAAGAACCACCAAGCATTATAAAGTGAAACCAGCAAAAGGCAAGATGCAGAAAGTATGTAATGCTCTGCCACTGGAGAAACTATTTTTTTTATTATATTTATTGGGTGACATTGATAAAATTATATAGGTTTCTAGTGTACAATTCTATGATACATCATCTGTTTACTATCCAAAGTCCAGTCTTTCATCACCATATATTTGACCCCCTTTAGGAGAAAATTTTTTTTTAAGTTTATTTTTTTTTATTTATTTTTTGAGTTTTAGAGGGAGATGGGGGAGAGAGAGAAACATTGATGTGAGAAAGAAACATTGGCTGCCTGGGAATTGAGCCTGCAAACCAGATAAGTGCAACCTCTCGGTGCATGGGTCGATGCTCAACCAATGGAGCTATATTCCTGGGCAGGAGAAATGCTTTTTTTTATTTTTTTATTTATTGATTTTTTACAGAAAGGAAGGGAGAGGGAGAGAGAGCTAGAAACATCCATGAGAGAGAAACATCAACCAGCTGCCTCCTGCACACCTCACACCGGGGATGTGACCTCCACCAATGTACATGCCCCTACTGGAATCGAACCTGGGACCCCTCTGTCCGCAGTCCGACGTTCTATCCACTGAGCCAAACGGTTTCAGCAGGAGAAATGCTTTTAAAAGTGTTTTTTTGGGGGTGGAAAAAGTAAATGTTTTACTCTTGGGCCCTTTTACTGGACAAGATACAATGGGACCTTGGTTCTAGAACTCAATTCATTCCAGAAGACTGGAAAGCAGTTGTTGGAAAACTGAATCATTTTTCCCATTAGAAATCATGTAAATTGAATTAATCCCCAAATGATTCCGTTTTAACCTTTCTTATATACAATACATACATATCTAATGTACTGTTTAATCTATAAATAAACACTACTTTTCCTAAATTTATCGAACCACTCCTTATGAGGTTTAAAGGAATCCCTTTCAGCACTTGTTCCAGGGTGTCTTTTAAGTCAGCAGGCAGCGCCTCTGAAATGCCACGACTGGCTAACTGCTTTTTGGTTATCCAAATCAACAAGTTTTCCTATCTCTGTAGTTTGTGATCCTTGTTTCTTTCCCACCCTTAGCAACATTAGCACTCTGGATGACTTCTTTATGTTTTAAAATTGTTGCATTCTCTCCTTTGTTTGTTGCCTGAGAGATGCTCTTTGTCATGATGAGGTATTAGCATGAAAGGACTGTCAGGTCAAAAACCAAAGTTTGGTTCAAAGTTTCATTCAACAAACGAGACATTTTTTTCTAAGAACAACTCGATTGGAGACATATTAGAAACAAGGTTTGACTGTATTTATACTGATTTTTAATTTCAAATTTAACATCATGCCTGGCCAGGTAGCTCAGTTAGTTAGAGCTGTCTCAATATGCCAAGGTTGTGGGTTTGATCCCCGGTCAGGGCATATATAAGACTCAACCAATGAATGCATAAACAAGTGGAACAGCAAATAGATGTTTCTCTTTTTCCCTTGCTCTCTTCCTCTCTCTAAAATCAATAAATAAAAATTAAAAAAATTTTTACCATGGAGTTTTTTAAAAAGAACATTTAATTACATATCTTTTTTCTCTCATGCTAAAAATCTTGGTTCCTATCAGCAGTAATACATGCACTTATTTGACTTGTCCATCAATATACATAGTGGGGGTTTTTACATAAGTAGTTTTGATATTACTACTACTACTATAATGCTATGGCATCAAGTTCAGGACTTCTCTGCTGATCTTGTTTCTTAGAATACATGCCACTAAAGATGGACAGTCAGATGACAGTGACAGAGGAGATTTTTCTCTCTTCTGTTATGTTATCAATTAGGTATCTAGCTATATCCATTTTTGTTTCCAATTTTGGTAGTTTACTCCCCCCCATTTTTATTTTGTTTGCCAATCCACAAACCCATGTCTCTCTTCCATTCCAGTTCTCTACCCCATCTCCTCGCCTGCCAAGAGGTTATAATTTCTACCCATTTCTAACTCATCTTTGCATTATTTATTTTTCTGAAAATAGGCAGATAGGTATATGCACTTTTATATCCCCTCCTTCTCACTGAAGATAGCTGCCTATTCCACTGTGTGTACTTCATCCTTTCACTTTGCCTTTTCCCCAAATCTTAGAGGTGCCACAGTCTGCAAGACAATTTGCTCTTAATGGATATTTGGATTGTTTTCATTCTAAATCTGGGCAGTGTCAGTGATTTTATCATGCTTTCTACCTTTCTGTATATATATTTTTAAAATATATTTTTATTGATTTCAGAGAGAAAGGGAGAGGGAGAGATAGAAACATCCATGATGAGAATCACTAATTGGCTGCCTCCTGCACACCCCACACTGGAGACTGAGCCTGCAACCCGGGCATGTGCCCCTGACCGGAATCGAACCCGGGACCCTTCAGTCCGCAGGCCAATGCTCTATCCACTGAGCCGAACCAGCTTCTCTGTCTTAGTATCAGTGGCTCTGAGGGAATTGTTATCCAGGGTTGGCCTCCATGACAAGACCAATGCTGTGAGGGGCTCCCTCTGGATCCCCTGTGTGACCTAGCATGAGTGGGGCCCTCAGGACATGGGTGGGGGTATAGAGTATTTCACTCAGTCATTCAACAAATAACTGCTGAGCTTTGTGACAGACCTGTGCTGGGCCTTGGGAGACACAGGGGAAACTGAGTCACAGTGATTGAGCAACCAACCTCAGTGCAGGGAAATAGTGGTCAGGAAGGGGACCCTGAGGAAGGGACAGTGCTGTTGAGACTGGCAGAATGTGAAGCCCCCAGGGAAGAGTGTTCCTGACCCAGGACACAGTGAGTGTAAAGTGTAAAGACCCAAGGAGGGAACTGGCAGGTTGCTCAAGAAACAGAAAGGAAGGCAGATGCCTGGATTACAGTGCATGGAGGGAGGGAGGGAGGAGCAGAGGTCAAAGGTCAAGCTGCGGTAGGAGTGAGGGACGTAGAAGTGGAGCAGAGGGTTCAGCTGAGTAAAGGGGAGCCCGGCCCAGGTAGTAAAGACAGGGCTGAATACCTGGTAGATGGTGACCTTGGCACTGAGGTCGGGCTCTATGCGCCGCAGGCCCAGCGTGGCCAGGTCCACAGGGTCCGTGGGCAGGTCCCGGGGCACAGGGAAGGGGTTGACGTTCTTGAAGCGGGTGAACCACAGCTTCATGCGTACGAACTTGAGCATGGGGTAACTTTTGCGCCCAAATATCTGAAGCAGCAGGAACTCGGTCTCCTTGTTGGGCATCACCCCTGTGCCAGGTGGATGGCAACAGAGCATCAGAGAGGGGGCAGAGAGGGGAGACATGGCAGACAGAGGCCATAGAGGAGCCCAGGACCAAGGGGAAATTACGTCAAGGATCAGATGGAAAGAGCAAGAAACAGGGAGAATAGAAGTCAGGGAATTGATGCCACAGGACAGAATCCGAGAGAATGTAAAGGAAAAGTCAGAGGGAAAGAGGAAAGGGATGGGAGCCAAAAAGAGATTTGAAAGAGAGGGAGGGGAGCAGGCGGACAGAGAGGACACACATGAGAGCCATAGAGGGATGTAGCAGTGGGCGGCAGCCACTCCCCCGCCCTAGCCTGCTGGCCTCACCGTGGCTCTCCATCTGCTCCAGGACGGCAAGCCCGCACTCCTGCTGCCGCGGGTAGTGGATGAAGATCTTCTGGAAGACGTTGCGAGGCAGGAAGACCTCCTTGGGGAAGACGTCGAGCAGCAGGTTGTAGACGGCCAGGTCCCTCTCCACACCGTAGTCCCGCATCTTGCGCAGGGCCAGGTAGATGAAGTCGACGTGGCCCCGCTTGTGCACATTGTGCTGCCCGAAGTTCTGCACAGCCTGCACAAAGCTGGCTCTGTCCCGGGCCCCGCCTGGCGCCAGCCTAAACAGCTCTTCGTGGGGGGCCGGGGGCTTGGCCAGCTGCCTCGGGGGCTCAGGTGGCCTCGGGACCAGAGATGAGCCAGAGCTGGGGGCGGCTACGCTGCAGTGGAGGCCTCGAGGGGCCTGGGAGGGAACCTGAGGACAGAGAATCGCTGCTGACACCTGCTCCCTCCTGTGCCCCTTGGGGAATGCCAGGCCTGCTCCTTCCTGGGAAAGATGCCAGAGGGTATCCCTACAGGCTTCTGAGGAGGTAAGCTGCGGTTCCAAGTCCAAGGTCAACCACCATTACAGACTATGAGGACACAATGGCAAAACCTCTTCAGAGACAACGCGACAGTTTTCGCGAGGACAAACACACCCCTTCTGTAGCAGCAATCCTGCACCTGATAATTAAATCTGACAGCGCTAAACATACCTGCACAAATGACTGCATCCGCTATGCAGTGGAAATGGCCCCAGTGTGCATCAGCAAGGAAATGATAAAGCAAATGGCTGTGGAACTGAACAAGGAGCACGCCTGCTGTCTAAGACACACTGAGGAGGTCTTGTGTTACTTTGGGTGATCTTCAAGGTGTTTCATTAAATTAAAAAAAGGAGGGTGTGAAACTGTTTAGAGTATGTATTAAAAAAAATCCCCAAACTTACATATAGTAGGTCATCATTGTTGTGGATTCCGTATTTCTGACTTTGCCTACTCGCTAAAATTGAGGTGTAATCCCCACATCAGAACTCCCTCAGGCACTTTCCTGTCTTTCCTGGACACCTGTGGCTGAGGCTGAACAAGATGATGCTCTGCCTTCTTGTTTGGCTCTCATACTGTCAATGTCCTCTCAGAGGCTTACTTAGTGCATGTTTCTCACATCTTTTTGTTGGTGGATTCTGAAAGGCTTGGGAGCAATCTCTAGGCCTGCCTGCCCCGTCCCTCCCTCCCTCCACCCCGACGATTGCTTGGTTGGCAGTTACCTGAGAGAAGGGGGCTCCTGTGAGGGCAGCAGCACAGATGCCTCTCCAGCCCCGAGAGAGGCCCCGAGCTAGCATGATGGCGTGGGCCCAGCTCAGGCCTCTGCTTCCTGGACAACCACCTGGACAAGGGAGAAGAGACAGCGTCAGCCTGGCACCCGCCTGCTAATGGAGATGAGACCCCTCTCGTGGCAGAGGCCACTTTCCAGCCTGCAGAGCTGCCTCACCGTTTCCTCATCCACAGGATGGAGCTTAAATCAAGGGTCCTTGCTTCACTATCTAGAGAAATTTGCTGCAATGGTTCCCCACCCTCCCTCCCAGGTCTTTTTTTTTTAATCCTCCACAGAGGATGTTTTTATTGATTTTAGAGAGAGGAGGGAGAAAAATATTGATGTGAGAGAAACATTGATCAGTTGTCTCCTGAACACGTCCCAAATGGGGATCGAACCTATAACCTACGTATGTACCCTGACCCATAATCGAACCTGCAACCTTTGGTGTATTGGACAATGCTCAAACCAACTGAGCCATCGGGGCAAGGCCCTACGAGGGCATTTCTTAACTTTAGTCACACACCATACAGTCCACTCTTTTAAAATATAAAGTTCAGGGGGAGGAAAGGGAACATATGTAATACTTTCAACAATAAAGTTTTAGCCCTGGCTGGTTTGGCTCAGTGGAGAAAGCATCGGCCTGCGAACTGAAAGGTTCCCGGCTCAGCTGCAGGCACATCCCCAGTGGGAGGTGTGCAGGAGGCAGCTGATCAATGTTTCCCTCTCATCTATGTTTCTAGCTCTCTATCCCTCTTCTTTCCTCTCTGTAAAAAAATTAATAAAATATTTGTAAAAAAACCAATGAAGTTTTAATTTAAAAAAGTATAATATTCAATATTTTTTTTGTATATTCAGCAACCAGCACTGTAATATGATTTTAGAACATTTTTGTCACCCTAAAAACAAAACTTAATGAAAACAAAAACATTAACCATCACTCTTGATTTCCTTTCATCCTCAACCCTAGACAACCAATAATCTACCATCTCTATAAATTTGCCTACTCTGGGCATCTACACTAATAAAAGAGAAAGATGCAAATTGACCATATCTTCATGATGCCCACCAGCCAATCAGGAGTGAGTATACAAATTAACCCTACAAAGGTGGCAGGTTAATTTGCATGTGCAGGCACCCAGCAGCCAGAGGACTGCCCTCACTGCTCCAGGCCTCTGGGCAGAGTAGGAAGGTGGAAAGGCAGCTCCAGGCCAGAGTGAAAAGGTGACTCTGGGCAGAATGAAGGCAGAAAGACAGCTCCAGGCGGAGCGAAGGCGGTGCTGGCACCCAGGTGAAGGAAGACCCATTCTTGCACAAATCTTAGTGTATCTGGCCTCTAGTGTGTCTGTGTGTATATATACACACACACACACACACACACACACACACACACACACACACACACAATGTCCCCTTGGGAGTTCGATCACTTGCTATGACGTGCACTGACCACCAGGGGGTGGTGCGAAACAAAGGAAAGCCCTGTCCAGCAGTTGTAAGGCCCGATCAGCCCTGATTGCTGGCCAGGCCTAGAGACCCTACCTGTGCACAAATTTTGTGCACCAGGCACCTAGTTTCATATAAATGGAATCATAGGATATATGTTCTTATCTGGCTAACACTTTTCATTTGACATGTTTCTAAGGATTATCCATGTTGTAACATGTATCCGACTTCATCCTTTTAATTGCCAAAAAATTCCCATTTTATAGATGTTTTATTTATCCATTTATCAAAGGATGGACATTTGGTTGATCCCACTTTTTTACTATTGAATATAACTAATGCTGCTATAAACATGTGCGTAGAAGCTTTTGTATGAACATGTATTTAACTTCTCTTGGGTATACACTTACAAGTCATATCGCTGGGATATATGGTAACTATTTAATATTTTGAGGATCCCCTAAAACTGTTTTCCAAAGTAGCTCCACCATTTTGCATTCCCACCAGCAATGTATAAGGATTTCAATTTCTTCACATCCTTGCCAATACTTACTGTCTTTTTTACTACAGACATCCTACTGAGTGTGAAGTGGTATCTCCTTTGAGGTTTGGATTTGCATTTCTCTCATGATTAATGATTTTGAGCATCTTTTCATGTGCTTATTGGCCACTGTGTATCTTCCTTGGAGAAATGTCTATTTAAATACTTCGTCCATTTAAAAAAAAATTGTTTTCGTCCTAGCCGGTTTGGGTCAGTGGATAGAGCGTCGTCGGCCTGCGGACAGAAGGATCCCAGGTTTGATTCTGGCCAGGGGCATATGCCTGGGTTGTAAGCTTGATCCCCAGTGGGGGACAAGAGGCAGCTGATCAATGATTCTCATCATTGATGTTTCTATCTCTCTCTCTCTCCCTTCCTCTCTAACATCAATAAAAATATAAAATAAACCCCTGGCTGATTTGGTTCAGTGGATAAAGCATTGGCTTGTGAACTAAAGGGTCCAGGGTTTGATTCCGGTCAAGGGCGTGTGCTTCGGTTGCACATCCCTGGTAGGAGGGGTGCAGGAGGCAGCTGATTGGTGTTTCTCCCTCATCGATTTTTCTGACTCTCTATCCCTCTCCCTTCTTCTCTGTAAAAAAATCAATAAAATATATTTACATATATATATAATATATATGTATAAAATAAAATAAAATAAATGGGTTTTCTTTTGAATTATTGAGTTATAAAGAGTTCTTTATATATCCTGCATACCAGACCATTATGATTTAAAAATAATTTATCCCACTCATTAGGCTTTTTTTTGCCCTTCCTTGTTATCATGACAGCACAAGTTTTAAATTATGATGAAGTCCAATGAATGTTTTTCTTTTATAGCTCTGCTTTTGATGTATCTAAAAAAAATGCCGAGCCCAAGGTTATAAAGATTTACCTCTCTCCTTCTTCTAAGTCTTTTATCTCTTACATTTCCGTCTATGATCCACTTTGAATTTTTGTGCATTGTGTGACAGAGGGGTTGACTTCAGTGGCTATCCAGTTGTCCTAGGCCTGTTTATTGAAAATATTATTTTTTCTACATTTTACAGTCTTAGCACTTTTTTAAAAAAAATATATTTTATTGATTTTTCACAGAGAGGAAGAGAGAGGGATAGAGTTAGAAACATCGATGAGAGAGAATCATCGATCAGCTGCCTCTTGCACACCCCCCACTGGGGACGTGCCCGCAATCAAGGTACATGCCCCTGCCAGGAATCGAACCTGGGACCTTTCAGTCCGCAGGCTGACGCTCTATCCACTGAGCCAAACTGGTCCCGGCAGTCTTAGCACTCCTGATGAAAATCAATTGACCATAAATGTAAGGGTTTATTTCTAGGCTCTCAATTCTATTTCATTGATCTATGTTGAACCTTATACCAGTACCACACAATTTTGGTTATTGTAGTTTTCTCTAAGTCCAACTTTGTCCTTCTTTTATTTTTATTTTATTTTATTTTATTAAAAAAATATATTTTATTGATTTTCCACAGAGAGGAAGGGAGAGAGATAGAGAGCTAGAAACATCGATGAGAAACATCAACCAGCTGCCTCTTGCACACCCCCCACCGGGGATGTGCCTGCAACCAACGTACATGCCCCTGACAGGAATCGAACCTGGGACCTTTCAGTCCGCAGACCTACGGATTATTTTGACTATTCCTAGTCCCTTGCAATTATATATAAATTTTAGAATCAGCTGTCAATTTCTGTAAAAAGCCAGAGGGATTCTGATAGGGATTGTATTCACTCTGGAGATTGATTTGGGAACTATTGCTATTGCAATATCTTAAAAATAATGTTAAGTCTTCTGATCCACAAACATAGGCTATGTCTTTTATTTATTTGTCTCCATTTATTTAGATCGTTAATTTCTCTCAACAATGTTTTATAGTTTTCAGTCTTTTCTTTTGTTAAATGTACTTGTATTTCTTTTTTAAACACACATATATATATATTTTTTTAGAGAGAACTATGGATACAATAGTGAAACATCAGCTGGCTCCTGCACGCTCCCTACTGGGAATCAAACCTGGGCATGTGCCCTGACTGGAATGGAACCAGTGACCTCTTGGTTCACAGTCACCACTCGACCTCTAAGCCACACCCCAAGGCTTCATTTCATTTCTGTAGAATATAGAAATATAGAATATAGAAATATAATTTATTTATTTTTGTTAATCCTCACCTGAGAATATTTTTTATCATTGATTTTTAGAGTGGAAGGGAAGGGGAGAGGAACATCTATGCAGAGACATATGGAGTGGTTGCCTCCTGCACACTTCCAGACCAGAGCCAGGTATCAAGCCTGCGAACGCGGTTCATGCCCTTGATTGGGATCGAACCTGAGACTCTTCACTCCAGAGGCTGATGCTCTAACCACTGGGCAAAACCAACTAGGGGGAAATAAAATTTACTTTTACTTTGATCTTATATACTGCAACTTTGCACAACTCACTTATTAGCTCTAATAGCTTTCTATTGGATTCCTCAGGATTTTCTATATACAATATCATGTCTTCTGAAAATAGAAATAGATTTTCTTTCTTCTAATTTGGATGTCTTTTATTTCTTTTTCCTGCCCAGGTGCCCTTGCTGGAACCTTCAGTACAATATTGAATAGAAAGAAGTGGCAAGAGCCGCTTCCTTGTGCTTCTCTTGATTTTAGGGGAAAAGCATCCAGTCTTTCATCAATGTGAGCTGTGGGTTTTTCATAGACGTCCTTTATCAGGTTGAGGAAATACTGAGTGTTATTATCAGAAAGGGTATTGGATTTTATCAAATGCTTTTTGTTGCATCTATTAAAATAATCGTGTAACTTTTCTTTTATACATGAACTGATTTTCAGATTTTAAATTAACCTTGATTTCTGGGATAAACTCCATAGATAATCCTTTTTATATGTTACTAAATTTTGGATTTTAAGTCTTTTGTTGAGGATTTTTGTGTCCATATTCATAAGACATACTGGTCTGTAGTTTTCTTTTAGTGCTTGTTTGGTTTGGTACTGGGTAATGCTGGCCTCTTAAAATGAACTGGGAAGTATTTAGATCATCCTCAGCATTAAACTTTCTCTAGCATCTCCCACCTTGACCTGAAGTCTCCCTCCCGCCTCTGTTTCACATCTCTGCCACCTTTACAGAAACGTTTTATCCTGAGAGGTATCTACATACTATGTTCCACTTATTCCAACCCAGCTGCCGCCCCCGCCACTCCTGACACCACCCTTGATGTTCTATACTTACCAAACCAGTGATTACTTCTCAGACCTCATTTTGCTTGACTTCTCAGAAGCATGTGGCACTGGTGAGACCCTCCTCCCACCTGCTTGACACTGTTGATTTTCTTCCTAGTACCCAGGCCTGTTTCTCACTTAGTTGGCAAGACCCACTTCCTTCTCTAAAGTTTACAACGTCTGAAAACTTGAATGGATAGCCGAAACCGGTTTGGCTCAGTGGATAGAGCGTCAGCCTGCAGACTGAAAGGTCCCAGGTTCGATTCCGGTCAAGGGCATATACCTTGCTTGCGGGCACATTCCTAGCGGGGGTGTGCAAGAGGCAGCTGATCGATGATTCTCTCTCGTCGATGTTTCTCTCTATCCCTCTCTCTTCCTCTCTGTAAAAAAATCAATAGAATACATACATATATATATATATATATACTTGAATGGACAGACAAATCACTGGGATCTTGTTAAAAGAAAGATTCCGATTCAGCAGCTCTGGAGTGGAGCCAGACTCAGTTGCTTATTTAACAAGCTTTCGATCGATGCTGATGCTGCCGGACTGGAGACTACACTTTGAGTAATAAGGCTGCGGAATCCCACACTCTGGATTTGTCTGTCTACTTCCTGAGGTATCATTCAACTTGCTACTTTCCTCTGTCTCTTATAGGCAGCTCTAATGGTTCTCAAACTTTGTTCACATTAGAGTCATCTAGGATACTTTTAAAAATCCCCATGCCGCCGAAACCAGTTTGGCTCAGTGGTAGAGTGTTGGCCTGCAGACTGAGAGGTCCCAGGTTTGATTCCCATCAAGGGCATGTACCTTGGTTACGGGGACATCCCCAGTAGGGGGTGTGCAAAAGGCAGCTGATCGATGTTTCTAACTTTCTATCCTTCTCTCTTCCTCTCTGTAAAAAATCAATAATATATATATATATATATTTTTTTTAAATCCCCATGCCTAGATATATTAAATCAGAATACCCACAATCTGGGCATGTGCCTTGACCAGAATCGAACCCAGGACCCTTCAGGCCTATGCTCTACCCACTCAGCCAAACCAGCTAGGGCAAGACCCTAATTTAAACATTGGCCACTCTCAAAATGTGTTTCAGGAATCAGCTGCATTGGTATTATCAACTGAGAGCTTACTAGAAATGCAAAATCTTAGCCCTAACCCCCTACTTGATCAGAATCTGCATTTAACTAGTGTCCAGGTTCCTTCTAAGTGTGCTAAAGTCTGAGAAATGATGATCTATGTGCTGATGGATCCAAATGTTTATCGCCTAAGCTCCAGCTTTCGTACCTAATTGCCACTTTTGCATATTCCCAGTTGTCTCAAACTTAATTTGCGCCAAATTGATATCCCTGCTTAAACCTGTTTGTTCCCCATCCTGGCCAATGACACCACTGATTCCTAGTTAAGAAGGCCTAAAACCTAGGAGTCACTGCTGAGTCCACTGTGTCCCTCATGCCCCCATGTAATCCATTAAATAGTTCTGGTGACTACTTCCACACCCATCCCAAGTGCATCCATTTCTCTCCATCTGCAGGCCAGCGCCCCAGTGGCCTCTTTCCCAGCCTCCCACTTCTTCCCTTATGCGCCTCCAGTCAGGTCTCCCCACCCTGACCATAGGGAGCTTTAAAAAATTTGAACTACCACCCTAACTGGTTTGGCTCAGTGGATTGAGTGTCGGCCTGTGGACTGAATGGTCACAAGTTCAATTCCAGTCAAGGGCATGTACCTTGGTTGCAGGCACATCCCCAGGAGGAGGTGTGCAGGAGGCAGCTGATAGATGTTTCTCTCTCATCGATGTTTCTAACTCTCTATCCCTCTCTTCTCCTCTCTGTAAGAAAATAAAAAATATATATATATTAAAAAAAATTTTTGAACTACCCTGGCCAGTGTAGCTCAGTGGTTTAGTGTCAACCTGTGAACCAGGAGGTCATGGTTTGATTCCCGGTCAGGGCACATGCCTGGGGTTATGGGCTCCATCCCCAGTGTGGGGCGTGCAGGAGGCAGCCAATCAATGATTCTCATCATTGATGTTTTTATATCTTCCTCTCTGAAATCAATAAAAACTATTTAAAAAAAAAAAGTAAATAAAACGTGAACTGAATTCTCTGCCTAAAATTAATGATATATCACATGTAAGATACAACCAGACAGCATCTACTCTACCAAACGCAACTCTTATAACTCCAGCTACCCTGTTTCTTAAACAAGATAAATTTATTCTAGTCTCAGAACCTTTGCGCTTGCTTTTCCATCTGTTTGGAAATCTCTTCCCCCTGATCAGACCACAGCTATCTCCAGTCATTCAGGCCCATATTCGAATGGAAGAAAGGCCTTCCCTGACAGCAGCCTCAGTCCCTGTTCAAAGCCCCCCTCAGCCCGATGGATGCATTTTTAGCAACTGCCAGCCTCTGAAATCACCCGTCCGTTTTTATTGCTGACTTGTTCAATGTCTGGCTCCTCCCCACCCTCGCCCCCCAGGAGATGGAGGGTTTTTCCTGCCTTCCTCTCCGCTGCCTCTCCAGCACCAGGGACAAACACCTGGTATTATGGCAGGTGCCTGACAAGGTCCCTGGAATGGAAAAGAACCAAGTTCCTACAAAACTCTGTAATTTACAAATCCGAACCCCGCGCGGGGTGTACCTACAGCAGCTCTGAGGCTGGCTGCCAGGATTCTGGGGTCGCTGGGAGAAGCCGGCAGACGCGGGTTCGAATTCCGGCCTAGCTGCCCTCCTGCGGCGTGCCCGCTGGAGACAGCCTTAACCTCTCTGAGCCTCGGCTGTCTCATCTGCAAAATGGGAGATTGAAGACGTGAGAAGGTGGGTACCCACGGAGCACGGCCTTTCCCGGCACGTCTCCGCCCCGCAGCGCAAAGGTCACGGTGCCCTGGCCCGGCAGCCGGGCCCCCCGGGGCCGCTCTCCGGCGCCGGCGGCCCGAACGGGCCGCTCCGGAGCCCTGCAGCGGGTGCTCGCCTCCCCACACACAACCTACCTACTAACGCGGGCGGCCGCCGACTCTGAGCCGGTTACATCTGGCCGCTGGGCGCCGCCATGTTGCCCAGAGAGCTTCCGGGTCACGGGCCGCGAAAGAGCCAGCCATTCAAAAGCGCGGGTTTAAAGAGGTCCCGCCCCCAAAGGGAGGAGCACCAATAGGAAAGGAGAATGGCATTGACGCTACCTAAGAAGGAGCCAGCCCCCCTGTCCCATACAAGGCAAACCGCATCCCTGACCTGGCAAAGGAGAATGGCTCGGGAAGGAGCGACTGGGTCGTTCCCGGGCTGGGAGCCTGCTAGTCCCGGTGGGAATGAAATAGTAAGGGCGGAAGTACTCCCAAGTGTGTGAAAATGCAGCGCCTGGGTCCTTGGATTGGTACCTTTTCCTTCTGGCGGCAGGTGCATGATCCCAGGATAATTCCTTTGCCTCCGAGCTTGGCGACATCGGAGATGGTGCAGCAGCTGGCATCCACCCCGACGGCTGCAGGAGCTGGGCAGTCGGACAAAGGAGGTACCTGGGGTGTGGACTGGCTACAGAGCAATGACTCTCCCTGCTGGACCCTATGGTCCCCCCGCCCCCAACCCCCTTGGTTCTACCTCCTGACTTCGTCTGGTGCCAGCTTCTGGCGCTCACCCAGCGCGTGCTCCACAGCCTCGGACTCACGCCTAGGGCGGCTTCCTGGTAGTGGGGGGCGGGGTGGCCCCCTCTGCCCTCATTCAAACCCCACCTCCCTCTCCTGGTGCCTGCCCATCCTCCTCTCCCTGGCCACCGGCGCCCTCTGGCGGTACAACCTACTCTCCGTGGAGACCAGCAACATCAGCCTCACTCCATGAGTCTGCTGGGCGCAGGTGGATCTTCTCCACTTCACTCTCACCCCTACTCCGAGCTCCTGTGGGGCGGGGAGCCGGTCACATGGGGAAGGGGGTGGACACTGCAGAAGGTCTTCAGGTGAGTAAGGAACCCCTTGAGGAAGATTCTCTGAGTAAGGATGGCACAGCTAAGAAGCCTCCTGGGCCAGCCTACTTTCTTCCTTTACCCCAGCCCAGGCAGAAGTTTGACCCAGGGCCTTGACCCCATCCATGCCAGACCCCCAGCTACCCTGTCCAGGGCTGTCCAGAGTGTGGGGGTGGGTCAGTGGGCTTCCTGCTCCCTTTGACCCACAGACTGTGGCTGATGCCTCTGGTAACCTGCTCCATGGTAGATGGGGTTCAGCTGGGTGGGCCCTGGATCACATTCACTCAATCCCCTGCCCACTTCCCTCCATACCTGGTGCTGATCCACTGCAAATAGGACATCATGTGTTCCCGGGTTAACATAGAGTCCCACTTTAGCATTCACCACCTCTCAGATCCCTGGGACACTACCTCTGCCCCCTCCCCACCATGTATTGAACATCTCCTGTGCGCTGTTAATGTTAGCTCCATGAGGAGAGGGAGGTTTTGTTTGTGGTATATACGGTATTGTCCCTAGCACTGGGGACTGGGCCTGGTAGGCGGTCGATAAATGTTAGTTACAAAATGAATGAATGAATGTATGAATGAATGGATGTTCCTGGTGCTCATCCCAATATTTAAACCCCAGCAACTGTCCCTTGTGACAGCCTCATGTGACTACCTTCCACACACCTGACTAATTACCCTGCCTTTGCCTCCGCCCTACTCTTCCCGGCCCTGTCGGGGCATGCAGGAAGCAGCCGATCAATGATTCTCATCAATGATGTTTCTATCTCTCTCTTCCTCTCCCTTCCTCTCAGTAAAAATATATTCGAAAAGAAATGCACAATGCTACTGTGATTAACAAGATGGTTGATATTAATAGTCTAGGAGTTTTTAAAAAGTAAATGTTTTATAGCTTGAGCTGTGTGGCAATTACATGGTGCACATGTATGTAAAAATTCATTGAGCTGTCTATTAATATTTGTGTATTTTACTTTAATATCTCAACTTAAAAGTTTTAAAAAGTGATCATTGATTCACTGTTCTGTAATTTGTATACTTTTCAATATGCATGATATACTGTAAAAGCCTATTTAAATACTTCACACCCATTAGGATGGTGATTATAAAAACAAAGAGAACCTAACAAGTGTTAATGAGGGTGTGAAGAAAGTGGAACTCTTGTATACTGTTTGTGAAGATGCAAAACAGTGCAGCCACCATGTAAAACAGTATAGTGGTTTCTCAAAAAAAAAAAAAAAAATATATATATATATATATATATATATATAGAGAGAGAGAGAGAGAGAGAGAGAGAGACTGCTACCATTTGATTCAGCAATTCCATTTCTGGCTATTTCCCAGAAAAACTGATAGTTACCCACCATATTCATAGCGGCATGATTCACAATTGTGGAAGCAACTCAGGTGTCCATTGACAGATGAACTAATGCACGAAATGTGGTATGTACAATGGAATGTTATTCAGCCTCAAAAAAGGAAGGAAATGCTATCATTTTGTGAATAAACCAATCACAGAAGGACAGATACTGCATGATTACACTTATCTGGGGACCCTAGAGCAGTCACATTATCAGACAAACAACATAGAATGGTGGGTGCCAGGGACTGAGGTAGAGGGGATGGAGAATTAGTGTATTAGTGTTTTAGTGTTTACTCATAATAGGGACAGTTTCAGCCTTAAAGGATGAAAAAAAGTCCTGGAGGTGGATGGTTGTATACAACAATATAATTGTATTTAATACCATAAACCTGTACACTTATTTATTTACTAGAGGCCCGGTGCACAAAATTCATGCACTGGGGGAGGTCCCTCGGCCTGGTCTGCACCCCCTCATAGTCCATGATCCCTCGGGGGATGTAGCAGTGTGCCAAGCAGCAGGCGGCCAGCGGAGAGCCCAAATTGGGGCCAGGTGCTGCGCCACTCATGCTCATCCTGGCCTGCCGTGCCCGCTGCCGCCACTCACGCTCATCCTGGCCTGCCGTGCCCGCTGCCGCCACTTGGTATGCTGCTGCAGCATTGGGAGAGACTCCCGATGCCATGGCAGCTGTGCTCACCAGCCGTGAGCTTCTGGCTAAGTGGTGATCCCCCTGTGGGAGTGCACTGACCACCAGGGGGCAGCTCCTGCATTGAGTGTCTGCCCCCTGGTGCTTAGTGTGCATCATAGCTACCGGTTGTTCCAGTTGTTCTGCCATAAGAGTCCCTTAAGCTTTTTTTTTTTTTTTTTTTTTAATATATTTTATTATTTTGTACAGAGAGGAAGGGAGAGAGATAGAGAGCTAGAAACATCGATGAGAGAGAGAATCATCACCCAGCTGCCTCTTGCACACCCCCTACTGGGGATGTGCCCGCAACCAAGGTACATGCCCTTGACCAAAATCGAACCTGGGTCCTTTCAGTCCCCAAGCCGACGCTCTATCCATTGAGCCAAACCGGTCTCAGCTAGGCTTTTATATATACAGATTTTTTAATAGTTTTTTTCTCCTTTTTTTAAAATACATTTTTATTGGTCTCAGAGAGGAAGGGGAAGGGAGCGAGAGAGAGAAACATCACTGAAGAGAGAGAATCATTCATTGATGGGCTGCCTGCTGCACACTCCATACTGGGGATGGAGCCTGCAACACAGGCAGGTGCCCTTGACCAGAATCGAACCTGGGACCCTTCAGTCCACAGGCTGATGCTCTGTCCACTGAGCCACACTGGTCAGGCACAAACCTGTACATTTAAAATGGTAAATTTTATGTTATATATTTTACTACAATTTTTCAAGTCTCCTAAAAAGAGATAGGTGATAAGAGATAAGGTTAGATTGGAGGGGGCTCCTGGGCTCCCCAAATAAGCTGTTAATAATCTAAGTGGGTTATCGCATACAATGGGGACTGCGGAATGGCAGAGGCTCCGGGCAAGGATGGTTCTTTTCCCCCATAAAGCCATTTCTGCAGTCCCTGGGCCGCCATGACGCAGGGTGCTGACAAGGAGACAGCAGCCACCCTGGGGATGCTTCACAGACTCTGCAGATCTGTCTCATCAAGATTCCTGTGATTGGCTGATCTGAGGAGCACTGCAGCCAATCAGCTACTGGCCCAGGATGGCTTGCACAGCCCCTCCCCAGCAGGTTGATAGCCATTTGGACGGCACTACTGCCCTCCACTGGGCACCCCTCGCTAAGTTGCAGGCGCAGTTAGCTCTGCTCAGCTGGGACGGGGGTGAGGGCACATGTAGACAGTCATAGGGTGGCTGATCTGAAAACCTGGCTTCAGAGCTCCCAGTGACCATTTCCCTCTTGAGGCACTTTCTTTTCTTATATTTTTAAAACATGTTTTTATTGATTTCATAGAGGAAGGGAGAGGGAGATAGAAACATCAATGATAAGAGAGAATTACCCATTGGCCGCCTCCCGCACACCCCACATGGGAATCCCACAACCTGGGCACATGCCCTGACCGGGAATTGAACAGTGACCTCCCAGTTCATAGGTCAGCACTCAACCACTGAGCCTTATTTACTTTGCAGAAGTACAAACACAAGCATTCACATATTTTTTTTGGTATATATTAGCACAGACCACAATGGTACGTGTGAACTATGTAGACTCTTTAACAGGCAGTCCTCAGAACAGCCCTAGGGGAACCAGCAGCTTCGCTGTGGAGGAGCTTGGCAGACACCACCTTAATCAAAGGGACGGAGGTTAACATCACCAGCGATGAGTCATAGTCAGATCAGAACTCTCCCCCCACCCCTCCAAGAGAACATCACCTCTCTGGTATCCTGGTATCCTTCTCAGTAATACAAAAACCTCAACCTAGCCGAAACCGGTTTGGCTCAATGGATAGAGCGTCGGCTTGGGGACTGAAAGGTCCCGGGTTCGATTCTGGTCAAGGGCATGTACCTTGGTTGCGGGCATATCCCCAGTAGGGAATATGCAAGAGGCAGCTGATCGATGACTCTCTCTCATTGATGTTTCTAACTCTCTCTCCCTTCCTCTCTGTACAAAATCAATAAAATATATTAAAAAACAAACAAACAAAAACTCAACCTAATCAAGACAAACCAAATCAAGAGGCAGTGTACACCACCGCTGACCAGTACTTTACAGAACTGTCAAGGTCATGGAAGATTGAGGAACTGTCACAGACCGGAGGAGTCTAAGGAGACATGACTAAATTCAATGAGGGACCTTGGGTAGCATCCTGAAACAAAAAGGGAGCATGACTAGGAAAACAAGAAATCTGAAGTCTGTAGTTTATTTTGTATATTTGTATTGATTTCAGAGAGGAAGGAAGAAGAAGAAGAGAGAAACATCAATGATGAGAATCATTGATTGGCTGCCTCCTGCATGCCCCCTACTGGGTGGGGATTGAGCTCTCAATGCAGGCATGTGCCCTTGACCAAAATCGAACCTGGGACTCTTCAGTCAGCAGGCAGACGCTCTAGCCACTGGGCCAAACCAGCTAGGGCAAGTCTGTAGTTTATTAATAGTATCATGCCAAGGTTAATTCCTTAGTTTTAGTAAATTTACTATGGTTATGTAAGATGTTAACAGTAGGGGTTACTGGGTGATGTTATATTTGAGCTCTTTATGCTATTTTTGTACCTTTTCTGTAAGACTTTAAACATTTTTTAATTGATTTCAGAGAGGGAGGGACAGGGAGATATAGAAACATCAATAATGAGAGAGAATCATTGATCAGCTGCCCCCTGCACACCCTATACTGGGAATCGAGTCTGCAACTTGGGCATGTGCCCTGACCAGGAATTGAGCCATGACCTCCTGTTTCATAGGTCAATGCTCAACCACTGAGCCATGCTGGCTGGGTGTGTAAGTCTTATCTCAAAATAAAAAGTAATAAAGAAATACAGCTATGAAGCAGGTATTATTAATATGCTCATTTTCCAGAGGAGAAAATGAGGCACTGAGAGGTTAAGCCACCTGTATAGGGTTACACAGCCAGGAAGCACTAGTGTATATCTTAAACCCATGGAATATGGGGGAGCCAGCCTGCACCCTCTCCAATCTGGGACCCCTCAGGGGATATCCAACTGCCAGAATCGGGTCTAAAATGGCAGTTGGACATCCCTCTCACAATCTGGGACTGCTGGCTCCTAACTGCTCACCTGCTTGCCTGCCTGATCATCCCTAACTGCTCCTCCTCCCAGCCTGATCACCCCTAACTGCCTCTGCCTGCCTGCCTGGTTGCCCCTAACTGCCACCCCCCACTGGCCTGGTTGCCCCTTACTGCCCCTGCTGCAGACCTGGTTGCTCCTAACTGCCCCCCCCCCTTGCCAGTCTGTTCGCCCCCAACTGCCCCCCTGCCAGCCTGGATGCCCCCAACTCCACCCCCTGCTGGCCTTGGTACATCTTCAGTGAGGGGTGTGCAGGAGGCAGCTGATTGATGTTTCTCTCTCATCGATGTTTCTAACTATCTCTCTCTCTTCCTCTCTGTAAAGAATCAATAAAATATATTTTAAAAATATATAAAAATCTGTGCCAGTCCTTTGTGTGGTTAAGTAGCAACATCTCAGACAGACATGGGTTTGAGAGACCTGGCTCACTCCCTTTAATTCTACTTACACACTCAGCATTTTTTGAGCACCTGCCATGGACAAGTACCTTACCAGGCTCTGGAGATGGAGCAGCGAACACCCAAAGCCCTACCCTGTGGTGTTTCTTGCTGGATGAGAGATAATAAGCAAATAGGAGATGATTAAAAAAAGGAAGCAAGGAGGGGAAGGTGCTTTAAGATCACTTTGTAAAATAAGTTTTTGTGGAGGTAGACATTTTATGCCAGGTGAAAACACGTGAACATCTCCCCTCCCGCTCTGGGATGCTATTGTTTTATTTTATTTTATTTTATTTTCAAAATATATGTTATTGATTTTTTACAGACAGGAAAGGAGAGGGATAGAGAGTTAGAAACATCGATGAGAGAGAAACATCGATCAGCTGCCTCCTGCACACACACACACACACACACACACCCCCCACTGGGGATGTGCCGGTAACCGAAGTACATGCCCTTGACCGGAATTGAACCTGGGACCTTTCAGTCCGCAGGCTGACACTCTATCCTAGGGGTGTCGAACTCAATCAGAGAAGGGGCCAAAATCTAAAATCCAGCCTAAATCGCGGGCCGAATGGTTTACTGAACAGTCATAAACTGTCATTGTGATGGAAATGCAGCGGAGTGCAGTGATGACAGCGCGGTGCGGGCCACATTGCAAGGCCTGGCGGGACGGATTTGGCCCGCGGGCCTTGTGTTTGACACATGTGCTCTATCCACTGAGCCAATCCAGTTTTGGAATGGGATGCTATTGTTTTAGAGCAAGTGGTCAGGGCGGGCCTCTGAAAAGGTGGCATTAGAGCAGAGGAAGCGAGGAAAGGCCACGTAGGCGTCTTGGGGATGAGCGTCCAAGAGGAAGAACTGCCAGAGCAGAGGGCGGGAGGTGGGAGCCGGCGTGGGCACAGAGAAATACACGTGGGCGGACCCGGGCGCTGTAGGAGCTTCGTGCCGTCGGGTAGTGGCCTGGCCTCTCTGAGCCTCCTTTCCTTTTCTATAAATGGGGCCCGAGAGTTTCCACCCTCAGGGTGGTGGGGAGGACTCAGTGAGGTTGTGCCTGGCATGGAGTGAGCCCCCCAAACAACAGCCATCGTGGACAGCAGCCTCTTCCTGTTCCAGAGGGCACGCTAGGGGAGGAGGGGCTGGCCAAGGGGGGCTGCCCAGATAGGCAGATAAAGGGGGACAGAGCTTTGGCTGCAGGCGAGGGCAGAGGGTATGTGTGTGTGTTGAGTGTGTGTGAATGTGTGTGTGAATGTGTGTGTGTGAGTGTGTGTGTGTGAGAGTGTGTGTGTGAGTGTGTGTGTGTGAGTGTGTGTGTACGTGTGTGTGTGAGTGTGTGTGTGAATGTGTGTATGTGTGTTGAGTGTGTGTGAATGTGTGTGTGAATGTGTGTGTGAATGTGTGTGTGTGTGTGTGAGTTGAGTGTGTGTGTGAATGTGTGTGAATGTGTGTGTGAATGTGTGTGTGTGTGTGTGTGTGTGTGTGTGAGTTGAGTGTGTGTTGAGTGTGTGTGTGTGAGCGCGCACTGAGAGTCGGGAAGGTTTATGGGCTCCCTAAGGTTGAGAAATGCCACGGCTTTTCTTTCATGACTGACCTGAATGATCCCTTTGGGAAACTGTCCTTACAAGATGGCATCTTTTCACTTAGATGGGAAACTGAGGCCTGGGGCCTGGGACAAGCTCCCTAGGAGCGGAGTGGACCGCACCCAGGGCAGCCAGTGATGGGAAGTCCCGGGGTGGGGACCCCGCGAAGGCTCAGCCCCTCTGTCTCTCTCTACTCCCACCGACGCGACCGAGGCCTGGAGGGAGAGGAGAAGCAAACGTGACCCAGAGACACAGAGATGGAGAGAGGAGAGACATGAGGACATGGAAAGCCAGAGGCGGGCAAACTCATAGACCCAGCTTTGGCTCAGTGGATAAAGCGTCGGCCTTCGTGAAAGATCCGGGTTCGATTCCGGTCAAGGGCATGTACCTTGGTTGCGGGCACATCCCCAGTGGGAGTTGTGCAGGAGGCAGCTGATCGATGATTCTCTCTTATCGATGTTTCTAACTCTCTATTCCTCTCTGTAAAAAAAAAAAATCAATAAAATATTGTATATATATGTATTTTTTTAAAAAAGCTGAGACAGAAAAAGGCTGGGCGACGCGGAGGGACCAGGACCCACCTGGAGACAGAACATAAGACACAAAGCCCCAGGCCCAGAGCCGGAGGGACGGGACAGGCCCAGAAAAGGCCACCCTCGGGGAGCCCCGGGGCTGCCCCCCGCGGCCGCGCCAGGCGCCCCCGCCCGCCCGCCCGCGTCGTGCCTGGGCCGTGACCTCAGAGCCCGCGCGGCGGCTATAAATGGCCAGGCGGCCGGCCGGGCGGCGGTGAGTCAGCGCGCGTCACCGCCGGCCCCGCCAGGCCGGCCGCCCGGCCCGCCGCCAGGGGGCGCCGGCCGCCAGCGCCGCCGCGGCGGGTCCCCGCATGCGCAGTAGCGACCTGCGGCCGGCCGAGGGCCGTTCTGCGTCGGCGGGATCCAGGCATGGCGAGTTCGAATCCTGACTCTGCCACCTCGTGCTGGGGACCTCCTGGGCAGTCGGCTTCTCTTCTCCGTGCCTCCTATCGACCCCACTTCACCAGGCTGTTGTGAGGAGTGGGTTAACAGATCCAACGCATTTAGTACGTACCAGGAGTTCATGGTAAATTCCTTTATGTGTTTTAGTGTGTCTTCAATCAACATGCCACGACTGATCCTTAGTTGCCTTAGCCCAGTCGTTCTCAAAGGGGGTTAGATCTGCTCTCCTCCCTCCCCCAGGGTCATGTGTCAGTGTCTGAAGACATGCCTGTGTGTCAAGACTCAGGGAGTGTTACTGGTAGCCAGTGGCAGAGACCCGGGGTGCTGCCCAGGGAGGAATTAATTCTCCAGCCTGATGACGACAGTGCCTGCCTCTTAGCACTCAGGGCAGGGACCTGGGTTCATACCCCGCTCTGCCACTGGCAAGCTGTGTGTGACACTGGGGAAGTGACTCCACACCCTGTGCCTCAGTTTCCCCACCTTTAGGTTGTGTTTAAAACCATGTCCACTTCTGAGGGTGTTGTGAGGACGGAGTTGACACGTGTACACGGCTTGCAACAGGAGCTGACACGAGGGCTGCTGTCACATTAGTGTATCACAGCTGTGCCTTTAGCATTTGGCCAGCCAATGGGGTGTCCTTAACAGACGAGTGGATGGTTCTTTGCTGACAGATCATCCAGGTGTTGCCAACATGGCCCTGACATATGTGAGCATGTCACCCTGTGGTCCAGGTCATCTTGGCTGGGACAGGGATGTATGGGGATGTCACCTGCTAACACATTCAACCCACAGGTAGATGGGGAGAGTGAGAGCCAGGATCTTTGCTCCCCCAGGATCTTATGAGGGGCTGCAGGAGACAGAGGTGCGATGCCAGATTCTCAGCAGAAAGAACTGCTATTTCTTTTCTTCTTCTTCTTCTTTTTTTTAAAAATGTTTTATTGTTTTTTTACAGAAGAAGGGAGAGGGATAGAGAGTTAGACACATCGATGAGAGGAACATCAATCAGCTGCCTCCTGCACACCCCCCACTGGGGATGTGCCCGCAACCAAGGTACATGCCCTTGACGGGAATCGAACCTGGGACCTTTCAGTGCACAGGCCAATGCTCCATCCACTGAGCCACACCGGTTAGGACAGGACTGCTATTTCTTAAGTTCTCCCCTATACCAGGCATTGCACTGGTCACGTCCGAGGCCTCGCTTCTTCTGAATCTCACAAGGCAG